ACTCTGAGTCCCCACTTCCCTACCGCTCACGATCCCGGTTCTCGGCGAAGACCTCGTCCACGTCACCGGTCCCCCCCTCCCCCCGCCCCCTCAAATACCTCGAGGGCACATGAGGTCACTCCTCCCGAGGCGAGTGTGACATCCCGTCATCACTCTACTCCTCAACATTATAATAAAACGTGTGTTTTTTATGGGTATAAGGTTTATCTGTATTATAATAACAGCGCTGTTACTGATACCCCGAACGAAGGCATCGTGTATTGCTCAAACGAAATACAAAAAAACGCTGTCAGGAACGTATCCCCCCCCCCCCCCCCACCATATACACAATGGTTGCTTATACGATGACCCCCTTTGAGCGGCGATTCCATTAGCGCTGTTCGCTTCTCTAGCAAGACGCCCCGAGCGTTAAACGAGGAGTATCTGGTCTGCCCGTACGAGCGAACATCACTCTGGAAGTTGTCGTCGGTAAGAGGTGGCACGTCTCGTGAAGCCAGCAGCGGGGTTATGAGAACTTCAGGGGGAGGAGTCGATGGGAGGCAATGTCATTGAGGAGCAGTGAGATCCCTATGTGTGTGTGAGCACTATGTGTGTGTGAGCCCTATGTGTGTGTGAGCCCTATGTGTGTGTGAGCCCTATGTGTGTGTGAGCTCTATGTGTGTGAGCCCTATGTGTGTGTGAGCTCTATGTGTGTGAGCCCTATGTGTGTGTGAGCTCTATGTGTGTGTGTGAGCCCTATGTGTGTGTGAGCCCTATGTGTGTGTGAGCCCTATGTGTGTGTGAGCTCTATGTGTGTGTGAGCCCTATGTGTGTGTGAGCCCTATGTGTGTGTGAGCCCTATGTGTGTGTGAGCCCTATGTGTGTGTGAGCTCTATGTGTGTGAGCCCTATGTGTGTGTGAGCTCTATGTGTGTGTGTGAGCCCTATGTGTGTGTGAGCCCTATGTGTGTGTGAGCCCTATGTGTGTGTGAGCTCTATGTGTGTGTGAGCCCTATGTGTGTGTGAGCCCTATGTGTGTGTGAGCCCTATGTGTGTGTGAGCCCTATGTGTGTGTGAGCTCTATGTGTGTGTGAGCCCTATGTGTGTGTGAGCTCTATGTGTGTGTGAGCCCTATGTGTGTGTGAGCTCTATGTGTGTGAGCCCTATGTGTGTGTGAGCTCTATGTGTGAGTGTGAGCACTATGTGTGTGTGAGCCCTATGTGTGTGTGAGCCCTATTTGTGTGAGTGAGCCCTATGTATGTGTGAGCTCTATGTGTGTGTGAGCCTTATGTGTGTGTGAGCCCTATGTGTGTGTGAGCCCTATTTGTGTGAGTGAGCCCTATGTATGTGTGAGCTCTATGTGTGTGTGAGCCTTATGTGTGTGTGAGCCCTATATGTGTGTGAGCCCTATGTGTGTGTGAGCTCTATGTGTGTGAGCCCTATGTGTGTGTGAGCTCTATGTGTGTGAGTGAGCCCTATGTTTGTCAGTGAGCCCTATGTGTGTGTGAGCCCTATGTGTGTGTGAGCTCTATGTGTGTGTGAGCCCTATGTGTGTGTGTGAGCCCTATGTGTGTGTGAGCTCTATGTGTGAGTGAGCCCTATGTGTGTGTGTGAGCCCTATGCGTGTTTGTGAGCCCTATGTGTGTGAGTGAGCCCTGTGTGAGACAGCCCTATATGTGAGTGAGCCCTATGTGTGTGTGAGTTCTGTGTTAACTCTGTGTATGTGTGAGCTCTGTGTGTGTGTGAACTCTGTGTGTGTGTGTGTGAGCTGTGTGTGTGAGCTGTGTGTGTGAGCTCTGTGTGTGTGAGCTCTGTGTGTGTGTGTGAGCTCTGTGTGTGTGAGCTCTGTGTGTGTGTGAGCTGCGTGTGTGAGCTCTGTGTGTGAGCTCTGTGTGTGTGTGAGCTGCGTGTGTGAGCTCTGTGTGTGAGCTCTGTGTGTGTGTGAGCTCTGTGTGTGTGTATGTGAACTCTGTGTGTGTGTGAACTCTGCGTGTGTGTGAGCTCTGTGTGTGTGTGTGAGCCCTATGTGTGTGTGAGCCCTATGTGTGTGTGAGCCCTATGTGTGTGTGTGAGCCCTATGTGTGAGTGAGCCCTATGTGTCTGAGTGAGCCCTATGTGTGTGTGTGTGAGCCCTATGTGTGTGTGTGTGCTCTATGTGTGTGTGTTTGAGCCCTATGTGTGAGTGAGCCCTATGTGTGAGTGAGCCCTATGTGTGTGTGAGTGTGGGGAGCGATAATGTAGCGGTTAGCGCGTTGCGCTATGAACCTGGCGACCCGTGATCGATTCCTGCTCACGGCCAACACCAGTGACGATTATCTGAACCGGTCCCCCCCTAGGTCGACTCAGCTTCAAATGAGTACCTGGTGCGGTGTGTAAACATTGCCACTAGGGAGACAAAGGCGGTCGGGCGTGGTGCTGGCCACCCACCCCCTCGTGTACCGTTCCGGCCTTCATAGGTGCTCGCTAACAACACTTGCCCCTACAGTTTGTTAAGGCTATATGGGGGATCTTTGTCTTTGTCTATGTGTGTGTGAGCCCTATGTGTGTGTGTGAGCCCTATGTGTGTGTGTGAGCCCTATGTGTGTGTGTGAGCCCTATGTGTGTGTGTGAGCCCTATGTGTGTGTGTGAGCCCTATGTGTGTGTGTGAGCCCTATGTGTGTGTGTGAGCCCTATGTGTGTGTGTGAGCCCTATGTGTGAGTGAGCCCTATGTGTGAGTGAGCTGTGTGTATGAGTTCTGCGTGTGTGTGAACTCTGCGTGTGTGTGAGCTCTGTGTGTGAGCTCTGTGTCGTTGAACTCGACGTGTGTGTGTGAGCTCTGTGTGTGTGTGTGAACTCTGTGTGTGTGAACTCTGTGTGTGTGAACTCTATGGGGAGGGGTTGTTTTGCCTTTCAGTGCCAGGGTGCGAAGGTCGGCCGGCGTGTGAGGCCATGGCACCTGGAGCCACCACCACCACCCCAGGTGCACCCGTGCCGAGGTTCGTCATCATCGTCGTCATCATCAGCAGCGTCGGAACTCCGCGGAGAGAGACGTGAACGTCGCAGTCAACAAACCGAGTGGCTGCTGAAGCTGATCACCTCCCCACGCTGTTCCACCCCCACCCACGCGTCAATCTCGACAGGTTCAGGGCAAGCGGATCGCGATCGGAAGCAATGCGAGTTCAATGCCTGGTCGATTCAGCCCATCATCCTTCCGCCCGGGCGTCGATAAAATAAGTACCACGTTGCGGTTGTCGTATTGATAGACTCACACACCCCCCCACCCCTCCCGCTCCCGTCATAGCAATGTGGAATTCCCACCGCCGGCTCAGGGCCGTGAAACAGGAGCCGTTCACGTGTGCCTCGATACTCTGGCCTCTTGTGCTCAGGGTCAAAAGGTGCGATGGTGCGATGAGCGAGCCTCGAGCATGGCCCTGGGGCTGAGCGGCGTCCCCTACAGCCGCGCTCTGGGCACCTCCTGGGCCGCGCGCATTCCAGAGAGGCCGGGGCCAACCCCTGGAACCGATCCGTTTGTGCGCGCGAGCGGTTTTTTTTTTTTTGACACACTGCTGCGCGGCTTACGGACGCAAAGTGACAACGGTGAGTTGTAAAACGGCAATAGCGCTTTGGCCCTTGTGATCCTTGCCTACACTTTATGGACTACTTTATTGGCTCCCGCATAAATATTATCTTCGAGAAAACGGCGCGGTCAAATACGGTGAAGTCGAGCGTAACGTGTGGTTTGAGAACGTGCGTGTTTATTGGCGATGGAGTTTGGGGGGGGAGGGGGGTGAGCACGGGGGGGGGGTCACAAGGGGCAGTGCCCCCCCCCCTTCCCCCGCGACAAAGTGAACCCCTGCCGCCCTCCCTCCTCACCCCAAACAGAGAAGTCAAACTCCGCCTGCGGTGTTCAACATCAGCGCGGTTTGCCTGCTCAGCTCACGGTGAACGCCGCGATCCGAATATTCCCGCGGAATTTCGACAATTACCAAAGAGGCCACCACCACCCCCCCCCCCCTCTCCCGCCAGTCCATTTTCCCATCCGTGTGTGAGTGAGGGGTTAACTGCAGTGCTTCCTTGCAGGTTCATCGACGGAACAGTCGGTGCAACGCTCGCCAGAGTATACTTGAGTGCAAATTGTAGGTATTTAAGGCACCCAACTTCAATGGTGCAAAGGCCTCTCCTCCCTAGGTTCACGCAGCACGACACTTGCCCCCGCCCCCCGGCATCTCTGTGCACCTCCGTGTGGTCTGCGCATCTCTCCGTCCCACCGTGATCTCGCAAGTCACAGCACACACACACACACAGGCACACGACAGGGAGACATAGAGAGAGAGACACGTGTTCGATGGGGGTTTCAGAAACGTCTCACTCTGCGGACGAGACCGCGTGCAGATCGACTCGGTGACCCCTTAACCCCCCCCCCACCCCCAACTCAACCCCCCCCCCCCCTCCCCGAACCGACGTCACGCGCACGCAGAGCGGACGAGTCGTTTCGCCCTGGCCCTGCTTGGCCCGCAGGCCGGATGCGGATGACTTCTTGTGAGGCGAGCAGCGTGGCTTGTTGCGTAACTGGTGTAAAAACCCCCCCATACCGTGATGGGCCCCACGCTGGCTGGGTGTATAACCAGTAGATAAAACCACCCCATGCCGTGATGGGCCCCACGCTGGCTGGGTGTATAACCAGTAGATAAAACCACCCCATGACGTGATGGGCCCCACGCTGGCTGGGTGTATAACCAGTAGATAAAACCACCCCATACCGTGACGGGCCCCACGCTGGCTGGGTGTATAACCAGTAGATAAAACCACCCCATACCGTGATGGGCCCCACGCTGGCTGGGTGTATAACCAGTAGATAAAACCACCCCATACCGTGACGGGCCCCACGCTGGCTGGGTGTATAACCAGTAGATAAAACCACCCCATATCGTGATGGGCCCCACGCTGGCTGAGTGTATAACCAGTAAATAAAACCACCCCATACGCTCGTTTCACCACTCACACCCACGCTCGTTGCACCACTCACGCTCGTTCAACAAGGAAAGCCTGAACATCTTTTTGTTGCGTGCGATCAAAATTTAGCAATTTGCGGTGTACATTTTTTTTTGGCACAATACCGGTCACATTTTGCGGTATTGCTTTTGGAAACATGAGAGCCCCGGGGGAAACACCCCATGCAGAAGAGGGGGACGGGAGACAACACACGGACCGGCCACCACGCCACGCTAAAATGGCCGGCAGCGGTCAGCGGCATTGAAGTCTAACAGAGGACACGGGACGACGCAGCTCCGCTCGCTCGCTCGCTCGCACCACCACCACCACCACCACCACGCATTCAGTAACGCCCGGTAAAGCTGCGCCGCCGTCGGTCGTGGCAACGCGCGTGTGATGACCCCGTCCGAGCCACGCGGGTTTACGGAAACAATCGCTGGGGTTCGGAGCCGGGTGCCGGGGAGCGTCGCCCGAAGTCCCCGCACCCGGCGGGGCCGGGAACTTTTGAGTCCGCGTGTGCTCCAAATCCGCCCGGCGCGGTGGTCCAGCGAGCCGGCTCTCTCGAGCTGCACCAGCCACGACTCGTGACCTCTCGCCCAGTAGCGGAGAGGAAGGGGGTGGGAGCGGTGGGCGGGGGCACTGCCCTGTGACTCGCGACCTTCGACCTTTGTCGCGTTTGGTTCCATGGAACTGCTTGTGCGCGGCGCTAGACCCGAGGCCCCTGCAGGGAGCAATTGCTGACCTCCTGGGGATGGTCCTGGAAGGTCCTGGAAGGTCCCGGAAGGTCCTAGAATCCCAAGGAAGGCCGCAAAGTGTCGGAGAAGATCTCGTTCCCCCCCCCCCCCCACCCAGTGAAGGTTTCTGTTGAGTCCCAATGAGGAACAGTGGCGTTTACAGGAAGGTTCTGGAGTTGCACGGAAGACCTCAGAAAGTCCTCAAGTCACAGGCCAGGGCGTCCTCGAGTTCTACCGAGTGACCCAGGAGACGCAGAGAAGGCTGCGGGAGTCCCCGTCGAGGTGCCCCCGGAAGTCCTGAGAAGGTCCTGGAGTTCGATGGCGACGCCTGGAGACGGAGGGGCGGCCTCAGGCCCCGGGGCGGGAGCGGTGAGAGCGCGCCAGCGCCGAGAACATCTCGTAGGTGAGGAAGGTGAGGCCGGTGGAGGCGGCCGCTTTGAGGGCGCTCGGCACGAGCCCCTTGTAGAGGCCCGGGAGGCCCTCCTCCCGCACCACGTGGCGCACGCAGTCGCACGCACCCGAGTACGCACGCACCTACGGGGGGGGGGACGGGGGGGACACACGCAGAGGACCAGGGGACACACACACGCAGACGTGGAAGAAATCAGCGGGACACACCACACCGCCAGAGCCCCCCGATCAGCACGGTTAGCTGCGTACGGCGTGAAAGAAGTTCAACGCACACACGTGCGCTCGCACAAAGTGGGTCCCCGTACCCCCACGTCCCAGCGTACTTATGTCATGGCATCCCTGCGCCCCTACATCCACGTCTCAGTGTCTCTACGTGTCTGTGTACCCGCATGATTTCCCACGTGCGTCCATCCCCTGCGTGTCCACGCGTGTCTCCCCCCTCCCCCTCCCGCGTGTCCTCGAGTGTCCCTCCCCCGTGCGTCTCCCCCGTTGTGTCCCCGCGTGTCCCTCCCCCGTGCGCCCCCCCACAACGTGTCCCCCGACGTGCCCCCCCCCCCCCCCCCCCCCCCCGTGCGTCCCGCACCTCTCCGAAGTGGCACCTCGCCTGCTCGAATCCCATCACCTGCAGCCTCTTCTTGACGAGGTCGCAGGGGTAGGTGAGCGTCTTGCTCAGCACCCCCGCCGCGGCACCACACACCAGGGTCTGCAGGCCCCCTGCGCGGCACGGCGGCACGGCAACAACGCGGTGAACGGGGGCGGCGCGGCGGTGACGCTCGCACCCCGCAACAAGAAGCCCCCTGGGTTCGACTCCCGGCTCGGACGCCTTTCTGCGCGGCGTTTGCGTGTTCTGCCCCTGTACTGCATCTGTAGAGGGGGTTCCCCACGCCCGCACGGGAGCCCCCCGCGAGGGACCCCACGGAAGCCCCCCACGGGAGTCCCCTTGTGGCTGTGGCTACCGGTGTCAAACGCGAAGCCGGCTGTGCGGTTGCACTGGTGGCTACCGGTGCGGCGCTGCGTCCGTGCGGCCAGGGTGTTGCCAGCGCGAGTGAACACGTTGTAGAAGCCGAACTGCAGCCCCGCGTACGGGAAGACGGCGGCGAGCGTGGGGGAGAGGCCGCGGTAGAACCCCCGCAGCCCCTCGCCCCGCCACATGGTGCCCACCGCATGCACCAGCCCCCGGTAGACCTGCGGCACACAGGCGGGGTGGTGACGCGCGGGCAGGGGGGACGACAAGTGTGTGTCTGTGTGTGTCTGTGTGTGTCTGTGTGCGTCTGCGTGTGTCTGCGTGTCTGTGTGTGTCTGTGTGTGTCTGCGTGTCTGTGTGTCTGTGTGTCTGTGTGTGTCTGTGTGTGTCTGTGTGTGTCTGCGTGTGTCTGCGTGTGTCTGTGTGTGTCTGTGTGTGTCTGTGTGTGTCTGTGTGTGTCTGTGTGTGTCTGCGTGTCTGTGTGTGAGCGGCGTGTGTGGCGTGAGCGGTGTGTGCGCGAGTGTGAGTGGAGAGTCGGTGAGTGAGCGGTGAGTGCGTGAGGGGTGAGTGAGCGGTGAGTGAGCGGTGAGCGAACGAGTGCGGTGTGAGTGCACGGTGCAAGACTTATGCGTGCGTGTGAGCGGTGAGTGAGAGAGCGGTGAATGAGTGATGAGTGAGTGAGTGGTGTGTGAGTGAGCGGTGAGTGATGAGTGAGCAGTGAGTGATTGAGCAGTGTGTGTGTGAGCAATAAGTGAGCGGTGAGTGAGTGAGCGTTGTGTGAGTGAGTGGTGAGTGAGCGGTGTGTGAGTGAGGAGTGAGCGGTGTTTGAGTGAGTGGCGTGTGAGGGAGCGGTGAGTGGGCGGTGAGCGAGTGAGCGGAGAGTGAGCAAGTGAGTGAGCAGCGTGTGAGTGAGCGATGAGTGAGCGAGCGGTGTGTGAGTGAGTGAGGGATGAGTGAGCGAGCGGTGTGTGAGTGAGTGAGCGAGTGAGGGATGAGTGAGCGAGCAGTGTGCGAGTGAGCGAAGTGAACGAGTGAGTGAGGATGAGTGAGCGAGCGGTGTGTGAGTGAGTGAGCGAGCAGTGTGTGAGTGAGGGATGAGTGAGTGAGGGATGAGTGAGCGAGCGGTGTGTGAGTGAGCGAGTGAGTGAGGGATGAGTGAGCGAGCAGTGTGTGAGTGTGTGAGTGACCGAGCGATGAGTGAGCGAGCGGTGTGTGAGTGAGTGTGCGAGCAGTGTGCGAGTGAGTGAGCGATGAGTGAGTGAGTGAGCGAGTGAGTGAGGGATGAGTGAGCGAGCAGTGTGCGAGTGAGTGAGCGATGAGTGAGTGAGTGAGCAAGTGAGTGAGGGATGAGAGAGCGAGCGGTGTGTGAGCGAGTGAGTGAGCGAGTGAGTGAGGGATGAGTGAGCGAGCGGTGTGTGAGTGAGCGAGTGAGTGAGGGATGAGTGAGCGAGCGGTGTGTGAGTGAGCGAGTGAGTGAGGGATGAGTGAGCGAGCGGTGTGTGAGCGAGTGAGTGAGTGAGGGATGAGTGAGCGAGCGGTGTTGTGAGCGAGTGAGCGAGCGAGCGAGGGATGAGTGAGCGAGCGGTGTGTGAGCGAGTGAGCGAGGGATGAGTGAGCGAGCGGTGTGTGAGTGAGCGAACGAGCGAGGGAGTGAGGGATGAGTGAGCGAGCGGTGTGTGAGCGAGCGAGCGAGCGACGTGAGCGAGGGATGAGTGAGCGAGCGGTGTGTGTGAGTGAGCGAGCGGCGTGCCGCGAGCGAGCGAGCGCGCGCGGTGCGTGTCCACGTCGCGAGCGTCGCGCGTCTCCGGCCCGCCTCGTCACCCTGGGCTCTCCCTGCGCTGCGAGGCGCGTGCGCAGCGTGTCCAGCGGCTGGGCCACCAGCGAGGCCATGCAGGCCCCGGCGCCGCCGCACGCGAAGTGGACGTGCGCCTGCGTGGCCTCGTAGCGCGTGTGTCCGTGCACGAGCTCCGTGAGGCCCTCGAACGTCACGAACTGCGGCGCAGACACGGCGGCGGCGGCGGCGGCAACGGCGAAATGGGAACGTTTTTATTTTCATACACAGAAATAAAACGAAACTATATATTTTTTTTATCTTTGCAAGTAAAGCCCCTACCGAGCTACTAGCTTCTTTTTCAGAAGCGACCTGGCCACAGAGCCGAATCAGAATATTGATTTACGCTGGAGGAATCCGATGAGCTATGAAGCTCTTTTTTTCACGGATGTCCAGCAGGGGCACGGGGTCAGAAGGTTACAACAACAACAAAGGTTACAACAACAACAAATACAAAAACACGGCAGGAGTGCAAAGTATAGGCAAGGTAAAGAACTCACTTTAAAAATAAATACAGGTAGTCCTCTACTCACGATGGAGATGTGTTAAGATGACCCCATCGTAAGTCAAAAATATCGTAAGTCGAAGATGGCCTAGCCTACCCAGGAGTCTTAAAGATGGGTGATAATTTAGCAAAACAGAGCAATTTACAGTACCGTACTGTATAAACTATATACTGTATGTATTTATGAATTACAATACTGCATTGCACAGTAAAATTAAGTGTCGGTGACGTCACCGCCGCGCTTGTGCCAGGCTTAGTGCACCTTTGAGGCCACGTGAAGTGGCCTCACTGGCAGGAGATGACTGGCAGATGCGCCACCTTTGCTCCCTACTGGGTTCACTCGCTGCGTTTTAGCCGCCCAGCGGTCCCGCTCGTTGTTGTGAGCGTCGCTCCTCTGCCCTCTGCTGTTATTGGAGGGCGACTGCCTCCAACTGCCCGGTAGCAGCATCCTTCACGAGCCTCCTCCTCCAGAGAGGCCCAATCTTGACACTGCTGGTACCAGTCATCGGCAAAGTTCAATTTGCTCCACATCCTCCTGTATTGCATCAGTCCATCTCTTCTCTACCCAGTGTCATGCCTGTTAGCCTCCTCTATCCGGACCAACAGAGGCCGCTTGGGCAGGGGCGGAGCCAGGATTTTCAGCCCGGGGTGACATTCAACAAATTTTAATTTCAAGAATGATTAGAGAGTCAGGCTGTTGAACTAGACGTCATCGGTTGGCGACACACTCTGACAATGCAGTTGCATGGAGTCCGCCAGAGCGAGTGTCGTACACTTATACGCAGAATGTTTCAGATTTTCGATTTTATTTTCGGGGGTGACAATTGTCTACCCTGTCACCCCCCTGGCTCCGCCCCTGCGCTTGGGTTTGTTGTTGGTGCCTGCGTGTGTGTGGGTGTGTGGTATCTGCATTTCGCTTTGGAGATCATCTGCACAAGAGATGATCTCCCAAGCGAAATGCTGAGGGAGGGTGGCGTTTGTGCACAGACTGCCCTATATGACATCATAACAACAGTCTGGACCACTGGACGGGTTCCGCAGGATTGGAAGGATGCCCTGGTGGTCCCCCTCTTTAAGAAGGGGGACCGCACAGACTGTAACAACTACAGGGGAATCTCCCTCCTCAGTGTGCCGGGAAAGGTCCTGGCAAGGATTATTCAACATCGCCTTGCCAGGCACGTTGAGGAGAGGCTTGCGGAGCCCCAATGCGGTTTCAGGAAAGGGCGGTCCTGCACAGATGCCATATTTTCTGTCCGTCTGCTACAGCAGAGGTGTAGGGAATTCCAGCAAGACCTACATCTCTGCTTTATTGACCTGGTCAAGGCCTATGATACCATCAGTAGGCCTGGGCTCTGGGTTGTTCTTTGTACTTTTGGAGTCCCTGACCCTCTGCTCACGATCATTAAGGATCTTCATGATGGTGAGCGGGCACGGGTAAAACTACGTGGCCGGGAGTCAGAGCCATTCCCTGTACACCTTGGGGTGCGACAGGGATGTCCTCTGGCTCCCACATTATTTAACATCTATTTTGACCACGTAGTTCGTGAAGCCTTCAATAGCTGTACCGGGGGAATTTCCATATGGTACAGATATAATGGGAGGCTGATCGATGCCCGGGTCCGGTCAAGGGATGACTCCCTATTGCTCAACCACGTTATGTATGCCGATGATTTGGTAATAGCTGCTCATTCAGAGGAGGAGTTGGAGACGCTGCTGCTGAGACTGGAGCGTGCCACTAAGAGATGGGGCCTTACCATCAGCCCCACCAAAACTAAGCACCTGCCTGGGTATTTTGTACCATCGGACACTCCACCCCCACAACTCCCAATCGGTGATGGGGCAGTTGTGGAGAGAGTGGAGAGTTTCCCATACCTGGGCAGTGTGCTTATGACCGGCACCAGTTTAACAGCAGAGGTCTCACTCCGAATCAGTCGAGCGGCAATATCTTTTCATTGGTTGCGTAACGCTGTGTGGAAGCTACCTGGTCTGTCGCTCCGCACTAAGCTTCAGGTCTTCTCGGCCATGGTCATTCCCTCCCTTCTGTACGCTTGCGAAACGTGGACCCCCCTAATGGAACATCTTCGCCGGTTAGAAACATTTAGGCTAGCCTGCCTACGATCCATCCTGGGTTTAACCAGGCTGGATTGTGTGAGGAGCTCACAAATCCTTGAAAGATCTGGGCAACATCCCATCGGTGAGCTCCTCCGGCAGGCAAGGCTGCGTTGGCTGGGTCATGTAGCCCGCATGCCCAGCCACCGCATGCCGAAACAGCTTTTGTTTGGCCGGATTGAGGGGCTAAACGGGCGCGGCACGGGCTAGAGAAGAGAAGGAGTGATGTGGTACAGGAGGACATGGAGCTGAGTGGACTTGCCGATGACTGGTACCAGCGGTGTCAAGATCGGACTCTGTGGAGGCTCGTGAAGGACGCTACTGCGCAGTTGGAGGCAGTCTCCAACGGAGGGCGGAGGAGCGACGCTCACAACAACGAGCGGAGCGCCGGGTGGCTAAAGCACAGCAGGTTGGCACAGTAGGGGGCACAGGTGGTGCATCAGCCAGTCATCTCAGTCAGTCAACTCGTGGCACCTGGGTCTGCCCCGTGACCTCCTGCCAGCGGGCGTTCAACACTTCACGTGGCCTCAAGGTGCACATGGCCTGGCACAAGCGTCGTGGTGACGTCACCGCCACTTAGTGACGAATGGCGGTTGTGGTTGTTGTTGTTGTTGGCATCTGCACAGTAGCGTAGCGGTGAGTGCGCAGCGCTGAAAACCTTGCGCGACCCGAGTTCGATTCCCGCTCACGAACAGTGATGGGCCCTCCCCCTTAGGTCGACTCGGCTTCACACGAGCATCTGGTGCCGATGTTGTAAACCATCGATGTTGTAAACCATCGATGGTGTAAACCATCGATGTTGTAAACCATCGATGTTGTAAACCATCGATGTTGTAAACATCGGCACCAAACCGCGGCCGCGCGTGCCCGCTAACAGCACTTGCCCAAACAGCCAAGCTGTACCTGCACGCCGCTGTAGGTGATGGAGAGCAGTTGTGCGGGCACGTGCCCCTTCCAGAAGGCGGCGAGACCCTCCTCGCACAGCATGGCGCGCACGGCCTGCGCCAGGCCCCGGTACTTGGCGCGCGGCTCCAGCGCAGAGATCCGCTCGACCTGGAGCTGCGCGCACGCGCGGACGGTTCAACGTCGACGACACGCGGCCGTCAGCGTAGCAAAAGACGTCTAGCGCCGTGGGGTAGGGAAGAAGATGGGAGGGCAGCGGAGGGCAGCGCAGGGCTGGAGAGTCTGGCGTGCAGAAGGGCAGGCGGTCACACGGGGAGGGGTCTGGGCCACTGAACATCTGTGAAAAAGAGCTTCATAGCTCATCATGAATGTGATTCTGGGCTAGGGGAGGGCAGCGAAGGGCAGCCGGGCTGGGCAGGGGCACCTGGAAGCGGATCTTGACGACGTCGAGCGGGCTGACCGCGGCTCGCGTCACGAAGCCCGAGAGGGCGCCGCACAGAGCCACCTCCGTAGGCCCGAGCCTACGGTGGCTCGGGTCGAACCCCACCATGGCTGCCCGGCACTGCGCCCCCCCACCCCCCCCGCCACCCCGCGCGGTCCGCGCCTCGTCCACCAGCGCCTCGTCGGTCGCCTCCGATTAGCACGGTTGGCTGCGTACGCTGCGAAAGAAGTTCAACGTACAGCAGATACATGAATACAAACTACTATACACTGCACACTACACTACTATACACTAAACTACTATACACTACACTATACACTAAACTACTATACACTACACTACTATACACTAAACTACTATACACTACACTATACACTACACTATACACTACACTACTATACACTAAACTACTATACACTACACTACACTCCGATTAGCACGGTTCAGCGTACAGCAGATACATAAATACAAACTACTATACGCTGCACACTACACTACTATACACTACACCACTATACACTACACTACGATACACTACACTACTATACACTACACTATACACTACTATACACTATCCACTACTATACACTAGACTACTATACACTACTATACACTACACTACTATACACTATCTACTACTATACACTACACTACTATACACTACACTATCCACTACCATACACTATCCACTATTATACACTACACTACTATACACTATCCACTACTATACACTACACTACTATACCCTACACTATCCACTACTATACACTATCCACTACTATACACTACACACTACTAAACACTATCCACTACTATACACTATCCACTACTATACACTACACTACTATACACTACTCTACTATACACTAAACTACTATACACTACACTATACACTACACTACACTCCGATTAGCACGGTTGGCTGCGTACGGTGTGAAAGAAGTTCAACGTACAGCAGATACATAAATATAAACTACTATACGCTGCACACTACACTACACTAATATACACTACACTACTATACACTACACTACTATACTACTATACACTACACTACTATACACTACACTACTATACACTACACTATACACTACACTACTATACACTACACTACTATACACTATACTACTATACACTACACTACTATACACTACACTACTATACACTACACTACTATACACTATACACTACACATTACACTACAATACTATACACTACAATACTATACACTACAATACTATACACTACTACACACTACACTACTCTACACTATACACCACACTACACACTACACTACTATACACTACACTACTATACACTACACTACTATACACTACAATACTATACACTACACTACTATACACTACACTACTATACACTACACTACTATACACTACACTATACACTACACTACTATACACTACACTACTATACACTACACTACTATACACTACACTACTATACACTACACTACTATAAACTACACACTACACTACTATACACTACACACTACACTACTATACACTACACTAATATAAACTACACACTACACTACTATACACTACACACTACACTACACTACTATACACTACACACTACACTACTATACACTACACTACTATACACTACACTACTATACACTATTATACACTACACTACTATACACTACACACTACACTACTATACACTATACACTACACTACTATACACTACACATTACACTACACTACAATACTATACACTACAATACTATACTACACACTACACTACTCTACACTACACTATACACCACACTACACACTATACACTACACACTACACTACTATACACTACACTACTATACACTACACACTACACTACACTACTATACACTACTATAAACTACACACTACACTACTATACACTACACACTACACTACTATACACTACACTACTATAAACTACACACTACACTATACACTACACTACTATACACTACACACTACACTACTATACACTACACTACTATACACTACACTACTATACACTATTATACACTACACTACTATATACACACTACACTACTATACACTACACTACTATACATTACACTACACACTACACTACACCAGTCACGTGCGGTCAGGGGAGGCAGGGGAAGCAGTGCCTCACCTGTCATACTCCAATGAAAATAGCGGTTACGACAAAAATATATAATGATTTTCCACTGATCTGTGTTATAAATGTCATTTCTGTACGATACCAAAATTGTTTATAGTTAAAGATCGCCAAATTTGCGGAGCTCCGCTGCAAATACAGGAAGAGACGAGAGGTGAGGCAGCGACGAGCTCAGCCTCCCCTCTGATTGCGCAACCCCTCAGAAACCGGATGGAGTGTGTGCAATAAGCGCGTGCCTGTTACTATCTCAGTATGTCAGCAATGTAATGTTTGTAGACCCCTTCATTTCATGTCCTCGCCTTCCATACTCCAGGTAACTTATTCCACGTACGTGTATAAAGATATTTAGGCTCGCTGGTCTCGTCGTGAAACTGCAATGAAAAAGCACCAGGGGAGGCAGCTATCACATCTGCCTCACTGAGGTGGGAGTGTCAGACACGCCCCCTTCAGTGAGGACACGCCCCCTCAGCGAGGACACGCCCCCCTCAGTGTGTAAATCTCGCTTTGATACGAGCCAGTGCTTCCCCAGCCATTGACCTCACTGCACGTCACTGCTATACACTCCGATTAGCACGGTTGGCTACGTACGGCGCAAAAGAAGTTCAACACGCACGCATGATAAAACTAAACTTTATTTTTGTTTACAAGGCAAGACCCATACTCTTTGGTCCTTTCAGTAAAGTCACGTAGCAGGGAGCTTGGGAGGGAGCTTGGGAGGGAGGGTGGGAGGGAGGAGTGGGGTGTGTGTGCGGGGTGTGTGTGGGGTGTGCGGGGTGTGTGTGGGGTGTGTGTGGGGTGTGTGGGGTGTGCGGGGTCTGTGGGTGTGGGGTGTGTGTGATGTGTGTGGGGTGTGGGGTGTGTATGGTGTGTGTAGGATTCGGGGTGTGCGTAGGGTGCGTGTAGGGTGTGGGGTGTGTGTGTTGTGTGTGTAGTGTGTGTGGGGTGTGTGTGATGTGTGTGTGGGGTGTGGTGCGTGTGTGTGGGGTGTGGTGCGTGTGTGTGGGGTGTGGTGTGTATGTTGGGTGTGTGTGGGGTGTGTGTGGGGTGTGGTGTGTGGGGTGTGGTGTGTGTGTTGGGTGTGTGTATTGGGTGGGTGTGGGGTGTGTGTTGGGTGTGTGGGGTGTGTGTGTGGGGTGTGGTGCGTGTGGGGTGTGGTGTGTATGTTGGGTGTGTGTGGGGGGTGGTGTGTGGGGTGTGGTGTGTGTGTTGGGTGTGTGTATTGGGTGGGTGTGGGGTGTGTGTTGGGTGTGTGGGGTGTGTGTGTGGGGTGTGGTGTGTGGGGTGTGTGTGGGGTGTGGTGTGTATGTGTGTGGGGTGTGTGTGTGGTGTGTGTAGTGTGTGTGGTGTGTGTAGTGTGTGTGGAGTGTGTGTGGTGTGTGGGGTGTGGTGTGTGTGTGGGGTGTGGTGCGTGTGTGTGGGGTGTGGTGTGTGTGGTGTGTGGGGTGTGTGTGGGGAGTGTGTGGTGTGTGGGGTGTGTGTGGGGTGTGGTGTGTATGTGTGTGGGGTGTGTGTGTGGTGTGTGTAGTGTGTGTGGTGTGTGTAGTGTGTGTGGAGTGTGTGTGGTGTGTGGGGTGTGGTGTGTGTGTGGGGTGTGGTGCGTGTGTGTGGGGTGTGGTGTGTGTGGTGTGTGGGGTGTGTGTGGGGAGTGTGTGGTGTGTGGGGGGTGTGTGTGTGGGGTGTGTGTGTGGGGTGTGTGTGGGGTGTGTGTATGTGTGTGCGGTGTGTGGTGTGTGTGGGGTGTGGTGTGTGTGGTGTGTGTGTGGTGTGTGTATGTGTGTGGGGTGTGAGTGTGTGGGGTGTGGTGTGTGTATGTGTGTGGGGTGTGTGTGTGTGGGGTGTGTGGTGTGTGTTGGGTGCGGGGTGTGTGTAGGGTGCGGGGTGTGTGTAGGGTGCGGGGTGTGCGTAGGGTGCGTGTAGGGTGTGGGGTGTGTGTGTGGTGTGTGTGGTGTGTGTGGTGTGTGTGGGGTGTGTGTGGTGTGTGTGGTGTGTGTGTGGGGTGTGGTGTGTGTGTGGGGTGTGGTGTGTGTGTGGGGTGTGGTGTGTGTGTGGGGTGTGGTGTGTGTGGGGTGTGGTGTGTGTGTGGGGTGTGTGTGGTGTGTGTGGGGTGTGTGTGGGGTGTGGTGTGTGTGGGGTGTGGTGTGTGTGGTGTGGGTGGTGTGTGTATGTGTGTATGTATGTGTGTGGTGTGTGTATGTGTGTGGGGTGTGTGTGTGTGGGGTGTGTGTGGTGTGTGTGTGGTGTGTGTATGTGTGTATGTATGTGTGTGGTGTGTGTATGTGTGTGGGGTGTGTGTGTGTGGGGTGTGGTGTGTGTGGTGTGTGTATGTGTGTGGGATGTATGTGGGGTGTGTATGTGGGGTGTGGTGTGTGTGGTGTGTGTGTGGTGTGTGTATGTGTGTGGGGTGTGTATGTGGTGTGTGTGTGGGGTGTGGTATGTGTGGTGTTTGTGTGGTGTGTGTATGTGTGTGGGGTGTGTGTGTGTGGGGTGTGGTGTGTGTGGTGTGTGTATGTGTGTGGTGTGTGTATGTGTGTGGGGTGTGTGTGTGTGTGGTGTGTGTGTGTGGGGTGTGGTGTGTGTGGTGTGTGTGTGGGGTGTGGTGTGTGTTAGCTGTGTGTGTGTGGGGTGTGGTGTGTGTGGTGTGTGTATGTGTGTGGAGTGTGTGTGTGGGGTGTGTGTGGTGTGTGTGTGGGGTGTGGTGTGTGTGGTGTGTGTGAGGTGTGGTGTGTGTGGTGTGTGGGGTGTGGTGTGTGTGGTGTGTGTTAGGTGTGTGTGTGTGGGGTGTGGTGTGTGTGTGGTGTGTGTGGTGTGTGTATGTGTGTGGGGTGTGTGTGGGGTGTGGTGTGTGTGGTGTGTGTGTGTGGTGTGTGTGTGGTGTGTGGGGTGTGGTGTGTGTTAGCTGTGTGTGGGGTGTGTGTGGTGTGTGTGTGAGGTGTGGTGTGTGTGGTGTGTAGGGGGTGGTGTGTGTAGTGTGTGTTAGGTGTGTGTGTGTGGGGTGTGGTGTGTGTGTGGGGTGTGGTGTGTGTGTGGTGTGCGGTGTGTGTGGGGTGTGGTGTGTGTGGTGTGTGTGTGAGGTGTGGTGTGTGTGGTGTGTGGGGTGTGGTGTGTGTGGTGTGTTAGGTGTGTGTGGGGTGTGGTGTGTGTGTGGTGTGTGTATGTGTGTGGGGTGTGGTGTGTGTGGTGTGTGTGTGTGTGTGGTGTGTGTGTGTGTGTGGTGTGTGTGTGTGGGGTGTGGTGTGTGTGGTGTGTGGTGTGTGTGGTGTGTGTTAGCTGTGAGTGTGTGGGGTGTGGTGTGTGTGGTGTGTGTATGTGTGTGTGTGTGGTGTGTGTGTGTGGTGTGTGTATGTGTGTGGGGTGTGTGGGGTGTGTGGTGTGTGGGGTGTGGTGTGTGTGTGTGGGGTGTGGTGTGTGTGTGTGGGGTGTTGTGTGGGTGTGGTGTGTGTGGTGTGTGTTAGGTGTGTGTGTGTGTGTGGGGGGTGTGTGGTGTGTGTGTGTGGGGTTTGGTGTGTGGTGTGTGTGTGTGGTGTGTGTATGTGTGTGGGGTGTGTGTGGGGTGTGGTGTGTGTGTGGTGTGTGTGTGTGGGGTGTGTGTGGTGTGTGTGTGGTGTGTGTATGTGTGTGGGGTGTGTGTGTGGGGTGTGGTGTGTGTGGTGTGTGTATGTGTGTGGTGTGTGTATGTGTGTGTGGGGTGTGTGTGGTGTGTGTGTGGTGTGTGTGTGTGGGGTGTGGTGTGTGTGGTGTGTGTGTATGTGTGTGGGGTGTGGTGTGTGTGGTGTGTGTATGTGTGTGGGATGTATGTGGGGTGTGTATGTGGGGTGTGGTGTGTGTGGTGTGTGTGTGGTGTGTGTATGTGTGTGGGGTGTGTATGTGGTGTGTGTGTGGGGTGTGGTATGTGTGGTGTTTGTGTGGTGTGTGTATGTGTGTGGGGTGTGTGTGTGTGGGGTGTGGTGTGTGTGGTGTGTGTATGTGTGTGGTGTGTGTTTGTGTGTGGGGTGTGTGTGTGTGTGGTGTGTGTGTGTGGGGTGTGGTGTGTGTGGTGTGTGTGTGGGGTGTGGTGTGTGTTAGCTGTGTGTGTGTGGGGTGTGGTGTGTGTGGTGTGTGTATGTGTGTGGAGTGTGTGTGTGGGGTGTGTGTGGTGTGTGTGTGGGGTGTGGTGTGTGTGGTGTGTGTGTGAGGTGTGGTGTGTGTGGTGTGTGGGGTGTGGTGTGTGTGGTGTGTGTTAGGTGTGTGTGTGTGGGGTGTGGTGTGTGTGTGGTGTGTGTATGTGTGTGGGGTGTGTGTGGGGTGTGGTGTGTGTGGTGTGTGTGTGTGGTGTGTGTGTGGTGTGTGGGGTGTGGTGTGTGTTAGCTGTGTGTGGGGTGTGTGTGGTGTGTGTGTGTGAGGTGTGGTGTGTGTGGTGTGTAGGGGGTGGTGTGTGTAGTGTGTGTTAGGTGTGTGTGTGTGGGGTGTGGTGTGTGTGTGGGGTGTGGTGTGTGTGTGGTGTGCGGTGTGTGTGGGGTGTGGTGTGTGTGGTGTGTGTGTGAGGTGTGGTGTGTGTGGTGTGTGGGGTGTGGTGTGTGTGGTGTGTTAGGTGTGTGTGGGGTGTGGTGTGTGTGTGGTGTGTGTATGTGTGTGGGGTGTGGTGTGTGTGGTGTGTGTGTGTGTGTGGTGTGTGTGTGGTGTGTGTGTGTGGGGTGTGGTGTGTGTGGTGTGTGGTGTGTGTGGTGTGTGTTAGCTGTGAGTGTGTGGGGTGTGGTGTGTGTGGTGTGTGTATGTGTGTGTGTGTGGTGTGTGTGTGTGGTGTGTGTATGTGTGTGGGGTGTGTGGGGTGTGTGGTGTGTGGGGTGTGGTGTGTGTGTGTGGGGTGTGGTGTGTGTGTGTGGGGTGTTGTGTGGGTGTGGTGTGTGTGGTGTGTGTTAGGTGTGTGTGTGTGTGTGGGGGGTGTGTGGTGTGTGTGTGTGGGGTTTGGTGTGTGGTGTGTGTGTGTGGTGTGTGTATGTGTGTGGGGTGTGTGTGGGGTGTGGTGTGTGTGTGGTGTGTGTGTGTGGGGTGTGTGTGGTGTGTGTGTGGGGTGTGTGTGGTGTGTGTGTGGTGTGTGTATGTGTGTGGGGTGTGTGTGTGTGGGGTGTGGTGTGTGTGGTGTGTGTATGTGTGTGGTGTGTGTATGTGTGTGTGGGGTGTGTGTGGTGTGTGTGTGGTGTGTGTGTGTGGGGTGTGGTGTGTGTGGTGTATGTGTGTGTGGAGGGTGTGTATATGTGTGTGTGGTGTGTGTGTGGTGTGTGTGGTGTGTGTGTATGTGTGTGGGGGGTGTGTGTGGGGTGTGTGGTGTGTGTGTGGTGTGTGTGTGGGGTGTGGTGTGTGTGTATGTGTGTGGGGTGTGGTGTGTGTGGTGTGTGTATGTGTGTGGTGTGTGTATGTGTGTGTGGGGTGTGTGTGGTGTGTGTGGTGTGTGTGTGTGTGGGGTGTGGTGTGTGTGGTGTGTGTGGGGGGCGTGTATATGTGTGTGTGGTGTGTGTGTGGTGTGTGTGTGTGGGGTGTGTGGTGTGTGTGTGGTGTGTGTATGTGTGTGTGTGGTGTGTATGTGTGTGGTGTGTGTATGTGTGTGGTGTGTGTGTGGTGTGTGTGGGGTGTGTGGTGTGTGTGGGGTGTGTGTGGGGTGGCGTGTGTGTGGTGTGTGTGGTGTGTGTATGTGTGTGGTGTGTGTGGGGTGGTGTGTGGTGTGTGTGGTGTGTGTGTATGTGTGTGGTGTATGTGTGTGGTGTGTGTATGTGTGTGGTGTGGTGTGTATGTGTGGTGTGTGTGTATGTGTGTGGTGTATGTGTGTGGTGTGTGTGGTGTGTGATATGTGTGTGTGGTGTGTGTGTGGTGTGTATGTGTGTGGTGTGTGTGGTGTGTGTGTGTGGTGTGTGTGTGGTGTGTGTGGTGTGTATGTGTGTGGTGTGTGTGTGGTGTGTGTGGTGTGTATGTGTGTGGTGTGTATGTGTGTGGTGTGTGTGGTGTGTGTGGCGTATGTGTGGTGGATGTGTGTGGTTGCTTTCGGGACCCACCTGACAGCTGGAGGCGCCCGTCCGGCTTTACACGATAATTAAATACAACAACCCCCCCTCCCCAATGCAGATCAGAGGTTTTACCTCTGAAGCCGCAGCGCAACCGCGAGTCGCGGGACATTCACTTTCATCCGGGCAATCCGAAGAGCTGTAAAGCTCTTTTTAACACACCTCCAGACGTACCACGGCGCTGTCGTAAAGCATGCCCTTCAAAACATTTACGGCGCTGTCGTGAAACGCCCTTGGGCTCACGTACAGTACTGTCGTGAAACGCTTGACTCTGTCGTGAATTTAATCTTGACGACCTGCCGTGAGTGACGTATTTACGGCTCAGTCGTGAATAACGTCTTTACGACTCTGTCGTAAAGCACGTCTCTACGACTCCGTCGTGAAGGACGTCTTTACGACTCCGCCGTGAGTGACGTCTTTACGACTCTCTCTGCCGTGAGTCACGTGGCGCGGTGCTGGAGGAGGCAGATCGAGAATGTTGTGGAGAAATCCGATGAGCTGTGAAGCTCTTTTCCACAGGTGTCTGGATGTGGGGGGGGTCTCACCACGCTAAGGGGGGGGGTGTATTTGACCATACTTCACCACGCTGGGATATGTTTAGCTTAACATCGCTTGCAGAGCACAGATCCAGGAAGAATTGAAAGCCCCCCCCCCAAGCCAGCAACAAGCAACGCTCATGAACGCTGCTAACGCATGAGGGTAACACGATCCCATACCTGCCAAACCCCTTATCAGTGCCCCTCCATTATTACAGACCAATTCAGACCTTTATTAATCACCATAAGTCTCCACGTTCATCCTACAAAGTCCCATCATGAAGCGGCTGCGCTGCGTGCGAACATGACAACTCAAGTTTCTCCGTACAACAAAAACAACATTACCGTGTCAACCAGCATGGTCTACCACCTATCCCGGTAGAGGAGGGAGGGAGGACATTGAGTTTTCATGTCCATACAGCGTGTGCAGCCGTTTCTGGTAATATAAAAAAAGTCACGACGTTTCGATCGCAACACAAGCGACCTTCATCAGGTGGGACAACCACAGCAAGACTAAAAACACTGCTGATGATGGTGGTCGTTTGTGTTGAGATCGAAACGTCGTGATCTATTATTTTTGTAACCACGTGAATTTACCGAAATAACCAAAGAGTATGGATCCCTGCAGTCACGAAAGCTTCAATTTTAATCTATAATTTAGTTTAGATGGGGGGGTGGGGGGGGGGTGTTGGTCAGCCACGCGGGGTCAGAGGTCGAGATCGCGGGCGGCTCCTCCCCGGGCCCCTCCCCCTCCTCCCCCTCCTCCACCCCGCGAAGTCTCACAGCAGCAGCAGCCACAACATCCACAGCAGCAGCAGCAGCCACAACATCCACAGCAGCAGCAGCCACAACATCCACAGCAGCAGTAGCCACAACATCCACAGCAGCCGCAGCAGCAGCAGCAGCCGCAGCAGTAGCAGCATCCGTCCACCACGTCGCCCCCCAAGCCCAGCTCGAGTGGGAAGAGCCCGAAGGTAACGGGAATGGACCGAGGCCGGCCCTTCCCCGTGGGCAGGGCAAGGCACATTGCGTGGGGGGCATTGCCCGGGCTGTAGGGGGTTGGGGTGGCGCATTGGAGGCTTCGTGGGGCATTATAGGGGGCAATAGAGACGGCGTGGGGGGCAATAGAGACGGCGTGGGGGGCATTATATAGTGCGTGGGGTATTGCGTGTGGGCATTAGCGACTGTACGGGGCATTGCATGGGGCATTAAAGACCGCATGGGGGCATCGCATGGGGCATTAAAGACCGCATGGGGGCATCGCATGGGGCATTAAAGACCGCATGGGGGCATCGCATGGGGCATTAAAGACAGCATGGGGGCATGGCATGGGGCATTAAAGACCGCATGGGGGCATTGCATGGGGCATTAAAGACAGCATGGGGGCATTGCATGGGACATTAAAGACAGCATGGGGCATTAAAGACCGCATGGGGGCATCGCATGGGGCATTAAAGACCGCATGGGGGCATTGCATGGGGCATTAAAGAGAGCATGGGGGCATTGCATGGGGCATTGCATGGGGCATTAAAGACAGCATGGGGGCATTGCATGGGGCATTATAGACAGTATGGGGGCATTGCATGGGACATTAAAGACAGCATGGGGCATTGAATGGGGCATTGCATGGGGCATTAAAGACCGCATGGGGGCATTGCATGGGGCATTAAAGACAGCATGGGGGCATTGCATGGGGCATTAGGAAGTGCGTTGGGGCGTTGCATGCAGGGTGCGTCGCTGGGAAGGGCAGGTCTGCGCTGTCGCTCCGCGTCCCGAATAATAATAATTTACACTTTGCAAAGTGACGCATTTCATCCGCGGAGTCCAATGTGCCACGACCGTGTACGGAAAGCCAGGAAATTAACAGAACCTGCAGGCGGAACGGCCACAACTAGGCGGGAGTAAAGGCCAACTTACCCTCCCACTCACTCACCCACTCATTCACTCGTCCACTAACCCACCCACCCACTCACCTACCAACTCCCACACTTGTCCACTAAAGCACGCACCCACTCACTCAGCCACCCACTCACCTACCCACTCACTCACTCAGCCACTAACCCACCCACTCACTCGTCCATTCGCCCACTCATCCACTAACTTACCCACCCTCTCACTCACCTCCCTACTCACCTACCAACTCGCCCACTAGTCCATTAACTCATCCACCCACTCACGCACCTCCCCACCCACTAACCCACTCATTCACTCAGCCACTAACTCACCCGCCCACTCACTCACCTACCCACTCACCTACCAACTCGCCCACTAGTCCACTAACTCATCCACCCACTCGCCTACCCACCCACTAACTCACCCACCCACTCACCTACTCCCCCACTCACCTACAAACTCGCCCACTCATCCACTAACTCACCCACTCACTCACTCACCTACCCACCCACTCACTCACTAACTTGCCCACTCATTCACTCAGCCACTAACCCACCCACTCACTCGTCCATTCGCCCACTCATCCACTAACTCACCCACCCACTCACTCACCTACCCACCCACTCACTCACCCACTAACTCACTCACTAACTCGCCCACTCATTTACTCAGCCACTAACCCACCCACTCACTCGTCCATTCGCCCACTCATCCACTAACTCACCCATCCATTCATTCACTCAGAACCAGGGTAATAAAAACGGCCAGAACTCGGTTTTTTTAAAGAGGTGATTGATTAGCAAAGGCAGGGAGGGCGTTGTTCCACAGCCTCGGAGATGCACAGTGGCAAATTCCCGATCAGCCTAGGGACATAGCCTCGACATTGGGAGTCCTTTAGAAGAAGGCGATCCCAATATCTCGGGGTCCTTGTTCGGACAGAGTCAACTGGGATCGTCGGTTGCTGTTGACATTGCGGGGCTAAGCCACGGAGAGCCTTGTAGGTCAGCAGGAGCAAGCAGGGTCTCGGGGTCCACTCTATACTCGAGCGGTGGGCAATGCAGAGACAAGAGAGCAGGCGCGTGCGTGTGTGTGTGGTGCGTGTGTGTGAGGTGTGTGTGATGCGTGTGTGTGATGTGTTTGATGCGTGTGTGTGATGCGTGTGTGTGGTGTGTGGTGCGTGTGTGATGCGTGTGTGATGCGTGTGTGATGTGTGTGATGCGTGTGTGATGTGTAGGTGATGTGTGTGATGCGTGTGTGTGTGATGTGTTTGATGCGTGTGTGTGCTGTGTGATGTGTGTGTGATGTGTGTGTGTAATGTGCTCGAGCGATAGTGTAGCGGTTAGCGCTACGCTGCGCTATGAACCTAGCGACCCGGGTTCGATTCCCGCTCACGGCCAACACTCAGTGACGATTATCTGAACCGGTCCTGGGCCTCCCCTAGGTCGACTCAGCCTCAAATGAGTACCTGGTGCGGTGTGTAAACATCGCCACTGGGTAGACAAAGGCGACCGGCCGTGGTGCTGGCCACCCACCCCTTCGTGTACCGTGCCGGCCTTCATAGGTGCTACTCGCTAACAGCACTTGCCCCAACAGTCTGTTACAGGCTACACGGGGGACCTTTGGTTGTGCTCGAGAAGCGGTGTGTGGCCTAAGCGGCCCAGCAGCTGCGTTCTCAACGAGCCTGGAGTCGAACTCAGCTGGCCCAAAGGCAATGGGGCCAGTCTCTCGCTAGTCATCAGGCGGGGCAATATTTCTAAGGTGGAAGAACGAAGTTCTAAACACCCTCGACACACGTCCCTCAAAGGGAACGGGGGACTGGTCAAACCGAACACCAGGATGTCTGTGACCTCCTGTGATGATGGGCAGACGTCGTGACCGTCTGTTGACAAACGTGGCGTGTGCAGGGCAGCATGGAGATCAGTTTCGGCGGAAAGCACGCGCTGGTGACGGGGGCAGGCAAAGGTGCGCGTACTCACCTTGTACACTCACCCGTGTGATCACTCTCACCTACACACCCACACACTCATCCGTGTGATCACTCACCTACACACCCACGCACTCACCTGCACACCCATACACTCACCCGTGTGATCACTCACCTACACAACAACAACAACCGCCATTCGTCACTAAGTGGCGGTGACGTCACCACGACACTTGTGCCAGGCTATGTGCACCCTGAGGCCACGTGAAGTGTCGAACGCCCGCTGGCAGGAGGTCACGGGGCAGACCCAGGTGCCACGGGTCGACTGACTGAGATGACTGGCTGATGCACCACCTGTGCCCCCTACTGTGCCAACCTGCTGTGCTTTAGCCACCCGGCGCTCCGCTCGTTGTTGTGAGCGTCGCTCCTCCGCCCTCCGTTGTTGTTGGAGGGCGACTACCTCCAACTGCCCAGTAGCATCCTTCACGAGCCTCCTCCACAGAGGCCGATCTTGACACCGCTGGTACCAGTCATCGGCAAGTCCGCTGAGCTCCACGTCCTCCCGTACCACATCACTCCATCTCTTCTCTAGCCCGTGCCGCGACCACTTAGCCCCCTCAATCCGGCCGAACAAAAGCTGTTTCGGCATGCGTTGGCTGGGCATGCGGGCTACATGACCCAGCCATCGCAGCCTTGCCCGCCGGAGGAGCTCACCGATGGGACCTTGCCCAGATCTTTCAAGGATTTGTGAGCTCCTCACACAATCCAGTCTGGTTAAACCCAGGATGGATCGTAGGCAGGCCAGCCTAAATGTTTCTAACCGGCGAAGATGTTCCATTAGGGGGGTCCACGTTTCGCAAGCGTAGAGAAGGGAGGGAATGACCGTGGCCGAGAAGACCTGAAGCTTAGTGCGGAGCGACAGACCAGGTAGCTTCCACACAGCGTTACGCAACCAATGAAAAGATATTGCCGCTCGACTGATTCGGAGTGAGACCTCTGCTGTTAAACTGGAGCCAGTCATAAGCACACTGCCCAGGTATGGGAAACTCTCCACTCTCTCCACAATTGCCCCATCACCGATTGGGAGTTGTGGGGGTGGAGTGTCCGATGGTACAAAATACCCAGGCAGGTGCTTAGTTTTGGTGGGGCTGATGGTAAGGCCCCACCTCTTAGTGGCACGCTCCAGTCTCAGCAGCAGCGTCTCCAACTCCTCCTCTGAATGAGCAGCTATTACCAAATCATCAGCATGCATAACGTGGTTGAGCAATAGGGAGCCATCCCTTGACCGCACCCGGGCATCGATCAGCGTCCCATTATATCTGTACCATATGGAGATTCCCCCGGTACAGCTATTGAAGGCTTCACGAACTACGTGGTCAAAATATATGTTAAATAATGTTGGAGCCAGAGGACATCCCTGTCGCACCCCAAGGTGTACAGGGAATGGCTCTGACTCCCGGCCACGTAGTTTTACCCGGGCCCGCTCACCATCATGAAGGTCCTTAATGATCGTGAGCAGAGGGTCAGGTACTCCAAAAGCACGAAGAACGACCCAGAGCCCAGGCCTACTGATGGTATCATAGGCCTTGACCAGGTCAATAAAGCAGAGATGTTGGTCTTGTTGGATTTCCCTATACCTCTGCTGTAGCAGACGGACAGAAAATATGGCATCTGTGCAGGACCGCCCTATCCTGAAACCGCATTGGGGCTCCGCAAGCCTCTCCTCAGCGTGCCTGGCAAGGCGATGCTGAATAATCCTTGCCAGGACCTTTCCCGGCACACTGAGGAGTGAGATGCCCCTGTAGTTGTTACAGTCTGTGCGGTCCCCCTTCTTAAAGAGGGGGACCACCAGGGCATCCTTCCAATCCTGCGGAACCCGTCCAGTGGTCCAGACCGTTGTTATGATGTCATATAGGGCAGTCTGTGCACAAACGCCACCCTCCCCCAGCATTTCGCTTGGGAGATCATCTCTGCCCGCTGCCTTTCCTGGTCTCAGACTCTGGATCGCCTTCAGTACTTCCTCAACAGATGGCACCTCAGCCAGCCACTCACAGGGGGTGACTTCTTCCAATATTTGAGGCACCGCAGCCTCAGCAGGGTCATCCTCACTTTGTGCCACGATGTTTTCCTGGCTGAGGGATTTTCCCTCCCCCAGGACCTCACAGAAATGCTCAGCAAATCTGCAAACCTGTTCCTGGGGGTCGGAGATTGGATCACCGTTTTTTCCCCTAATGATGGTAATAGGTGTGGCGCTGCAGGTTACTTTTTTGATGGAGTTAAATAGATATTTGTGATCGCGGGCCACTGAGGCAGACTCCATCTCCTCAGCAACCCGCGACCACCACCCATCCTTGCAGCGCCTCACAGCTCTCCGAACCTCCGAGCGAAGGCTGCGGTAAGCCTCCTCATTCTCCGACGTGGGATTCTGTAGCCGATGACAGTGGGCCTGTCGCTTTTTCTCAACCATCCTGAACACCTCCTCTGTCAGCCAGGGTCTCTGGGGAGGTCTGGACCGCGTACCCAAAGCAGCCATTGCAGCTGCATGAGTCACAGTTCCAAACCTCGCCCATTTACCCTCGACATCAGGAGGAGTCGGGGACGATGCCAATCCCAGCTGCAAGCGATGATGAAATTATCGCTTGCAACTTTCATCAGATAACTGAGACCAGGCCACTTTAGGTCAGGATGGGGTCCTGGGTGTACACCCACCACCGGAGTGGAAGAATGGCAGGCGCATCTTACAGATGACTAGTCGATGGTCAGAGGGCAGATCAGCTCCACGGTAGGTCCTGGTGTCAAGGACATGGGCTCGCATCCGCTGGTCCATCACTATGTAGTCGAGCAGATGTTCTTGCTTGGACCCGGCATGCATCCATGATGTTGTGTGGATGCGCCGATGCCGGAACAGCGTGTTGGTAATTACAAGCCCATGGGCTGCACAAAAATCTAGCAGCCTCCTACCATTGTTATTGAGCTGATCTGGCCCATGCCCTGCAATCACTCCAGACCAGGTGCCAGTATCATGACCAACTCGGGCATTGAAGTCACCCAACATGATGACTCTATCCCGAGGGGCCACTTTAGCCAGCACCTGTGACAGGAGGTCATAGAAGGCATCTGACTCATCGGCTTTGCCTGCATCCCTCCATGGATGTTCATCTTCGTTGGGGGCATAAGTAACCACGACCACCATTCCTCGCCTCCGGTTGATGGGAAGGCAAGCCCAAAGTAGCCTGGGGCTTACAGCTTCCCACACCTCACCGCCACGCTCCCACGCCCCCTTCATTCTTTTGTTCAAAAGAAGAGCCACACCCTGTTGTTTGGCAGTCTGCTGCCCCGAGTAGAGGACTGTCCACCCCTCATGGTGGCAGGAGCCAGAGCCCGTCCACCGGACCTCCTGAATGCCGCATAGATCCAGGCGGTACCGGTCCAGCTCCCGACAGAGGAGTGGCAGCCTCTTCTCCGCAGTGAGCGTTCGAACATTCCACGTGGCCACCCATAGTGGCTTTTCGTTGTTTCTGGAGTAGCCCCGAGGGTGGATATTCAATCTCCTGGCTCCGCCAATTGGGGTTTGGCCAGGAGACGTTATAGACGCCTGGCCCCCCGGGGCCTCCGGCACAAGCTTATTAGTTACATATTTCAGTTTAACTCGTGGTTTCGTGGTAATTAATTGAAGGTGGAGGGGTTACCAGCCCCTCGCACCCATCCAGAGCCCCCGTTTAGCCCCTGTGGTGGACACATATGCCATGAGGGGAGGAGCCAATCAAAATTGGATCTCCCCCCACATCACTGTCCACGACCCACTCACTCACCTGCACACCCATACACTCACCTGTGTGATCACTCACCTACACACCCATACACTCACCTGTGTGATCACTCACCTACACACCCACTCACTCACCTGGACACCCATACACTCACCTGTGTGATCACTCACCTACACACCCATACACTCACCTGTGTGATCACTCAGCTGTGATCACACTCACCTGTGTGATAACTTACCTGTGATCACTCACCTGTGTGATCACTCACTTGTGATCACTCACCTGCACACCCATACACTCACCTGTGTGATCACACTCACCTGTGTGATCACTCACCTGCACACCCATACACTCAGCAGCTTATAAACGTTAACATGGAAGCAACGCAGTGGTAAGACTGGTGCCTCGCACTAAGAACCCACCTGGGTTCGATTCCCCACTCAGGTGCCCTTGTACGCGCTGTACGTGTGCGGAGTTGTACACAAAGGTGAGCCCGTAGGGCAATGCAGAGCGCATTGGACTTCTAGTGGCGTTCAAAACCACGCACAATGTGGCTGCCATACATTCCCCCTATTCCTGCGTAGTTGGGTCAGCCCCATGGGATCGGAGGGACCAGACCCCCGGCGGATGGAGCTGTGTTGGCTGGGTTAATCATCCTGCTGATGCTGCTGCTTCTGCTGCTGCTGCAGAGAGGCAGCGTCCCGTGACTCGAGCATACACGCGAAGTCAGCAGTAGCCAGCACAGGCGCTGTGTGTCACCCCTTGATCACGCGTGTGTGTGTGTGTATCTGTGTAGGGCTAGGGGCGGGGGAAGCTTTTTTCTGCCAAGGGCCATTTGGATATTTATATAACATCATTCGCGGGCCATACAAAGTTATCAACTTAAAATGTAGTCCGTTATATTTTTTGTCAAACATTGAATTAACTCGCCCCTAATGCGATTGGGCTGGAACTGTTTCTCTTTGGCGAGGCGTGGTGATGATGTTAGCCGGGTATTGACGATGTTGTCGCTACTCGCAACTGCTTTTCCAGGTTTGCTCTCCTAGATTTGTTGAATTTCGAGTCCCGCCTGCGGTTGCCTTGGCAGGGCCAGACTCAAATTATTTCGTGGGCCTTACACGGCACGTTGGCTGAACGTTCTCCCCACCCCTGGTGTAGGGGGTGGTTGTGCAGCAGTAAGTGGAACTACCGCTCCGATACCCGGCCACCCGAGTTCGATTCCCGCTGACGGACAACACCGGTGGTGAATATTGGAACCAGATTCTGGGAGTCCCCTAGGTAGACTCAGACTCAAATGAGTACCTGGTGCAGTGTGTAAACATCTCCGCCGGGGAGACAAAGGCGGCCGGGCGTGGTGCTAACCACCAACCCCCTCGTGTGCCGTGCCTACCTTTCGTAGGCGCTACTCGCGAACAGCACTTGCCCCAACAGTCTGTTAAGGCCATACGGGGGATCTTTGTCTTTGTAGGTATTGGCAGGGCCACCTGCATAGCCCTACAGAGTCTGGGAGCCACGGTGACGGCGCTGAGCCGGACCCAGGCCGACCTGGACAGCCTCACCCACGAGGTGAGGGTGTGGGCATCCAGAGGTGAGGGTGGAGGTGGGGGCATCCAGAGTTGGGGTGAGGGTGATGGTGGGGGCATCCAGAGGTGAGGGTGGAGGTGGGGGTGGGGGCATCCAGGGTTGGGGTGAGGGTGGGGGCATCCAGAGTTGGGGTGAGGGTGAGGGTGGTGTCTGCTCAATGTGCTGTTGCTGCCATATGTGGTGCCGTACAGGTGTAAGTGGTGTACCAGTTTAACACGTAAGGCTTTCGCGACCAATATCATCCATAATACAGTTATTCTGTGTTAGATCGCGTAAATATATGAACCCGCCACCACCCGTCACAGCCAACTCATGCTTTCCCACCTGATGACGGACGCTTGTGCTGCGCCCGAAACGTCGTGATTTATTTTATTTTCTACCCTACGTGACTTTACCGAAAGAACCAAAGAGTATGGATTCCTGCGGTCACGAAAGCTTCAAATCAAGATAGTAAGGGTTGTCACGTAAACAGAACGTGGCCAATTCGTCACTGGTACAGCAACACCGTTTGTGTGTTGGAGAGCCAAGCCACAACATTTACAATCGGAGTACGACGTTTCGCCAGTAATTACAACCAGCTTCATCAGGCGACAGCCAGATTTGTGGAGAAGTCCACCTGTTTTGTTCCTGATTCACCAGTCTACCTCTGCTTTGTAGACTCGGAGAAAGCACGTGACCGTGTTCCCCGCAGTGTCTTGTGGGAGGTGCTGCGGGAGTGTGATGTGCCGGTGCCGCTTGTGTGCGCTAGCCGGTCCCTCTATTCCTGGAGTGAGCGCTGTGTCCGTATTCTTGGTGTTAAATCAAAGTCGTTCACTGTGGGTGTTGGACTCTGCCAAGGGTGCGTCTGGTCTCCACTCCTGTTTGTGATTTTCATGGACGGGATATCAAGGCGCAGCCGAGGCACGGAGAAGTATCCAGTACGGGGGCATGGAGGTGGCCTCGCTGCTTTTTGCAGATGACGTTGTCCTCTTTGCCTCGTCAGTCTGTGATCTCCAGCGTGAAGTTAAACGGTTTGATGCCGAGTGTGAAGCGGCACTTCCAAATGTGAGGTCGTGGTTCACTCCCGGGAGGGGGTGGATCGTTCTCTCCAGGTGAGGGGGGGACAGCTGCCCTTAGCGGAGGAGTTTAAGTACCTCGGGGGTCTCTTTCCCGAGTGACGGTGAGTGGGAGCGGGAGATCGGCCGGCGGATCGGTGCGGCGTCCGCGGTGTTGCGGGCGCCGTGCCGTGCCGTGGTCGTGAATCGGGAGCTGAGTTCTCGAACGAAGCTCGCGGTTTACAGGTCGATCTAAGTTCCCACCCTCACCTATGGCCGTGAGCTTTGGGTAATGACCGAAAGGATGGGATCGAGGGTACAAGGGGCCGAGATGAGGTTTCTCTGCAGGGTTGCCGGGCTCACTCTCCGTGATCAGGTGAGGAGCCCAGGAACCCGGGAGAGCCTCAGAGTCGAGCCGCCGCCGCTCCTCCGGATCGAGAGGAGCCAGTTGAGGTGGTTCAGGCACTCGGTAAGGAAGCCCCCCCCGGTAGACTCTCCCTGGAACTCTACCGGGCAGCAGCAGCAGCAATGTCCTGCTGGGCGAAGACCCCGGGGCCGGCCCAGGGGGGACGATGTCGCTCGGCTTGCCTGCGAACGCCTGGGAATTCCGCCAGGAAGAGCTGCAGTCTGTGCGTAGTAGTGTATAGTGTAGTGTAGAGTATAGTAGTGTGTAGTGTAGTGTAGAGTATAGTAGTGTGTAGTGTAGTGTAGAGTATAGTAGTGTATAGTGTAGTGTATAGTATAGTAGTGTATAGTGTAGTGTAGAGTATAGTAGTGTTTAGTGTAGTGTAGAGTATAGTAGTGTATAGTGTAGTGTATAGTCGTGTAGTGTATAGTGTAGTGTATAGTGTTGTGTAGTAGTGTATTAGTGTATAGTGTAGTGTATAGTGTAGAGTATAGTAGTGTATGTTGTAGTGTATAGTGTAGTGTACAGTAATGTAGTGCGGTGTATGCAGGTTAACGTGGTGGTGGCGGTGCGTGCGGTGCGTGTGGTGCAGTGCCCCGCGGTGCGTGCCGTGTGTGTGGACCTGGCCGACTGGGCGGCGGTGGAGGCGGTGCTGGGGGCCGTGGGCCCGGTGGACCTCCTCGTCAACAACGCCGGCGTCGCCCTGCTGCAGCCCTTCCTCGACGTCACGGCGGAGGCCTTCCAGCGGTGGGGCCGCACTCCTCGCACGCCACACACTCGCACGCGGTGACCACACAGGCCACACACACACACAGTGACCACACACACACATACACAGTGACCACACACACACATACACAGTGACCACACACACACATACACAGTGACCACACACACACATACACAGTGACCACACAGGCCACACACACACACACAGTGACCACACACACACATACACAGTGACCACACACGCCACACACTCACACGCAGTGACCACACACACACATACACAGTGACCACACACGCCACACACTCACACGCAGTGTACACACACACACATACACAGTGACCACACACGCCACACACTCACACGCAGTGTACACACACACACACAGTGACCACACAGGCCACACACACTCGCACGCGGTGTACACACACACACACGCGGTGTACACACACACACACGGTGTACACACACACACAGTGACCACGCAGGCCACACACTCGCACGCGGTGTACACACACACACACACGCAGTGTACACACTCACACGCAGTGTACACACACAGTGACCACACACGCCACACACTCACACGCAGTGTACACAACGCTGTGTACACACACAGGGTGTACACAGAAAGGCGGTGTACACACACGCGGTGTACACAGTGTTCACTCACACGGTGTACACACATGCAGTGTACACACACACTGACCACACACGGTGCACACACACACACACACGATGTACACACAGGCCACACACCACCCGCAGTGTGCACACACACACGGCACACCAGACACACATGCACACACACAGTGTACACACATACACATGGCACACCAGACACACATGCACACACACACGGCGCACCAGACACACATGCACACACACACGGCGCACCAGACACACATGCACACACACACAGTGTACACACACACACATGGCACACCAGACACACATGCACACACACACAGTGTACACACACACACACAGTGTACACACACATGGCACACCAGACACACATGCACACACAGTGTACACACACACACACCAGACACACATGCACACACACACAGTGTACACACACACACACAGTGTACACACACATGGCACACCAGACACACATGCACACACAGTGTACACACACACACACCAGACACACATGCACACACACACACAGTGTACCCGTGCAACACCGCACTGGGCATGACTGTTGTCTCTGCCTCTCTCTCGTGCTGTTTCAGTTCATTTGACGTGAACGTGAAAGCAGTTCTTCAGGTGTCACAGGTAACAACCACCACTCCTCGCACACCCTCACACAAAGACAAAGATCCCCCGTATAACCTTAACAGACTGGTGGGGCAAGTGCTGTTAGCCAGCACCTATTAGTTATATATTGAAGTCGTAGTTTCGTGGTAATTTTTTGAAGGTGGAGGGGTTACCAGCCCCTCGCACCCGTCCAGAGCCCCCGTTTAGCCCCTGTGGTGGTCACAGACGCCATGAGGGGAGGAGCCAATCGGAATTGGCCCTCCCCCCACAGCAGTGTCCACGACAGAGTTGCCCGTCCGGCACCGCGAGGAGGTAGGGGTTTTTTTACATTATGAGACCTCCTTTGCCAGTAACAAGATATAGTAATAGGTTTTACCCTTTTAACTGGCACAAAAACTGACACCTTTATTCAAGGCATCATGTTTGCAATAACCACAACACAAGCAGTCAAAATGCAAACAAAAGAGACAACTCTGATAATAACATGCATTGTCCTTGAATTTGATTGGTCCACACCCAAGACGGCTTTTCTTAGAGCCTAGTCTCCACTGGTGTTGGACCAGAAGACGCCAAAAGGCGTACAACTCAAAAAGAGCGCACTATCAGAGTATTGAGGGCTTGGGGTGAGCAATTACATTATGAGACCTCGTTTCCCAGCAACAAGATATAGTAATAGGTTTTACCCTTTTAACTGGCACAAAACTGACACCTTTATTCAAGGCATCATGTTTGCAATAACCACAACACAAGCAGTCAAAATACCCAGGTAGGTGCTTAGTTTTGGTGGGGCTGATGGTAAGGCCCCATCTCTTAGTGGCACGCTCCAGTCTCAGCAGCAGCGTCTCCAACTCCTCCTCTGAATGAGCAGCTATTACCAAATCATCGGCATACATAACGTGGTTGAGCAATAGGGAGCCATCCCTTGACCGCACCCGGGCATCGATCAGCCTTCCATTATATCTGTACCAAATGGAGATTCCCCCGGTACAGCAATTGCAGGCTTCACAAACTACGTGGTCAAAATATATGTTAAATAATGTGGGAGCCAGAGGACATCCCTGTCGCACCCCAAGGTGTACAGGGAATGGCTCTGACTCCCGGCCACGTAGTTTTACCCGGGCCCGCTCACCATCATGAAGGTCCTTAATGATCGTGAGCAGAGGGTCAGGGACTCCAAAAGCACGAAGAACAACCCAGAGCCCAGGCCTACTGATGGTATCATAGGCCTTGACCAGGTCAATAAAGTCTCTCACACACACACGGAGTCCCTCACATACACACACACACAGTTTTTCACACACACACAGTCTCTCACACACACACAGTCTTACACACACACACAAAGTCTCACACACAGTCTCACACACACACTCGCACACTCTCTCAGGCACAACAACAACGACAATAAGTCATTAGTGACGGCGACGTCACCACGGCGCTTTTGCCAGGCTAGGTGCACTTTTTATGCCGCGTGAAGTGTCCAAGGATCACTCGGCAGGAGGAGGTCATGGAACAGACCCAACAGGTGCCAGGGGTTGACCGACTGAGATGACTGGAGATGCACCACCAGCTGTGCACCCTGCTTGTTGCTGGCTTGCTGCGCTGTAGCCACCCTGGCGCTCCGCTCGTTGTTGTGAGCGTCGCTCCTCCACTCTCACCCCCCACTCTCACACCCCCCACTCACACCCCCCCCCCCACTCTCACACCCCCCACTCTCACAAACCCCCAACTCTCACCCCCCACTTTAACCCCCCCCCCCCCCACTCTCACACCCCCAACTACATACGGCGGCGAAAGAAGTTCGACAGACAAACCCTCACCGCACTGCGGGTGAAGGCGTTACCGTGACGATGGTGTGATAGTGTTACCGTGCCGATGGTGTGATGGTGTTACCGTGACGATGGTGTGATGGCGTTACCGTGACGATGGTGTGATGGCGTTACCGTGACGATGGTGTGATGGTGTTACCGTGACGATGGTGTGATGGTGTTACCGTGACGATGGTGTGACGGCGTTACCGTGACGATGGCGTGATGGTGTTACCGTGACGATGGCGTGATGGTGTTACCGTGACGATGGTGTGACGGTGTTACCGTGACGATGGTGTGACGGTGTTACCGTGACGATGGTGTGATGGTGTTACCGTGACGATGGCGTGATGGCGTTACCGTGACGATGGTGTGATGGTGTTACCGTGACGATGGTGTGATGGTGTTACCGTAACGATGGTGTGATGGCGTTACCGTGACGATGGCGTGACGGCGTTACCGTGGTGATGCGATGCATTTGGCAGGGTGTTCGTGCTGCTGCTTGTTACGATGTTTGCCGTGGCGACGATGCTGGTGGTGTTGGGTGACACGACGTTGCCGTGGCGACGATGCTAGTGGTGTTGGTGACGTGACGACGTTGCCGTGGGGATGGCGCCGTTGGTGCCGTGACGACGTTGCCGTGGCGACGGTGCCGTTGGTGCCGTGACGACGTTGCCGTGGCGACGGTGCCGTTGGTGCCCTGACGACGTTGCCGTTGGTGACGTGACGACGTTGCCGTGGCGACGGCGCCGTTGGTGACGTGACGACGTTGCCGTGGCGATGCAGGCGGTGGCGAGGGGCATGGTGGCACGGGGAAGCGGCGGCGCCATCGTGAACGTGTCGAGCCAGGCGTCGCAGCGAGCGCTGCTCAACCACACCGTCTACTGTACGCACACAACTCATCCTGCTCGTCACGCGGTGTTCACCCTCGGAGTTGACCCTCGGAGTTCACCCTCGGAGTTGACCCTCGGAGTTGACCCGCGGCTAGTTCACCCGCGGCTAGTTCACCCGTGCCTAGTTCACCCGGGGCGCTCACCAGTTTTCGTAAATAATTTAAAAGCGAAGTGTGTCACACGCTTTTGCACGGGCGACCACACCACCCAACGTGCACCAAAATTTAAAATTTAATCCGATCCGCTACAAACCGCCGACGGGGTTGCATCAGCTGCTCACCATCGCCGGTACTCACCGGCTGTGGTGTGCAAACAACGCCGTGTCACCCTCTGTGTGTGTTTCTGTGGGGGAGCGGTGGTGTAGCGGTTAGCGCTACGCTGCGCTATGTACCCGGCGACACGGGTTCGATTCCCGCTCATGGCCAACATCAGTTAAGATTATCTGAACCGGTCCTGGGCCTCCCCTAGGTCGACTCAGCCTCAAATGAGTACCTGGTGCGTTGTGTAGTAAACATCGCCACTAGGGAGACAAAGGCGGTCGGGCGTGGTGCTGGCCACCCACCCCCTCGTGTACCGTTGCGGCCTTCATAGGTGCTCGCTAACAGCACTTGCCCCTACAGTCTAAGGCTATACGGGGGATCTTTGTCTCTGTGTGGACAGGTGCCTCGAAGGGAGCCCTGGACATGCTCACCAAAGTCATGGCCCTGGAGCTTGGACCTCACAATGTAACGCACACACCACCGCCTCGCTCGCCAACAACATCCGCCATTCGCCACCAAGTGGCGGTGACGTCCACCCAGGCGCTTGTGCCAGGCTAGGTGCACTTTTAAGGCCGCGTGAAGTGTCGAACACCCGCTGGCAGGTCACGGACAGACCCACGTTCACTCTTACCAGAACAGCTCACAAACCACGTGACCAGCATAGAGACAGCACTCTTACCAGCACAGCTGACAAACCACGTGACCAGCATAGAGATATCACTCTTACCAGCACAGCTGACAAACCACGTGACCAGCATAGAGATATCACTCTTACCAGCACAACTGACAAACCACGTGACCAGCATAGAGATAGCACTCTTACCAGCACAGCTCACAAACCACGTGACCAGCATAGAGATAGCACTCTTACCAGTACAGCTGACAAACCACGTGACCAGCATAGAGATAGCACTCTTATCAGCACAGCTCACAAACCACGTGACCAGCATAGAGACAGCACTCTTACCAGTACAGCTGACAAACCACGTGACCAGCATAGAGATAGCACTCTTATCAGCACAGCTCACAAACCACGTGACCAGCATAGAGACAGCACTCTTACCAGTACAGCTGACAAACCATGTGACCAGCATAGAGATAGCACTCTTACCAGTACAGCTGACAAACCACGTGACCAGCATAGATATAGCACTCTTACCAGTACAGCTGACAAACCACGTGACCAGCATAGAGATAGCACTCTTACCAGTACAGCTGACAAACCACGTGACCAGCATAGAGATAGCACTCTTACCAGTACAGCTGACAAACCACGTGACCAGCATAGAGATAGCACTCTTACCAGTACAGCTGACAAACCACGTGACCAGCATAGAGATAGCACTCTTATCAGCACAACTGACACGTGACCAGCATAGAGATAGCACTCTTACCAGCACACAATACTAACACAGTCACTATCACATACTCGCATCCATGTGGGAGTCACAGCCCGATGACTTCTCCATCAATGACAACAGCCACCGTTTACCACGCGTCGGTGACATCAGCACAGCACTTGTGCCAAGCTAGGTTCACCTTGAGGCCGTCACGTCAAGTGTCCGAGGCTCGCTCGCAGGAGGTCACAGAAGAGACCCAGGTGTCATGGGTTGACGGAGATGACCGGCTGATGCACCACCTGTGCCCCCCCCCATTGTGCCAACTTGCTGTGTTTTAGCCGCTCGGCGCTCTGCTCGTTGCTGTGAGCTCACTGCCTCGCTCACCACATGCCACTCGCCCATCCTCACTCACCGCCTGCCTGCGTGTGCGGGAGTGTGAGCGTGCCCTTGTTCACACGTGGGGAGCGGTGGTGCAGCGGTCAGCACTGCGCTACGAACCCAGTCACACAACTTCGATTCCCGCTTTCGTACCGAAAACAGCGTCAATTATCTGAACCGGTGCCGGGCTTCCCGTAGGTCGACTCGGCCTCAAATGTCTACCTGGTGCGGTGTGTAAACATCGCCACTGCTGAGACAACGGCGGTCGGGCGTGGTGCTGGCCACCCACCCACCCCCTCGTGTGCCAGGTGCTGCTCGCTAACGCCACTTGCCCCAACAGTCCGTTAAGACTATACGGGGGGGGGGGGGGGGGGGGGGGTTGTAATGTGTGCGTGTTGTGGTCAGATCCGCGTGAACGCCGTGAACCCCACGGTGGTGATGACGGACATGGGTCGCGAGGCATGGAGCCCCCCGGAGCGAGCGGGTCCCATGCTGGCGCGCATACCACTCGCTCGATTCGCCGGTGAGACGCTCACACACACACACAAAGATCCCGAACCGTGTCGCCTGTAACAGACTGTTGGGGCAAGTGCCGTTAGCGAGAAGCACCTATGGAAGGGCGGCGCTGTGGCACACGAGGGCGTGGGTTGGTCAGCACCACACACGGCCGCCTTTGTCTCCCTAGTGGTAAAGTTTACACACCGCACCACTCATTTGAGGCCGAGTCGACCTATGGGAGGCGCAGGAACCGGTTCAGATAACCGTCACGGGTGTTGGCCGCTAGTGCGAATCGAACTCGGGTTGCCGGCTTCGCATCGCAGCGCGCGAAACGCTACACCACCGCTCCCCACATGGGCATGTACACACAAACAGGCAGGTACATTGGTGACGGAAACCTGGCTGTTGCCGTCACTAGCGCCACCGCCAAATTGGCCACGTGTGTCGTTACGGTGCCCCCCCCCCCCTCTCTCCCGACCCACAGAGCTGGAGGACGTGGTGAACGCCGTCGTGTTCCTGCTGAGCGAGCGCAGCGCCATGGTGCACGGCGTCACGCTGCCCGTGGACGGGGGCTTCCTCGCCTGCTAGGCGACGCAGTCACCGGCGTCACGCTGCAGCGCCACGGTCACCACCACCACGTGTCACATCACCAACCCTGGTGCCTCCAAGCTAAACACCAGGGGGTGGCACCACCGGCGTTCCCGCCACCCTGGAGAGCCCCTTCCTCCGGAGGGTGCTTGGCCTACTCTTCCGCATTGCTATTATTGTACAGCCGGAGCGATCGCCCTCCATGGGCGTATGTCGGGTGAACTGTTCCGGAAATCTCTGCCTTAGCAGCGACACGGCTAACGCTGTTGCCAGCAATGACAACAACACACGCTTTGCACACGCCGTCACCAACACCGTGTCGGCGCGAAAATCATGCCTCCCACTCGATCCCCCCCCCGCCCCCACAACCACCAGCAGCTCTAAATAAAGCTACCGATCGTACGCACGCGTCAAGCGAGTCGTGTCCCCAGTGAAGGAGGCGGGCGGTGCGAAAGTCACGAACATAAACCCTCTTTTTATTTTAATATTAATTACTGGAGTGTGGGCGGCCGGCCGGCACCGGGGTTACAAGTCCGGCCCAATCGCGATCGTTCCTCGCCCGACGCGCAAGGATCGCCGGCGAAGTCCATGAAGCAGTTGACATGGAACACCCTTCCACACACAGTAGCAGTGCACAGCACCAACACGCGTGTGTGTGCGCGCGCCGCTAGAATTGTGCGTGTGTGCGGCTAGACTTCTGTGCTGAGATGGAAGGAGGAGGGGGGGGTGCATACACAGGCGTACATTTATATTCTTGGTTCTTTCGGTAAAGTCACGTAAGCAGGGAAACAATAAAATAAAAAAAAATTTAAAATCGACACTTTTTTCAAAATTTTCTCGCTGTGGTTTTCACACCTGATGATGATTGCTTGTGTTGCAGCCGAAACGTCGTGAGAATTTTGTTTGATATTTTTATTATTTTATTGTTTCCCTTCTACGTGACTTTACCAAAAGAACCAAGAATATGAATCCCTGCAGTCACGAAAGCTTTAAATCAAAGGTGTACATTTGTTTTGCGCGTGTGCAGGTAGGTAGGTGTGTGTTTGTGCGTGTCTGTGGGGAGTGGTGGCGCAATGGTTAGCACGCACTGCGCTACAAACCCCGGCGAACCAGAGCTCGATTCCAGCTCGCGACCAACGACCGTGGAAGAATGTTTGAACCGGTCCTGTGCCGCTCCTAAGTCTACTCAGCCGTGCATGGGGGCGTGGTGTTGGCCACACCACCGCCTCCGTGTGACGTGCTGGCCTTCAAAAGGTGCTTCGCTTACAGCGCTTACCCCCCCCCCCCAACAGTTTCTTAAATGCTCGACAGGGGATCTTTGTGTCCAGATAGACACGCGCGTGTGTGTGGACAGACGCATGTCTGGTGCGTGCGTATTTGATGTCGCGCGCGCGACATCAAAAGTGCATCTATCCCGACACAAGCGCCACTTTGTGGCAAATGGGAATCCCCGGGTGCTACGGTGCGCGTGTACACTTGTGCGGACGTGCGCTCGCGAATCGCCCTGGGACATTGCACGGCAGATCCGGACGGCCACCTCCACCGATGGGCAGACAATTAAGAACATTCCACGTGACCGTTTCTAAAACCGTGGCCCACGCACACCGACGCCACTGCCCGCTGCTATCATTCACCGGCGGCGTCTCGGATATTCACCGTGAAGTTTGCTCTTGAAGCGCTCGCCAGTCTCCACGCGAACAAACGTCGCCGATTAACTCCCTGCCATTCACAAGAACGTGTGTGTACATGTGTTGCACATGCCAGCCATCTCGGTTAACCCGTAACACCTGGGGGGGGAGGGGGGGGTCTGTCTCGTGACCTCCTGCCAGAGAGCCTTCGACATTTCACCCGTGCCTCAAAGTGCACCGATCCTGGCACAAGCGCTTTGCCGGCGTCGCCACCACTCGGTGGTGAATGACGGCTGTTGTATGCGTACGTGCGTATAGCCGGAGGCCCAACTCGCCTCCCACCTTCCCCCCCCTTCCACATTTAACAGTTGCGCACCCCACAGCCCACAGGGGCAACTGTCAAGGCAGGCCGTACCATCGCGTGCACGGCGATAGTGCAGCCACAGGATTAAGCGGATGCACAAACAGAGGGCTGGGGGGGGGGGGGGGTGGCTGGGACGGAGACGGTGTGGGGGGGGGGGGGGGAGGTGACGAGGGAGGGGAGGGGCCGACGGTGGTTGGCGGGGGGGTCTCTACTGCAGCTCCTTCATGCGGTTGAGGGCGCTGCCGGCGCGGAACCAGCTGATCTGGCCCTCGTTGAACGTGTGGTTGAGCTGGAACTTGTCCGTGGAGCCGTCCTTGTGCTTCACCAAGCACGACAGCGGCTGCAAGAGGCAACACGCGCACATATATACACATGAGTAGTGGATTCGAATTAGGTGCGCACGCAACTTCTTGGGAGGCAACTTATTTAATGAACACAAGAGTTAACTCTTACATCACGCATAGGGTGGTGACCACCGACTTGCTCTAGCTAACACACACAACTTCTCAGATACTCTAGCGTGACCCAGCCAGGTGGGCTACTGGCAGGTCCCCTGGCTGGAGGCTTGACTCTTCTGGGCGTCTTCACGATGCATCTTCGTTCTTGATGCGGGCAGCAGCCTCGAACCTCGTGAGGAGGCTGCTTATATGGGCCTCGGCGTGCCCGGGCCCCGCCCCCGGCCACGCCTCCCTTCGAGAACCCTCTCGAAGCCCCCCCCTGCTGTCCACGTGCCCCCCGAGGTGCCCCCTAGGCCCCCGGCCCCCCACTGGGGTCCAGTCACGTGTCCAGCCGGGGTCACAGAGAGTGCCACGACCTCACACCACCCTCGTGGCCTCCCGAGTCCAGAGCCGACCCTGACGTCATTCCCGCCTCCAGCCGGGATGACGTCATGTGTGTGTGTGTGTGTAGACCCGCGTGGTCGTGACGCTCCCCCGCATAGTGACGTCACGTGTGTGCGTGTGTACACAGTAGTGATGCTACCATCACTACACATGCACACACGCGTAAGCACAGACGCACGCACACACACCCTTAGGCACACATACACACCAATACCCGCCATTCGCCACTAAGTGACGGAGACGTCACCACGGCACCTGTGCCAGGCGCACTTTGAGGCCACGTGAAGTGTCAAAGGCTCGCTGACAGGTGAAGGCCATGGGACAGCCCCAGCAGGTGCCATGGGTTGACCGACTGAGAGGACTGGCAGATGTACCAGCTGTGCCCCCTTACTGTGCCATACACGCACACACAAAGATCCCCCGTATAGCCTTAACAGACTGTTGGGGCAAGTGCTGTTAGAGAGCACCTATGAAGGCCGGAACGGTACACGGGGGGGATGGGTGGCCAGCACCACGCCCGGCCGCCTTTGTCTCTCTAGTGGTGATGTTTACTACACACCGCACCAGGTACTGATTTGAGGCCGAGTCGACCTAGGAGAGACCCAGGACTGGTTAAAAAATAATCGTCGCTCGTGTTGGCTGTTTGTAGCGGAGCGTATTAACCTTTACGCTATCTTTTCCGAAATATACGCGCACACACGCGCGTGCGCGTGTGTGTGGGACGGACGCCGCACCTTGCCGGGAGCGAAGGAGGTGAGGCCGATGATGGAGATGCGGTCGTCGGGGCGGATCTTGTCGTAGTCGGCCGGATCGGCGAACGTGAGTGGCAGGACGCCCTGCTTCTTGAGGTTCGTCTCTGTGTGCGCGTGCGCGTGAATGTGTGCGAGTGCATGTGCATGTGCATGCATGCGTACAGCGGTGGCAGAGAGGTCAGTGCACTGCCCCACAAAACCTGACAACCCCAGTTCAATTCCCGCTCACGCCCGCTCACGAGCAGCATCGGTGGGTTTCAGCTTGATTTCATTTGTTACGCGGATGATGATCCCGCTCGGCCGGTTACTCGGCTATTTTACGTGGGAGACACCATTGGCAGAAGTTCTGTGGTCGTGTGCAGCGCGCTGTGGGTGCCATGTGCCCCCTGTGCCATAAGGCACGCGAGCTAAGGATTTGCCGACGATAGTCCTGCGTGGTAGAGCACGACGCCGAGTGTCGTGCCGGGGATGACACGGCGCGATAGTGCACCAAGCCGCGCTGGTGTGACGCCGCGCTGTACCGTGGATGCGAGCGAAGGACTTGACGATGATGGCGCTCCCCCCGAGGTGGCGTGGCTCCAGCGCGGCGTGCTCGCGACTCGAGCCCTCCCCGTAGTTCTCATCGCCGACCACGACCCACTTGACCCCGCTCTTCTGCTCTCACACACACACAGTTATAGACACACACACACACAGTTATAGACACACACACACACAGTTATAGACACACACACACACAGTTATAGACACACACACACACAGTTATAGACACACACACACACACAGTTATAGACACACACACACACAGTTATAGACACACACACACACACAGTTATAGACACACACCCACACACACAGTTATAGACACACACACACACAGTTATAGACACACACACACACAGTTATAGACACACACACACACAGTTATAGACACACACACACACACAGTTATAGACACACACACACACACAGTTATAGACACACACACACACACAGTTATAGACACACACACACACACAGTTATAGACACACACACACAGTTATAGACACACACACACAGTTATAGACACACACACACAGTTATAGACACACACAAACACACAGTTATAGACACACACACACACACAGTTATAGACACACACACACACAGTTATAGACACACACACACACACAGTTATAGACACACACACAGTTATAGACACACACACACACAGTTATAGACACACACACACACAGTTATAGACACACACACACACAGTTATAGACACACACACACACACACAGTTATAGACACACACACACACAGTTATAGACACACACACACACACAGTTATAGACACACACACACACAGTTATAGACACACACACACACAGTTATAGACACACACACACACAGTTATAGACACACACACACAGTTATAGACACACACACACACAGTTATAGACACACACACACACAGTTATAGACACACACACACACAGTTATAGACACACACACACACAGTTATAGACACACACACACACAGTTATAGACACACACAGTTATAGACACACACAGTTATAGACACAAACACACAGTTATAGACACACACAGTTATAGACACACACACAGTTATAGACACACACACAGTTATAGACACACACACAGTTATAGACACACACACACAGTTATAGACACACACAGTTATAGACACACACAGTTATAGACACACACACACACACAGTTATAGACACAAACACACACAGTTATAGACACAAACACACACACAGTTATAGACACAAACACACACACAGTTATAGACACAAACACACACACAGTTATAGACACAAACACACACACAGTTATAGACACACACACACACACAGTTATAGACACACACACACAGTTATAGACACACACACACAGTTATAGACACACACACACACAGTTATAGACACACACACACACAGTTATAGACACACACACACAGTTATAGACACACACACACAGTTATAGACACACACACACACAGTTATAGACACACACACACAGTTATAGACACACACACACAGTTATAGACACACACACACACACTTATAGACACACACACACACAGTTATAGACACACACACAGTTATAGACACACACACAGTTATAGACACACACACACACTTATAGACACACACACACACACAGTTATAGACACAAACACACACACAGTTATAGACACACACACAGTTATAGACACAAACACACACACAGTTATAGACACACACACACAGTTATAGACACACAGTTATAGACACAAACACACACAGTTATAGACACAAACACAGATAGGTACTAACACACACACAAACACATAACTACGACCCACTTCACCCCGCTCTTCTGCTCACACACACACAGCAGTTATCGACACGAACACACACGCACGCACGCAGTTAGACACACACACACACACGCAGTTATAGGCGCGAACACGCAGATATAGGCACTAACACACACACACACACACAACACACATGCAGACACACCGACACACATCAACATTGGCACCTGATGGTGCGTGCGTGCGTGCGTGGGTGACGTGGTGGGCGCATGTGCGTGGTGGCGCAGGGGCACCTTGTATTCGCGTGCGGTGTCGGGCACTGCGCCGGTGGAGCCCGTCAGCTGGTTGGTGACAAGGTTGACTTTGCCGTTTTCCGTGTTGACGGCGCCGATGAGAAGGTTGTTGGAGATGTTGTCCAGGTGGCCCCGGTACTTGAGCCACGGCCCGGCCGCTGAGATGTGGTCGGTGGTGCACTTGCCCTTCACCTGCACAACCACAACAACCACAACTACCACCACTTGCCCTTCACCTGCACAACCACAACAACCACCACTTCCCCTTCACCTGTACAACCACAACTACCACCACTTGCCCTTCACCTGTACAACCACAACTACCACCACTTGCCCTTCACCTGTACAACCACAACTACCACCACTTGCCCTTCACCTGTACAACCACAACTACCACCACTTGCCCTTCACCTGTACAACCACCACTTGCCCTTCATCTACACAAACACAACCACAACCACCACCACTTGCCCTTTCACCTGCACAACCACAACTACCACCACTTGCCCTTCACTTGCACAACCACCACAACTACCACCACTTGCCCTTCACAACCACCACAACTACCACCACTTGCCCTTCACAACCACCACAACCTCTTGCCCTTCACCTGTACAACCACATCCACCACCTCTACCACTTTTGCCTTACATATGTGCAACTACAACCACATCCACCACCTCTACCACTTTTGCCCTAACATCTGTACAACCACAATCACCTCTACCACTTTTGCCCTACACCAGCACAACCACAACCACCTCAACCATTCACCCTTCACCTGTGCAACCAAAACCACTATGTGATAGTGTGTGCGTGTCTGGGGAGCGGCAGTACAACGGTTAGCGCACTGCACTACAAACCCGGCGACCCAGAATCAATTTCCGCCGGCCTTCATTAGGTGCTCCTCGCTAACACAGCACTTGCCCCAACAGTCTTTCAAGGCTCAACTGGAGACCTTGTGTCTTTTCAATAGCGCGCTTGCACGACAGCGTGTGCGCTTCGTCACCTTGATGAGCACCAGCATGTCAGCGAGGTCCTTGCCGTCCCACTTGTTGAACGGCTCCAGCAGCTGCAGCCGCTGGCTCTCGGGGGAGACGTCCACGCGCACCGTCTGGCCGTCCGGGGGGGGCTCCTGGTACGTGTCCATGCCGGGGTCGAAGCCCTGCTCACCGACACAGAGACGGCGGTGGGGCGGGGTCACGTACGGGGAGAAGACTACCACGTGTGTGTGCGTGTGTGCGTGTGTGCATGCGAGTGTGGGACTGTGTGTGGTGGCCAGCGGTTAGCGCGCTGTGCTACGAACCCGGCGACGAGGGTTCCATTCCCGCTCACGGCGACCAACATCCCCATTGGGGAGATAATGGCGGCCGGGCGTGGTGCTGCCAACGCACCCCCTCATGTGCTGTGCCAGCCTTAATTAGGTGCTTGCTAAGAGAACTTTCCCCCAACAGTCAGTCTATCTAAACATAGGATCTTTGTCCTTGGCTGGGTCTTGTAGCCCGCAAGATCGGCCTCTGTGGAGCAGGCTCGTGAAGGACGCTACTGGGCAGTTGGAGGCAGTCGCCCTCCAACAACAACAACGGAAGGCAGAGGAGCGACGCTCACAACAATGAGCGGAGCGCCGGGGTGGTTAAAGCACAGCAAGTTGACACAGTCGGGGGGCACAGGTGGTGCATCGGCCAGTCATCTCAGTCAGTCGACCCGTGGCACCTGGGTCTGCCCCGTGACCTCCTGCCAGCGCGCGTTCGACACTTCACGTGGCCTCCACGTGCACAGCCTGGCACAAGCGCCGTGGTGACGTCACCGCCACTTGGTGGCGAATGGCGGTTGTTGTTGTTGTTGTCGTTGTGCCATTCTTGTGTGCTGGTCATGTGGTTTGGTGGGCTGTGCTGGTAAGAGTGCCATCTACGTGGGTCGTGAGCTGCGATGGTAAGAGTGCTATCTCTATGCTGGTCATGTGGTTCGCGAGCTGTGCTGGTCGTGTGCCGTCACTGTGTTGGTGGTGTGCTTGTCGAGTTCTGGCCGCACGTGCCTTGGCAGGGAGCTCGTCCCCGTTGGGTGGGGTCAGCTTGAACTTCTTGCCGTCGGCCGCGGTCAGGAAGTCCGTCTCGGGGTTGAACTTGAGCGAGCCCGCGATGGTCAGCGCCGTCACAATCTGCGAGGGACAACGGCGAGGCGCTCGGAGACGCCACGGGATTCCGGTAGGACAACGGGGGGGGGGCGTGAGGACACGGGGACAGAGGGATATGGGAGACACGGAGACGTGGGAACACAGCGGCGTGGCGACGCGGTGGCCCAGGGTTACAGGGGACACGGAGAGAGGATGGCACAGAGACACGGGGGCACTGGAATATAGACACAGGCATCACAGCGCCACGGGGGACAGGAAGCTGGGGCTATGCGAACATCGCAGCACGCGAAAACAATGGGGAAAGGGAACACGGGGAGACGGGCATGGGGGTGGGGGGGCAGGGACAAGGACAGGGGGAGAGAGAGGGGAGAGGGGGCTGCACCTCGGGAGAGGTGACGAAGGCGTGAGTCGCTGGGTTGGCGTCATTGCGTCCCGTGAAGTTGCGGTTATACGAGGTCACGATGGTGTTCTTCTCCCCCTTCTTCACGTCCTTCCTGCACTCGCGCACAACAGAGATCCCCAGTATAACCTTAGCAGACTGTTGGGGAAGGTAAAATTAATAATCTAGGAACTATGAAGGCCGGCATGGCACACGAGGGGGTGGTTGGGGCCAGCACCACAGCCGGCCCAGTGGCGATGTTTACACACCGCACGATGTGCTCGTTCAGCCTAGGGGAGGCCCAGGACTAATTCAGATAATCGTCACCAGCGTTGACCGCCAGGGGAATCGAACTCGGGGTCGCTGTGTTCAGAGCGCAGCGCGTTAACCACTACGCTACCGCTCCCAGCACACAACAACAACAACCGCCATTCGCCAAAAGCGGCGGTAACGTCACCACGCGCGCTTGTGCCAGGCTATGTGCACGTTAAGGCCACGTGAAGTGTCGAACGGGACAAGGTCACGGGACAGACCCAGGTGCTGCAGTCCGAATGTGCCAAACACCAGGCTGGGTTTCACAGAGAGGGACACAGCCACACATGGGGAGGGAGGGAGGGAGTGAGAGCAGGAGAGGAGGTGGGGTGCGTTCACACCTGTCCCACTGTCCGATGCACGGGCCGCAGGCATTGGCGAGCACCACGCCCCCGATGTCACGCAGAACCTGGGCCTGTGTGGGGGACACGAGCAGGAATAAACGGGAGCGTGAGTGGCGTTTCACCCATTCACTCGGTCGTTCACTCATTTGTTGAGTTATTAATTACGTTTTGTTAGTTCACTCGGCCGTTCATCCATTCACCGATTTATTAACTCCCACCCAAGACAGGCAAAGACTGGGCCCGTGTGGAGGCATGGACACTGGGGGTCAAGTGGAGCAGGGGTGGTGTTTACTCATTCACTCACCAATTCGTTCACTCACTAGTCACTCGCTCTTATATAAGCGCGCAACTTTATCTATCCGTGATGAACGCTGCACTACGCGCCCCCTGCACGGACGACGGAGGCGCAGGTACAGACGTTCGATTACGTTGGAATCGATCTGCAGACGGCGGTCTTCTCGCACGGCCAGCTCTATGCCGCCTTATCTCGATCCCGCAATCCCAAACGGGTGAAAGTCCGCATCGAACCAAACCCCCCAGCAAGGCCATCTACTTAACGACGAGAGAAAATGCACACGAAATGTCGTTTTCAATTAAGTCTTCCAGATGTAAAATGATATAAGCTTTTAATGCTGAAATAAAATGATCCAATTCAAAACATAATACAATTCAAAGATGTTTCATTTTAAAACTTCAAAACAGGGCATCGGGTGCTTGCGTAAATGCGTCATTCGTGTGCAAATTTTTTTGCGACTTTCCTGGACGAAGGCCGTAAATGGTTGTGAGCGGCGCCACAGGTGCCCCCGAACAACCCCTAGTTCAGTATATTTACTCATCAACTTCATACACAAGCAGGTTAAAGCCCCGTGAGAGACTCAAGCGAAAGTTGAACGATGCAAACGTTTCCTCAAGTAATGTTGCTGGCAACAATGTTACTGAAATTCAATATGTCTGTGCAACTCCCACAAGTATTACAAACAGCAGCTGACGTGTGTTCATCATTGCCATCGCAAAATGGCTATAGTGGCAACCTGGTCCAAAAACGGTTGAAATTTTTAATGCGTATGGCGGCAAAGATATATTTTTTGTATATTAAAACCGAATTAGTTTTCCTTTTTAAAAGTAGATCACTCACCTCACACAAAGTTGCTTTGCTCATTCTTACCTTTGCCCGAGTTGCTTTTCTAAAATAACAATGCATGTCTTACTAAAAAGGGCGAGCCTACACCTTCCCCCTTGCCTAGTTCCCCTGCCAGGCTCAACGGGGCTGGGTCACCCAGGCGAGAAGTGAGGGCTAGGGTCAGGCCTACCTGCCCCTACTGTGTTAATGATTACATTGCGGGTCGTGACAACATTTAATGGATCAGTAAATAGTGAAGCTGCAATATTTAACATGGAATTTTGGGCAACATTTGCAGATTGCAACCAAGTTTAGCTAAATAAATGTTTGAAGCAAAGTAAATCCCTCGGTTAACGTTTTAAATTCATTTGACGAAAACTACTGTAAACCGTAATAACTGTTAATCGAGTTCACTCAAAAGTTGAAAATGAAGTAAAAATCCCCAGAGTCTGCAAGATAACGGTTTCCACTGCCGGAACAGAAAACATAACGTAAACAAAGCCAGTCGAGGTCTCAACGCTCATCAATGGCCATCGCCAATTGGCTGAGGGTACGACTCGGCCCACTTAACGGGCGCTCGGGATTGGCCGAAATTGGTGCCCTCGTGCATAACATTAACATACCGTTAGTCAACATTTGAATGTTAGTCGAAACCATGGGGGGCTCCTATGGGAGGCGAAACGTTAACAGAAAAAAACGTTAACCGATGTCCCTGTTAACCGAGCGACTACTGTTAAGTTAACTTCACCAATCTCCCTCGCAAGGGAGACTGGAGTTACACAAGGCAAGTACAACGTGCACGGTCAAGTCACAGCTACCTCCTGAACATCTGTGAAAAAGAGCTTTCTAGCTCATCGGATTCCTCCAGCGTAAATATTTGCATTCTGACACTCACTTGGGGGTGAAAAGGTGAAACTAATATCACTGTTAAACTAGAGGGGAAAAAAAAAACCTTACATTGATAGGAAACATTAATTCCATTTACAATTCGGCAGTATACAAGGGTCAGACTTAGTCCATCGATTGTACCGCTGTGTTGCAATATACGTGGTGCTGCCACGTGCCACTGTGTATCCCCTGCGTGCTGCGTGGTTCCATGTGTTCCGCCGTGCGTGTCCGATGTCTGTACCGATTGATGCCATGATACCATGTGTGTCCATTTAACGTTTCTGTGTACTGGCCGTACTACTGCATCGCTGTGTACTGCGGGGGTGTGCTTTGCCACATGTACTGCTGTGTCCAATGCACACTTTCAGTTATACATCTTTTTTCTGTGCACGCGATGCATTCTACCACTGGCCTTTGTGGCGTTCTTTGTGCTGGTTGTACCATGTTGACGCATGACCTTGGCCATTCGGAATTTGACCTTGTACAGTTGTTTTTTGGATTCTTTTCAATTGTTTTGATTTTGCTGTTAACCAGGTTTCTGTGGTGTAACCGGGTCCCCCCCCCCCCAATCGAAAATGTACATTTATTGCTCAATGGGTTTTAACTGTGCCAATGTAAAAGCAAAAAATAAAAGATGTACGTCATGTGCGCAGCAATGCCTTCCAGTCCGTGGTACTGGAAGGTTGTGTGCGTTTTATGCACTGCTACGCGTTTGGCTGTGGGTATGGCGTAGGTGTAGCGTGGTGTATGGTGTGGTGTAACGTGGTGTAGTGTATACGGTGCGGTGGAGCGTTTATGGTGTGGTTCTAACGTTTTTTCATTGTATATGGTGCGTTGGCGCGTGTATGGTGTGGTGTAACGTGGTGCATTGTATATGGTGCGGTGGAGCGTGTATGGTGTGGTGTGATGTGGAACAGTGTATATGGTGCGGTGGAGCGTGTATGGTGTGGTGTGATGTGGAGCAGTGTATATGGTGCGGTGGAGCGTTATGGTGTGGTATAACGTGGTGCAGTGTATATGGTGCGTTGGAGCGTGTATGATGTGGTGTAATGTGGTGTAGCGTGTATGGTGTGGTGTTACTTGTATGGTGTGGTGTGATGTGGAGCAGTGTATATGGTGCGGTGGAGCGTGTATGGTGTGGTGTGATGTGGAGCAGTGTATATGGTGCGGTGGAGCATTATGGTGTGGTGTAACGTGGTGTAGCGTGTATGGTGTGGTGTTACTTGTATGGTGTGGTGTGATGTGGAACAGTGTATATGGTGTGTTGGAGCGTGTATGGTGTGGTGTGATGTGGAGCAGTGTATATGGCGCGGTGGAGCGTGTATGGTGTGGTGTAACATGGTGTAGCGTGTATGGTGTTACTTGTATGGTGTGGTGTGATGTGGAGCAGTGTATATGGCGCGGTGGAGCGTGTATGGTGTGGTGTGATGTGGTGGAGCGTGCATGGTGTGGTGTGATGTGGAGCAGTGTATATGGCGCGGTGGAGCGTGTATGGTGTGGTGTGATGTGGTGGAGCGTGCATGGTGTGGTGTGATGTGGAGCAGTGTATATGGCGCGGTGGAGCGTGTATGGTGTGGTGTGATGTGGTGGAGCGTGCATGGTGTGGTGTGATGTGGAGCAGTGTATATGGCGCGGTGGAGCGTGTATGGTGTGGTGTGATGTGGTGGAGCGTGCATGGTGTGGTGTGATGTGGAGCAGTGTATATGGCGCGGTGGAGCGTGTATGGTGTGGTGTGATGTGGTGGAGCGTGCATGGTGTGGTGTGATGTGGAGCAGTGTATATGGCGCGGTGGAGCGTGTATGCTGCGCTCACGTAGCCGTCGCGCTCGATCGTGGCCCGGATCTGCTCCGAGCCTGGCGTGACGGTGAAGGCGGCACGCGCCTTGAGGCCGTGGCTCAGGGCCTGGCGCGCCACCGACGCCGCGCGGCCCATGTCCTCGTAGCTGCTGTTGGTGCAGCTGCCGATGAGACCTGTACAGCAGCAGCAGCAGCAGCAATGACAATACAACAACCACTAGCACCGTCACAACCACCACCACCTTTGATTTAAAGCTTTCGTGACTGCAGGGATTCATATTCTTGGTTCTTTCGGTAAAGTCACGTAGAAGGGAAACAATAAAATAATAAAAATATAAAACAATTAATGTCTCGCGACGTTTCGACTGCAACACAAGCAATCATCATCAGGTGTGAAAACCACAGCAAGAAAAATTTGAAAAATAAAATTCTTGCTGTGGTTTTCACACCTGATGATGATTGCTTGTGTTGCAGTCGAAACGTCGTGAGAATTGTATTGTTTTACATTTTTATTATTTTATTGTTTCCCTTCTACGTGACTTTACCAAAAGAACCAAGAATATACAACCACCACCGTTAACACGACTACCACACCACCAGTATCGCCATCAGTGCCACCACCACGAACACCACTACCAGCACCACACACAACACACCACCACCACCAACCGCATGTGTCAGACGCGGTGCCTGGCGTTGTGTTGCAGTGCAAGCGAGGCTGTGACGAGCGGCACGTGGTGGCGGGGTCACGTTGCGGACGGCGTCACATCGCGTCGCGCTTCCCGCCGCGCCGGCTGCGACGCACCGTGGCTGGTGCTGGGGGGCAGGTGCTCACCCACTCTGATGTCAGTGGGCCAGCCGTTCCGCTCGGCGGTGGCGCCGACGTCCGCCACGTCGTGAGCCAGGTCCGGTGTGAACGGCCCGTTAATCATGGGCTTCAGCTGTGTCGGCACGCCACACACGCGCGGCACAACGTCGTCACACACGCACGCGCCGCACAACGTCGTCACGCACGCACGCGCCGCACAACCGCATCGCACACTCAAGAGCGCGTCCGACCCTGCGTTGGTTGGCCGACTGCGACGTGGCCTACCCTGCGGCGTCTGACCGTGTTGGTGCGGTAGAACCCTGTGTCGTGGGCCGGGTAAACGGCTGCGTGGCAGCCTCTACGGCGTGGCCGGGGGCTTGCGGAGCGCCCGAAACCCTGCGCTGTGGCTCACCTCGCTGAGGTTGATCTCGATGAGCTGGTCATAGTGGCAGTCCGCGTCAGGCACCAGGTACTCCTTGTTCTTCTCCGCCAACTCGGCGATCCCTGCACCGTCCCCGCAGCAAAGGTCACAGGTCAGAGCCAACTTGTGGAAACGCCCCCCCCCCACCTACTCCCCGCCACCGAGGGTGGGGGATGGGGGGGTGTGAGGGGTCATGTGGTGAGGGAGGCGAGGGAGGTGAAGGCGGTGGGGGCTGGATGGTGATGGGTGGTTAAGCGTGTTGAGCATGGTGGTGGTGAGCGTGTTGAGCATGGTGGTGGTGAGCGTGTTGGTCGTGAGGTGGTGGTGAGCGTGATGGTCGTGAGGTTGATGGTGAGCGTGATGGTCGTGAGGTGGTGGTGAGCGTGATGGTCGTGAGGTGCTGGTGAGCGTGATGGTCGTGAGGCGGTGGTGAGCGTGATGGTCGTGAGGTTGATGGTCGTGAGGTTGATGGTCGTGAGGTTGATGGTGAGCGTGATGGTCGTGAGGTGGTGGTGAGCGTGATGGTCGTGAGGTTGATGGTCGTGAGGTTGATGGTGAGCGTGATGGTCGTGAGGTTGATGGTGAGCGTGATGGTCGTGAGGTTGATGGTGAGCGTGATGGTCGTGAGGTTGATGGTGAGCGTGATGGTCGTGAGGTTGATGGTGAGCGTGATGGTCGTGAGGTTGATGGCGAGCGCGATGGTCGTGAGGTTGATGGTCGTGAGGTTGATAGTGAGCGTGATGGGGAGGTTGATGGTGAGCGTGATGGGGAGGTTGATGGCGAGCGCGATGGTGGTGGCGATATTGGTGGTGGTGGCGATATTGGTGGTGGTGGCGATATTGGTGGTGGTGGCGAGCGTGGTGGGGGCGAGCGTGGTGGCGGCGAGCGTGGTGGTGGGGAGCGGTACCCTCGCGCCCCGTCTTCACAAGGTAGTCCCGCATGCGGTGGTTGTATGGGAAGATTGACGTGGTGGCTCCAATCTCCGCTCCCATGTTGCAGATGGTGGCCATGCCTGCAAGGCACGCACGCGCATGCCCGGTCACACCCGTAGTGCGTTGCACGTGGCGCGGTGCGGTACGGTGCGATTTGTGCAGTAACCCGCACCGGTGCAAGAGATGGAGTCGACGCCGGGCCCATGGTACTCCACGATGGCGCCCGTGCCGCCCTTGACCGTGAGGATCCCGGCCACCTTGAGGATCACGTCCTTGGGCGACGACCAGCCGGACAGCTCGCCGGTCAGCTTTACCCCAATCACCTGCACCACAACCACCACCACCGCCACCACCACAACCGCCACGATCACCACCATAACCAGAGTCACCACGACCAGCCAGAGAGAGCTTGCCGGTCAGCTTCACTCAAATTAAATACACCACAACCACCACCAAAAATCAATAACACAACGGCCACCTCTTCCCATACGCGTGGTGGATCTGCTGTTTGGGCATTGCCTGTGCTCAGCTCGCGGCGATACGAAAACCACATTGACAACGATGATGTACATGTTGAACTTCTTTCACACCATACGTGGCCGAGCGTGCCAATCGGAGGCGCGATGATGACGACGACAACGATGACGATGACGACAGAGGAGGAAGCTGGGCCGAGTGGGGTTGCCGCGTCGCGCGATAGCGAAGAATGGCGACGACTTGGCAAGGGGGCCGTCGTCCGGCAGTGGACTAACCCCGGCTCACCTTGGGGCACTTGAGCTCCCAGGGGATGTTGGCCATGACGTCCACGGCATCGGCGCCGCCCACACCGATGCAGACGCCGCCCAGGCCGCCGCCGTTGGGCGTGTGCGAGTCCGTGCCGATGAGCAGCACGCCCGGGTACGCGTAGTTCTCCAGTATGATCTGAGTGGCACGACCCAGGCCCCGCTCCCGTCACAACCCGCCCCAACCCGCCCCGCTCCCGTCACAACCCACACCACATTGTCACAACATTCCCCGCTTCGTCACAACCCACATGACTACCGTCACACAATCCACACTGCACCCGTCACAACCCACACGGCTACAGTCACAACCCACACGGCTACAGTCACAACCCACACTGCACCCGTTACACAACCCACACTGCACCTGTCACACAACCCACACTGCACCTGTCACACAACCCACACTCTGCTACCATCACACAACCCACACTCTGCTCCCGTTACACAACCCACACTCTGCTCCCGTCACAATCCTCGAGTGCCGTGCCGGCCTTCGTAGGTGCTCGCTAACTTCCCCCAAAAGTCCGTTAAAGGTCATACAGAGAACTTGTGTCTTTGTCCATGTCTATACGTATGTGTGTGTGTGCGTGCGCGCATGTAGGCGTTTGTGTTTATACATGTGCGACTTCTCATGAGATCACATTCCCACCTGGTGGATGATCCCGGAGCCGGGTTTCCAGAATCCGACTCCATATTTCTTGGCAGCTGTGGCCAGGAAGTTGTACACCTCCTTGTTGATGTCCTAGAGCACGCAAGCACACACACGCACACACACACAAAATCAGCCACCACCCACAATCACTCCCCGAGCAAGTAGCCTCACACAGATGGCCGGGCAGTAGCGGCGATGCACGTGGCTTGTAATCAAGCGCCGTGGCATGCACTTTTTTTATTATTATTATTTGCTGTGTTTAAAGCAGGGGAGAGAGTGGGCTCGCTGCTGCCCCTACTGAGTGGGGACCAGGGGCCGGGTGTGTGTGTGTACGTTTATACGGAGGTGTTAGGAAAAAATGAACTTAAAAAAGATAGCCAAGGGAGCGGGGGGAAGGGAGTTGGGGGGGGGACTAATAAAAGAGAAAGGGAGGAGCACTTAGAAAAGGATAACTTACACGGCACGCTTTGGTGAACTTATTGTGGCCGAAACGTCGTGAGAATATTATTGTGTTATTTTATTTTATCAATTTATTATTTTATTCTCATTCTACGTGACTTTACCGAAAGAACCAAAGAAGATTATCAAGGGGAGTCGATGACCCCTAAAGAGTGGTGATTGACTCCTGTCCATCCCTGTGGTGGAAAGGGAGCCACTTCTTGCTCCCATCTTATATTATATTTCTCGACGAACTCTCCAGAGCACCCCCCACACAGCGCGCCCACACCACTCCCGACCCCCACCTTGGCTCTCTGCAGGTCCTCTTCCCCGCCGAGCTGCGCCTCGATGAGGTGGTCGCAGTGGATGGTGGAGGGCACGGCGACGCGCGCCAGCCCGCTGCTGATGAACTGCAGCATGGCCATCTGCGCCGTGGCGTCCTGCATGGCCACGCGGTCAGGGCGCAGCCGCAGGTAGGAGCGGCCGCGCTCCAGCTCCTGCGAGCGTGCATCCTCCAGGTGGCCGTACACCACCTTCTCCGACAGCGTCAGCGGTTGCTTCAGCCTGGGGACGCGACGGCCGGAGAGGCGACAGGCGGTCAAGGAGCCTCCCGGCTCTTCCAACGCCTCCTTTCGGCTCGTGATTCGTTTTAATTCCAGAGACTCCTCTACTGACGGACAAGTCTGTTCGCAAGTCGATTTGTTCGCAAGTCTAACGTTATTCCTGTCAATTCCAAACATGTTGTACGGCGTGTACACGAAACACGGGAAACGGCTTTTAAAGTTGTATAATCTCCTGGAGATGCCACGAGTTCTTCAAGTTCTGCAGATGTAGATGACACCACCGCCATCTATTGCGCAGCGGTCGAACTTACGACTCTGGATCTGATCAGGCAAGTAGACATATGCACAGGTTTGGTAGCATCTCTAAAGGTTCCTAAGTCGAATGTTCAAAAGTAGAGAAGTCCCTGTATTAACTATTGCGTTTTAACGATTTTTATTTTATCAGGTAAGGCCCACTGGAGCTGCGGACCTGGCCATGACAAAAGAGATCTCAACGAAGTGGTTTATCACGTGGAAATATATTGCAGCCACACTCTAAAATATTCTTATTATTGAATACTTATTATTATTCCGCCGCTTTACCAAGGGAAGCCTCGTCATGTCCCAAGGGTGGCCCAGAAACTTTACAAAATATCCCTCGCCCCTGATGTTATAGACGCGGCCCGGGAAATGAACTCAGGTGGCCAGGTTCATAGGGCAGCGCACGCTAGACACTTCGCTATCACTCTGCTCTAAAACTATGATGAACAATAAAAGTGATTTACATCGTTATTATAATCATTAATCCAGGCGTTTCAAGGGCTCTTTTTCAGGAGGGTTCCTGCCAAGTTTCCACAGTAGCTGGGGCGACGTTGTTGCTGCTGCTGCTGCTGTTGCTCTGTGCGATCCCAATTGAGTCGTTTGCAGGTAACATTGCAGCATTTTGGATGTTTTTTATTTTATTAACTCTGGGTTCTCTCTATCCGGGCTGAACTCTTTAGCTTCCGAGTTGCGACAGGATCGGGCAGGTTGTGGGTGTGACTTGGTCACAGGCACACTTCATTAGCCCAGGGATATGGTTTGCACATAAATTATTTAAAATAAAAAGAATGGATTCTAACAATAGGCGTGTGGCGTCAACATAGCACCCCAATCACCAACCTGCGCCACTACACACTCACACCACACACACACACACCTCTCACCTGTCGCACCTGTCACTACACACACCTGTCACGACAACACACCTGTATCACCATGCACCTCTCACACGACTTCCCCCATCTCTCAAACACACCTGTCACTCTACACACCAAGCACACACCGTCACTCCACACACCTGTCACCACACAATGTCAAACCAGACAGCCAATGTCACAACACACACACACACACACCTGCCACTCCACATTAATTCAATTCTAAGTTGTATTTGTTACACGGGAAAAAAAAAAATCCCGTTTCGCCTGTTACCCAGCCAGTTTTCAAGGGAGATTCGCGGTGCATCAACACAGACCATGGTACAAACGTCCAAGTGATCTGTATGGAGGAACAGGCAGCAGCGGAGGAACAGGCAGCAGCGGAGGAACAGGCAGCGGAGGAGGAACAGGCAGCGGAGGAACAGGCAGCGGAGGAGGCGCAGGCAAAAATAACGCGTCAAAAGAACAATTGGACGATGCTACTGGGAATTTGCACATTTCGGATCATATGCCCTTTAGATATTTGGCGGATTTCTTTATAAGGACTTCTGGGATGACAGCCCAGTTGGTGGTATCTTCGGATGTCGAGGGGGGTGACATAGAGGTCGCAATGACGGGTTCTACAAGGGGGAGTCAAGGACAACGCAGAGGGCCCGAGTGGTGTCATCATGGTTTCGGAGGCTAGGTGGTAGATGATGTCGCAATATAGTCAAAGATGGGGGTGGGCATGGTGGCTTTGAGGTCTTTATCAAGATGGAGCTGAGGGTGGGCTATTGTGTTTATTGGAGAGGAATACAATGTTTTGTATCTTGTTGGCCATGTGATCGATGTGAAGCCTTGAATTACAGTTTTGAGTCTGAGATAACACCTACAAAATTCAAGTTATCGACCTCATCAATGAGATGCGAGTCCTGAGACACAATGTGTACAACACGTGTCACACCTGTCACACACCTGTCACACACCTGTCACACACCTGTCACACACCTGTCACACACCTGTCACACACACACCTGTCACACCTGTCACACACACACACCTTCACACACACACACCTTCACACACAACACACACACACCTGTCACACCACACACAACACGTGTCACACACACACCTGTCACACCTGTCACACACACACCTGTCACACACACACACACACACACCTGTCACACACACACACACACACACCTGTCACACCTGTCACACACACACACACCTGTCACACCTGTCACACACACACACACCTGTCACACCTGTCACACACACACACACACACCTGTCACACCACACACCTGTCACACCTGTCACACACACACACCTGTCACACACACACACCTGTCACACACACACCTGTCACACCTGTCACACACACACACCTTCACACACAACACACACACACCTGTCACACCACACACAACACGTGTCACACACACACCTGTCACACCTGTCACACCTGTCACACCTGTCACACACACCTGTCACACCACACCTGTCACACCACACACACACACCTGTCACACCACACACGTCACACCACACACACACGCCTGTCACACCTGTCACACCACAAGCCGGTCACACCACACATACGCCTGTTACACCACACACACGCCTGTCACAACACACCTGTCACACCTGTCACACCTGTCACACCACACACGCCTGTCACACCACACACATGCCTGTCACACCACACACACGCCTGTCACACCACACACACGCCTGTCACACCACACACACGCATGTCACACCACACACACGCCTGTCACACCACACACACGCCTGTCACACCACACACACGCCTGTCACACCACACACACGCCTGTCACACCACACACACGCCTGTCACACCACACACACGCCTGTCACACCACACACACGCCTGTCACACCACACACACGCCTGTCACACCACACACACGGCCTGTCACACCACACACACGGCCTGTCACACCACACACACGGCCTGTCACACCACACACACGGCCTGTCACACCACACACACACAACACCACACACACGCCTGTCACACCACACAACACCACACAACACCACACACACGCCTGTCACACCACACAACACCACACACGCCTGCCACACCTGTCACAACACACACACACACACGGCCTGTCACACCACACACGTGCCCACCCCCCCCAGTGAGACGGCACGCACCTGTCGCGCACCACGTTGATGTTGTTGCGCAGCGGCGTGTAGTCGATGTGCTGCTGTGGCTCGAAGCGGCTCATGGGGACCCCGGAGGCGCAGAGCGCCGCCCTGGAGTGGAACCCGCGGCCGCATCGCGACGCCTGACAACAGAGCGAGTTGGGAGCGAGTGAACGAGTTAAGAGGAGAGACGGAGCGAGCTAGGACGACGGAGCGAGGGACAAGCAGAGGTCACGGCACAGTTGAGGGCAGAAGAAGCCGACACAGCACACCCCCCCTCCCCCCTATTCCCAAACCCTCGCTCTCTGTCCCCCCAGGCCCTCGGGTGGCCCCGTCCCCTTTGCCCGTTCGCTGACCCCCCCCCCCCCCCCCCCCCAAAGGCTGCCCGGGATTGCCCCTTGCACCAGGGGCTGCCCCCCTACCCCCGGGGCAGGGGTCAAGCCAGGCCACATCCTCTACGCCACGGCCCGCAAGGCCGTGTGTGGAGGAAGTTGGTTGTAGGTCATCTCTGTCAAAAAAAACATCAGGCGTTAATTCGAGATTTGAAGTTTTCGTGATTGAAAAGCAATCACTCTTTGTGGTTTTTTTTTTCCGGTAAAGTCACGGAGGTAAAAAAAGAAAAACAAACTAAATTAAATCACGACGTTTCGGAAGCAAAATTTTTTTTTTCTAAATTTTTTTCCCAGGCTGCAAAATTAGTTTTTGCTTTTGTTTGCTGGAGCAGTCATATCTGATGGCGGATATCCTTGTGTTGCTTCCGTAACGTCGTGATTTATCTTCTTGGTTATTTCGGTAAAGTCACGTCGAATGGAAATAAAATAATAAAAATAAAACATTAAATCAAATGTAGTTGTTTTTTTTTGTTTGTTTTACCTACGTGACTTTACCGAAAAAACCATCAGATGCCTTGGGGGGCCTCGAGTCTTCACCACCAAACCAGACTGCAGGGTCACCTTCCAACCATCGCAATCTCAGATTAGCGCGGCTGGGTTACGAACGGTGCGAAAGAAGTTCAACGTACACCGGCTCCCTCCTCCCGTCATCATTATCATCGTCTATCAATACAGGCGCTTTGGGTTTAGATCGTGTAAATACACACAAATGTGTCGTCAAATCCGACACCCAACACCGACACAGCCGATCAGCAGTAAGGTTTGTCACGTAAAACAGAACGTGGCCAAATTCGTCACTAGTACAGCAACAGCGGTTGTGTTGTTTGGAGAGCAAAGCCACACGACATTTAGGATTGTAAGTTGTAGGAGATAATTGGTTAATTGGCATGATTGTAGTACCGAATTGGCGCGTTTTGCTTACGTGTGAAACCTCACTAAATGACCGTGGGCGGGTGAAACGACACCCCCTGTATTACGGATATCGGTCGCGAAAGCCTTACGTGTCAAATCCTCATCATAATCATCTTCTTCTTTCCCATCACCACGGCCCCCCACACACACACTCGCACCTCGTTCGACTCAAGAAGCGGCGCTAACACTCGCGATGTTGGGGGGGGGGGTGTACCAGGCCGCTCCGCGTTGCCATGGCACCCTCACGGCCTCGCTAATTACATCGAAAGCGAATCGCCGAGGGGAGTGGTGGTGGTGAGGGTACATCACCGGGCAGGCAGGCAAGGCTCCTTCGTTGCCCGACACCCGGGGGGGCCCCGCGTCCTCTCCGCTAGGGGCGACGCAGCGACCGCTAACCTTGGGTCACCTTGCCCGGCTAGGCTCACGTCGGCCGAGCCGAAAGGCCCCGTAAACAACGCCCTTACGCGACGAGGCGAGACGGGAAAGCAGCACTCGGGCCCGCTCGGTGACGGGAGGCCGAGGCGGGGGAAGCCGCGTGGGGTCGCTGGGGTAGCGAGGGCAGTCAAGGGCAGCAGACCTCCCCCCCTACCCCAACAGAGCCGCGTCCCGCCGGCAGCGGCCGCAAAGCCCGCTCGCCTCGCGACGCGTGAGGCTCGTGGGATGAGGAGGAGGAGGGGAGACGATGGAGGAGAGACGAGGAAGGAGAGAGGCGAGGAGAGAGGCGCGGGGAGCTTCACTCACCGCGACGCCCGCCGCCTTCACCATGTGACTCGCCATTTTGTTCCCTGACAAAGATGTCGCGGGGCCAGTGACGTCGCCCCCGCTTATATATGGCCGCAGTAACGTCACGTGACGCTCCCCCCACCCCCACTTTCCCCCACCTCTCCTCTCTCCCTACCCCACCTCTCCCCCCACCCCCCTCTCCCCCTACCGCCTCTCCCCCCACCCTCTCCCCCCACCCTCTCCCCATCCCCCCACCCCTCATCACCCCCCAACTCCCCCCCCCTATCCCCCCACACCCCCCACCCCACATGAAATGTCAATCATTGACTCGGCGCTGTGTATCGATTGTTCGATTCATTGAAATTTTTTGCGTGGAAAATCGATTCTAACGCACGTGTGGTCAGCACGCGCCGGAATCGGAGAGTAGTGGAAATCATGGAATCGCGTGCGGGAATCATCGAATCGCGTGCGGGAATCATTGAATCGCGTGCGGGAATCATCGAATCGCATTGCGGGAATCATCGAATCGCGTGCGGGAATCATCGAATCGCGTGCGGGAATCATCGAATCGCGTGCGGAAATCACGAATCGCGTGCGGAAATCACGAATCGCGTGCACTCCGGGGATGTGAGAAACAACCGCCAAAATCGATTCACGGATCGTAAGTGCTCGAGTTGAATCGTTGGAATCGAGAGAGGGGGAGAGCGCAAGGTTAAATATCCCCCGTTGAATGTGGGGGGGGAGCGAAGGGGAAAAGTCACGCGTGGCAGCACCGTTCGCCCCCTAGGTCGGCTCAGCCTTAACCGAGTGGACATCAAAGTAGTGGGGGGAGTCGACCCGTTCAGGACACCACCGCCCCCTCCCCACCAACTCCCCTCCCCACCCAAGCCGCAATGAACAGAAGTGGTGAAGTATGGCCCCCAAAAGGGAGCAAGTTGCTATGCTCACGTGGGCGCGGGGATTGCGGGCGTTCGTCCAGCAGTGGATTGAGCACGGCTACTGACCGACGATGCCGGACATGTGTGGTGTCTCAAAGCCGGGTCCTGGAAAAAAACGCTCCCACGCCCTCATCATCAACTCCCATCAACACTCCCCCGAAACACTCGCTTTATCTCCCAGGAATAGGAACGATGATGGGCCGAGTTAACCCGTCCCCGCTCGCCAACGAAACCTTCCAAATCGCGCGACCTTAGGGGTCGTTCATAAATGACGTCACGCACCTAGGGGGCGGGGGGGGGGTCAGATATTTGTGACGATGATGTGACGAGGGAGGGGGTGGGGTTGAGAAATGTGACGTCACATCAACATGCGAAACTTTAAATAAATATAGACATAACACGTTCTACAATTAAATAGACTTTTTAATAAATGTTTCTCCTACAACATCAGAGTGCAGCGCCACATTAAATACGCACTACTACGATGACAATAGTTTAAAGCGATTTGAAGCACGTTTTATTTTTTTGGGGGGGGAGGGGGGGGCAGAGCTTTGTGACGTCATATTCGAGAGGGGAGGGGTCTGACTTTTTATGACGCTGTGTGACGATGGGGGGGGGGGGGTCAAAAATCGTCCCAAAATCGCGTGACGTCATTTATGGACGTCCCCTAACTTGCACCCGAGCCTCGCCCACAACCGCTGAATTTCCACCGCCGTTTCCGCTCTTCACCAATCGCGAAAACGCACGGGCAGTGGTGAAGTATGGTCAAGTAACCTACGCTGGTGTGCGGGGGGGGGCCTCGGTGCAGCGGTGGATTAATTCTAGATTTAAAGCTTTCGTGACTGCTAGGATCCATACTCTTTGGTTCTATTGGGTAAAGTCACGTAGGTAAAAATAAAATAACAAAAATCACGACGTTTCGGCCACAACACAAGCGGCCTTCATCAGGTGAAGGGGACGAGACTGTCTGGAGGACAGCGCTGGAGTGGAAGAAGCCACGCTTAGATCACGACCTTTAAGCTGTGTGAGAAGAAGCAAAGCGCCTTGACAAAGGAATTAGCATATAATTTAGCATTGAAATGGCTCATTGAAATAGCTAAGTTAAAGTATACACATCCGCAGAGGCACCCCTTGACAAAGGAATTAGCATAGAATTTAATTTAGCATAGTATAGAATTTAGCATTGAAATAGCTGAGTGATTAGCTTACAAGCTAATCACTCAGCTATTTCAATGCTAAATTCAATGCTAATTCCTTTGTCAAGGCGCTTTGTTTCTTCTCACACAGCTTAAAGGTCGCGGTCTGAGCTTGGCTCTGTTCGCTCCAGCGCTGTCCTCCAGACAGCCTCGTCCCTTCACCTGATGAAGGCCGCTTGTGTTGTGGCCGAAACGTCGTGATTTTTGTTATTTTATTTTCACCTACGTGACTTTACCCAATAGAACCAAAGAGTATAGCGGTGGATTAACTCGAGTTGGGCCCAGAGTGTCACGACATCTCACGGCGGCGTGGACCCTCTGCCCCGCGCGGTTGCTAATCGCTCTCCACGTGACACTCGTGAACGCATTTCGCAATTGTGAGATCCGTTATTGTTTTTTTTTAAGAGCTCTGCTGGAGATGGGTTTTTTTTCTTCACTTCCCGGTGCCAGTGGAGGTTCACCCCGACGGGGTTCATCACGGTGACCCCCTCGGCACGGGGGTGAGGCACGGTGACCCCCCCTACCCACCCCCACCCACTGACCTCCACGACCGTGCCACGAGATACAAAGACATAGATCACCCCGGCTCCCTCCCCCATAGCCTTGAACAGACTGTTGAGGCAAGGTTTGCTGTTAGCGAGCGGCACATGTGAAGGCCGGCCTCGTGTGGGTGACAAGCACAGCGCCCGGCCGCCTTTGTCTCCCCCGTGGTAAATGTTTAAACACCGCACCAGCTCCTCATTTGTGGCCGAGTCGATCTGATTCGCCGCGAGTTACGCACACACAGGGGGACGGGTCAGTGCAGTAAACCCTCGCGGGTCACGAGTTAGGGGCCGTCCATAAATGACGTCACGCGATTTTTGACCCCCCCCCCCCCACCATCGTCACACGGCGTCACAAAAAGTCAGATACCCCCCCCCCTCAAATATGACGTCACAAAGCTCTGCCCCCCCTCCCCCCCCCCAAAAAAACATTTCCATTTTGAAAATAAAACATGCTTCAAATCGCTTTAAACTATTGTCATTGTAGTGCGTGTTTAACGTGGCGCTGCACTCTGATGTTGTAGGAGTGCTGTTATAACACAATTAGTGTTGTTATAACAATTCTATATTTATTCAAAGTTGCGCATTGTGATGTGACGTCACCTTTCTCAAATCCCCCCCTCCCTCCTTCGTCACACATCGTCACAAATGTCTGACCCCTCCCCCACCCCTCCCCTAGGTGCGTGACGTCGTTTATGGACGGTCCCTTACTCAATGCATACTAATTCGCTATTCGCGAGTGCGTGTGGAGCGGCCAGACCACGGACAACCCGGTCCGAGGAGTGTGTGCGCAGAATCTGAAATAAAAAAAAATGTGGAAAATTGACCGCGGAAGATTTGGCCACGCCAACTCGCAAAGGACTGCCCGCGTTGTTCCAAAACGGCGTTGAAATGCGGTGGGTTTTTTTTTCATCTTCCGGAAGACTTTTGCCGCTTTTAAATAAAAAAAAAATTCTCACGACGTTTCGGCCACAACGCAAGCAGCCGCGTCCTCAGGTGAAGAAACAGAGAGCTGTCGGAAAGACGGCGTCCAAATGAAATCATCATCGAAGGTGATATACAAAAAAAAAGGAAAGACATCGTTCTTAATGATGTTTTATTAATTGTATCATTATTCTTTGGGTTTTTCGGTAAAGTCACGGAGATGACGATCGCTTGTGTTGTGATCGAAACGTAGTTTATTTTATTTTCTTTGAACCAATCTACGTGAAGTCACTTAGGTAAAAAATAAAACAAAAATCACGACGTTTCGGCCACAACACAAGCGGCCTTCACCAGGTGAAGGCCGTTTGTTTGCGTTGGACAGTGTCCGCTGGACAGTCTCGGTCCCTTCACCTGATGAAGGCCGCTTGTGTTGTGGCCGAAACGTCGTGATTTTTGTTGTTTTATTTTTTACCTACGTGACTTTACCGAATAGAACCAAAGAGTATGGATCCTTGCAGTCACGAAACCTTCAAATCTAGAATCAAGCTACGTGACTTTACCGAAATACCCAAAGAATATGAATTCCTACAGTCACGAAAGCTTTAAGTCAATTGTATTCATATCCTTGGTTCTTTCGGTAAAGTCACGTAGAAGGGAAACAATAAAATAATAAAAATATAAAATAAAATTCTCACGACGTTTCGACTGCAACATAAGCAATCATCATCAGGTGTTGCAGTCGAAACGTCGTGAGAATTTTTTTATATTTTTATTATTTTATTGTTTCCCTTCTACGTGACTTTACCGAAAGAACCAAGAATATGAATCCCCGCAGTCACGAAAGCTTTAAATCAAAAGTCAATTGTATTATTATAATACAAAATGTATCATTCCCCCCCCGACCCCATGTTCACCGGTGTACCACGAAAGCAATCCAGGCGCGGCTCGTCCACTAGCGGGCGTTGAGGCGCTGCACCCACAAAGTCGCTGGAGACGAGAAATGATTTTGACGACTTGCAGCAACAGCACACGGCAGATGCCTTTGCAGTGCGGCTCACGACCTCCTCTTGATAACCAAGACCCCAGGACGGTCACGTCTATGCGCCGCTTCTCGGTGGCTGCCCCCAACAGTCTGGAACGCAATCCCACTGCACATTCGCAGCATCACCTTGAACGTCTCCTTCAGGAGACACTTAAAAAAAACTCACCTCTACAACCACGCCTTCGGGTGACTCTTGAGCTTGGCTCCGCGCCTCTTTAGTTGCGGCCGTTACGTCCGCAAATTTTTGCGCGCGTTATAAATTGCATTGTTGTAATTTTTTTTAAATAAAATAAAAATTTCTCTCCATTGTTTTGCGTTTTGAAATTTTGTTTTAATACGATTCTTTCAACGTGAATTGCCTAACGAAGATGACGTTTTTAATTTGTTCGTTTTAGAAACGGCTGCAACGCCAACAGTCTTGGTTTCTGCTGTCCCGGGGAGGTCTCGGGGCGGCTGTGAAGGCGTCCGAGCGAGAAGAGATGCCCCCCCCCCCTTCATTCATTGCGATGTTCCGACGCGAAGTTGTACTGTGAAAATATAGCAGCTCACACGGCCCGCACGCTCTAGGAGGAAACAGCAATGGCGATGACAGCAGGTGCACCGAACGAAGGATTAGTAACGAATCCTGTGGAGTCACTGCTAAATATTCCATTTGAACTGATGAAAGGGGTTGCGTGGACTTGAGGGTCATCTGGGGACAGCATTTGAGGGCTTTGTTGTTTTGTTTCGTATTGTTTAAGGAATGAAGACCGTTGTATCACTTTCGTGGGAAGGGCAATAGCACGACGAGAACACCGTATTAATCAGAGGTCATTCACAACAGCCCCACATCGTGGCAATGGCAAGAGCCGCCACCGAAGCCACCCCAAATTTTTCCCGTTGAACAAGGTTAAGTTCTGCATTCGCGGGCGCTTTCAAGAAACGTAACCCTCGCGACTAGAGAGAGTCTAGATTTAAAGCTTTCGTGACTGCAAGGATCCATACTCTTTGGTTCCATTGGGTAAAGTCACGTAGGTAAAAAATAAAATAACAAAATCATGACGTTTCGGCCACAACACAAGCGGCCTGGAGGACAGTGCTGTCCTCCAGACAGTCTCGTCCCTTCACCTGATTAAGGCCGCTTGTGTTGTGGCCGAAACGTCGTGAGGACAGTGCTGTCTTCCAGACAGTCTCGTCCCTTCACCTGATGAAGGCCGCTTGTGTTGTGGCCGAAACGTCGTGATTTTTGTTATTTTATTTTTTTACCTACGTGACTTTACCCAATAGAACCAAAGAGTAGAGAGGTTGACTGCTATAGCCTTGGGCCCCTTCATGTGTTGTAGGCCCGGCTTCAGGGCTTCCTTTGTATTGCCAGACAGGGTAAAGGCTATTTTTATCTTTCATCATTTTGACACTGGAAAATAGGTCCCGTAGATATAGCTGCTCGACCCGAGCTCGGAGTGGTCTGATACTTGCATCGTCTTTGTACCGTTCCCCTTTTGGCGTTCTCTGGTCTGACATCGGTGAGATAAGGCCTTTAAAGAAGGCTGTCTTTGGTGTAGGCCAGGGGTGGGGAACCTTTTTTCTGCCAAGGGCCATTTGGATATTTAGAACATCATTTGCGGGCCATACAAAATTATCAACTTAAAAATTAGCCCGTTATAGTTTGGTCAAACATTTCATCAACTCGCCCCTAATGCGATTGGCTGGAACTGTTTCTCTTTGGTGAGGCGTGCGATGACGTTAGCTGGTATTGACGTTGTCGCTACTCGCAGCTGCTTTTCCAGGTTTTGCTCCTAGATTTGTTGAATTTCGAGTCCCGCCTGCGGTTGCCTTGGCAGGGCCAGACCCAAATGATTTCGTGGGGCCTCATACGGCCCGCGGGCCGAACGTTCCCCACCCCTGGTGTAGGCCAATCAGTTTCAAGGAGAATGCATATGTTATAATCAGAGCATGTTTGTATGTTTTGCCACACGTATGTGTGGTTAATATAGACTTGCTGCCTTGCAAAAAGGTATTTATTTTGGCGTCTGAAGATCTTAGGTTCTTTGGTAAAGTCACGTAGGTATAAAATAAATAACAAATGACGTTTCGGGCACAACACAAGCGTCCATCATCAGGTGGACGCTTGTGTTGGACGCTTGTGTTGCGCCCGAAACGTCGTGATTTATTTTATACCTACGTGGACTTTATCGAAAGAACCAAAGAGTATGGATTCCTGCAGTCACGAAAGCTTCAAATCAAGATCTTATTGAAGTAACAGCCAATTACGATGGCAGCATCCGTGACTTTTCCCACGCAGCTAAAATCTGGGGAAATAAAAAAAAAATTGTGCTTTAAAAAAAAAGAGAGATTCACGTTTGAATCATTTACCTCGAGTCCAATAAACGTGTTCATTTTACGCAGGCCAATATATTTTATGACCTCATAAAAAAATAAAAACTTGCAATATGCAATGCACAATTAGGGCCCCCGTAACCTTAACCTGGTTACACCCCCCACATCGTCGATGTACTACCAACGCAGTGGACACGCCTCGAACCGATCCAAGCGCATGGCAAACGTGGCGCCACCAAATCGCCCGCGTTTACCGATTTGCTGCGGGGGACGAAAACATCCCGCCGGGCCGTCGTTCATTTGGATGTCAGTTTTTTTCTTTATTTACAGCTGCAATCACGGAGGAGTTCATTACGTCATCAGCATTTAGACTAAAAACGATTAAATAATCATACGCAAATTAATGAGGCGACGACGGTGAAACCCGCGCGTCGTCGCCACGGCTGTCTCCCGGTGGCAGCCAAATCAACGCTCGAGACAAAACGCACGCCACCTGCAGGCAGAAAGGGGCCCCCCCATCCCCCAACCTTCTCCACCACGGAGTGCGGAATGTGAACCCGGTGACCCCTTCCACCACGGTCCGCGAGGAACGTGACGCGCGCCGGGGACAGGGGCGGCCCGGGCTACGCTCCCTCTCTCCCCGTACCAGGGCGTGCCACAAGCCGGCAGGGAGACCTTTGAACGAACCTCCCCACTCCCCGCACGTGCTGCCCATGACGCTGATTTTCCACCACAAAAATCCGAGTTAAGCTAGCGGGGATTGGGGGTGGAGGGGTCTTACGGGAGGAATGTTTTTTTTTTTTTCCCCCACTGGGCTATTCGCCGAGCCGAACCAGAACCAAACCGCGCGACGCCAGTCTCACAGGGCATCTAAATCTGACTTGGGGGCGGGGCCCAAGCAGGGCCAGGGCTAGTGACACGTTCAACCACGCGTGACGGGCAGCCGGTACGCGGTGGGGACGTGGCGTCACCGCGTCGTCACCAACACGCTTCTCCAACTCGTTCGACCGCGTGTGACGTCGGCGGCACGGCTTGGCCCCCTGCAAAGTGCAAAAACAACGGGGCCAACGTCCTGAGCCGCGCCGGCCCCCAGGTCTGGCTCGGACATGGCTCACCGGAGCGGCTCGGTTGTGCCAGTGCAAAGGAGGCATGGACGGGTAGGCGACACGGCCGGGTGATTGTACGGCGAGCAAATCAGCCGAGCCCTTACGCGGTGGTTTTAGCGGAGGTTCAGCCCACCGGGCCTCCCCACCTTTCCCTTCCAGGACCCCTGTGCTACCCCTCCCCCCCACCCCCGCCCCCGCCCCCGCCCAGGGCCCCCCCCCCCGTCGCTACTCGAAGGAGGCGTGGCAGTTGGGGCAGCGTCGCCGGCGCATGAGGAGGCAGCAGAGGATGCCGATGGGGAAGAAGAGGATGGCGAGGATGATGCCACACACGGAGTAGTCGTCTTCCAGAACTCCGACCCTGACAGCACACACGGAGACACAGCATGCACGGTAAGGACACACGGCACACACGGCGCGGACGCACGGCACACACGGTGTGCCTTTGTCACCCTAGTAGCGATGTTCACACACCACATCAGGTACTCGTTTGAGGCCGAGTCGACCTAGGGGAGGCCCAGTACCGGTTCAGATAACCGTCACTGGCGTTGGCGGTGGGCGTGAGCGGAAATCGAACTCGGGGAGCCGTATCCGTAGCGCTACGCTACCACTGCCCGCACACGGACACAAAAACAAAGGCGGACACACGCCGAGGCGAGGGCACTCGCACCACCACTCACCTACACGTGGGGCAACCACCCACGACCAGCACAGAGGTCACACCCTGGGCCTGCTGACTGATGATCACGGGGTAGGGACCAGCCCCAGGGGGGTGGTAGGGGCCCGGACATGGGGGCCCAGGTGGGTAGGACCCCGGTGGCCCAGGCAGATAGTGGCCTGGGGGCCCGGGGGGGTAATTGCCAGGGGGTCCGGCAGGGTAGGCCCCGTCCGACCCGCCAGGGTAACCTGTGGAGAGAGGAACGCATGGGTCACCTGGTGGCGGCCTCGCGGGCTGGGTCTCCAATGGCTGGGTCCCTATTGGCTGGGTCCCTATTGGCTCGGTCCCCAATGGCTGGGTCCCTATTTGCTGGGTCCCTATTTGCTGGGTCTCCAATGGCTGGGTCCCTATTGGCTGGGTCCCTATTGGCTGGGTCCCTATTGGCTAGGTCCCTATTGGCTGGGTCTCCAATGGCTGGGTCTCCAATGGCTGGGTCCCTATTGGCTGGGTCCCTATTGGCTGGGTCCCCAATGGCTGGGTCCTTATTTGCTGGGTCCCTATTGGCTGGGTCTCCAATGGCTGGGTCCCTATTGGCTGGGTCCCTATTGGCTGGGTCCCTATTGGCTAGGTCCCTATTGGCTGGGTCTCCAATGGCTGGGTCCCTATTGGCTGGGTCCCTATTGGCTGGGTCCCCAATGCCTGGGTCCCTATTGGCTGGGTCCCTATTGGCTGGTTTCTCAATGGCTGGGTCCCTATTGGCTGGGTCCCCAATGCCTGAGTCCCTATTGGCTGGGTCCCCAATGCCTGGGTCCCTATTGGCTGGGTCCCTATTGGCTGGTTTCTCAATGGCTGGGTTCCCAGTAGCTGCCCGGAGCGAGTTGGCCATCGACCAGGTGACTTTACGGCCCTCTGCTCGTGTCGAATGACGTCAAAGGATCTTTCACGTCCGCTCGCGAGTGAATCACCTGGCGCAGAGTAGCATTGTTTATACCAATGGCTCTTAACCTCTACTGCAGCCTTGGACCCCTTTGGTTCTCAATCGTAAGTTGCGTTCGTAATGTTAATAAATACATGTTTGATGAAACAAAGTAGTTGTACTCATGTGCCCGTGCTTAATTTGCGTCCCGATTATTTACCTTCTAACAATATCTGGCCACGTCCCGCACCCCAGAGAGGGCATCTCGCACCCACAGCAGGTGCGTGCAACCCCAGGTAAAGATCCACAGGTTTACACCCGCCGCAGAGTACTGACCAGGGCGGCCCACCGGGTTCGAACCAAGCGATCCTCTACAACAAGCGCTCCCCCGCTGGGCTGCGTAAGATGTGCAGGCGTTCAGCGAGCGGCGCCGTGCAAGGACATCCCCAACCCCCAACCGGTTGGGCGTGGGGCTGGTTACCTGGGGGGTAGGGCTGGGGGTAGGGGTAGCCCCCCGGAGGCGGGATGGCCCCGTAACCAGGGGGCCCTTGCCCCTGCGCCCCGTACGCCGGGGGCCCCCCACCTTCGCCCCCCACCATCAGCGGCTTGCGGTCATCCGCCATCGCTCCGGTCGCTCCTCAATCGGCGGCGTCACGGCACCACGTCTGAATAGATGGGACGGCAAACACGGCTCAACAACATCAACATCGTCGTCGTCGTCATCTTCATCTATCGTCAGCTACGGCATATCCACTGCTGCTGGATGAAGGCCTCTCCATGCCGTCTCCATCCCTCAGGGCCCAGCGCTGCTCTCGCCCATCTCACTCGTGCAGCTTGAGCCGATTTCGCCGCTCCATCTCCGTGGCGGATCGCGCCTTTTGGTCTCGCGTGCGCTTTCCCTCCCGCTTGTGGCTGTCATTCCGCCACCAGTCTCGACCACCGGACATCGCCGCCCGCCCGGCCGCAACGCGTCCTGCCCGAGGCCACTCGCCCTCCTCGGCACTTTGCACGGACCTCACTAGCCCGTTGCACTTCCTCAAATCCACGTGGTTCCTCCGTCCATCTCTCAGCGTAAATTCCGAGCGCCCGTCTCGCCCATCATTACAGTTTTTGTTCCGCTTGTCGGTTCGCCGCCACGTGTGTCACAGAGGGCAGCATCCACGGCCGACAGTAAAGGCCTCAACGATAGCGGCATCTGTGCACGCCAGCGGAACTCTGCGCCCCTGACTCTGCCGACGAGATGCGGAAGCTCGAGAACCGGGCCCAGGGTGTTCTGGCTTGCGACAACGCTGCTGCAGACTAACATTGTTCTGGAAAGCCACGAGCCCGGTGTTCTTCATTGCAAGGCTCCCCGGCGGGCCACCGGCGGGCCCCTGGTGGCTTTTAGGGCAGCCTCCGACGTGCGGCCCCCCAACAATACACAACATGTCAAAACGTGCTGCTGTCAAACCCCCAAAATGGTTTCAAATGCGTGACGACCCTCACACCGACGTTGTCTAATCGGCGACAGCGGCCTCCCCTCTGCAAACCGGTGAAGAGCACTGCACCAGGGCCATGGACTAAATCGTACGTTGTGTTGGCAATGGGGGCGGCAGGGTGTCGCCGTGTCCACCACTGGTTGCCTGGTTTCCATTCCCGACTCGGGCGTCCATCTGTGCGGAGTTTGTAAGCTCCCTGCCCGTGTTCTGCGTGGGTTTCCCCCAGGTTCTCTCGTTGTCCTCCGAGAGCTCGACCCACACTCACACGGGCGTACTGTACCTATGGCGTGGGGGGAGGCGTTCAGAAACGACGTGGCCATCACCAATGGTAGCTCAACCAAGTGGCTTATCGCGTGGACATTTATAACGGCCAAATACTCGATGCGCGCGATGTCGATTCGAAATGCGGAGGGGAAAAATCGGAGGACCGGGAGGAAGATCCACGGCAACACGGGGAGAACATTCAAACTCCAAATATACAACAGGCGTCAGTGTCGAGATCGAACCCAACACAACCTCATGTATACCGGGCGAGGTAATTAACATTTCGCCACCATGGCGCTGTTTTTGGCCAAAACGCCCCAACGCCTACTCAACCGGGATTTCCACATGACAGCAAGCGTCGCGCCCCGCCCCCCTCCCCCTACCCCGACTGCGTAAGCTTGGCAAGACCCTCCTGAAGTCTTGAGGCTCTGCGAGGCTTTCCTGGCTGGGTAAACAATTGCAATTCCTCATGCTATATTCGAAAGAAATGTTTTTTTCTTTTTCCTGCTGGGTAACTCGAGTGGATTTCTGTCTTTACTGGGTGCTTGCTATACAATGCACTTTGTTCGGCTATCATTTGTGGCCAGGTCGCTTCTGAAAAACAAGTTAATAGCTCAGTGCGCTTTATCTGGTAAGATGGAAAATTAAGTGTTATTTGTATACAATTTGTAAAAAAAACTATTTGTTTACCTTTTCTATGCTTTGTACTCCGAACGTGTTTCTGTACCGTTTGTTGTTGTAACGTTCTGATCCCGTGCTCCTACTGGACATGTGAAAAAAAGGCTTTATAGCTCATTGTATTCTTCCAGTATAAAGATTCTGATTCTTAGGCGTGCGCTGTGATGATGTCAGCCGCAACCCACAGCTGTGAGCCGGTTTCGTGCGTGGTGATGTCACGAACAGTGTGAGAGAGGATGTGAGAAAGGGGAAGAGATGGGGTCGGGGTTGGGGGAGATGCAGTGGAGGGAGGACAGAGGAATTGAGAAACGGAGAGAAACGAAGAAATGGAGACAAGGTGAGAAATTTAGATCAATTGCGATGTACAGTACAGATCTCCTTCCCCCGCAGCTCCGAAGGAAGTTCAACAAACATCCAGAAGGGTGGAGAGAGACAGGGCTCAACATGAGAATAAAAGTTTGGCTGGCTGGCTGGCACGGAGGCGTCCAAAGGACATGCGGATAGCTAGTTATAATAATAATGATGAATGTGGGGGGCCTGTCTGTGTTACTAGTCATCTGTAAAAAAAGAGCTTCACGGCTCATCAAGATTTCTCGAGGATAAATTATTCCGATTTCGATTTCCGAACTGTCACACGGGTATCATGGGCGCACGCATTGGCGCAACGGGCTCAACGGACACAACGGACACAACGGACACAACGGACACAACGGGCTCAACGGACACAACGGGCTCAACGGGCACAACGGGCCCAACGGACACAACGGGCTCAACGGGCACAACGGGCCCAACGGACACAAAGGGCTCAACGGACACAACGGACACAACGGACACAACGGGCTCAACGGACACAACGGACACAACGGACACAACGGGCTCAACGGACACAACGGACTCAACGGGCCCAACGGGCCCAACGGGCTGTAACGTCGTTGGCGACGTCGCGGTGGGTTCACAGCGTGGCAGCCGGGCTGGGCACGCGCGGCTCGGCGTGGGCAAGCGAACAACAGCAACGAGCTGGGGTGCAACGCAGCGGGCGGACAGGCGTTGTCTCGGCAGCCGGGTAAACAGGAAGGGGCCAGCAGGGGGAGGACAACGGTTGGTGTCCCTTTGACACTAATAATATAATTACATGTTGTACATATGTAATGACAGTAGAGCCTCCGTGCGCTGTGAGTGGACTAGTGGGCCACGGGAGGTAATGACAGGGGAGTCAGCCTGCAGTGCGAATGGACTAGTGGGCCACGGGAGGTAATGACAGGGGAGTCAGCCTGTAGTGCGAATGGACTAGTGGCCAAGGGAGGTAATGACAGGGGAGTCAGCCTGCAGTGCGAATGGACTAGTGGCCACGGGAGATAATGACAGGGGAGTCAGCCTGTAGTGCGAATGGACTAGTGGCCATTGGAGGTAATGACAGGGGAGACAGCCTGCAGTGCGAATGGACTAGTGGCCAAGGGAGGTAATGACAGGGGAGTCAGCCTGCAGTGCGAATGGACTAGTGGCCACGGGAGATAATGACAGGGGAGTCAGCCTGCAGTGCGAATGGACTAGTGGGCCACGGGAGGTAATGACAGGGGAGTCAGCCTGCAGTGCGAATGGACTAGTGGCCAAGGGAGGTAATGACAGGGGAGTCAGCCTGCAGTGCGAATGGACTAGTGGCCACGGGAGATAATGACAGGGGAGTCAGCCTGTAGTGCGAATGGACTAGTGGCCATTGGAGGTAATGACAGGGGAGACAGCCTGCAGTGCGAATGGACTAGTGGCCACGGGAGGTAATGACAGGGGAGTCAGCCTACAGTGCGAATGGACTAGTGGCCACGGGAGGTAATGACAGGGGAGTCAGCCTGCAGTGCGAATGGACTAGTGGCCACGGGAGGTAATGACAGGGAAGTCAGCTGTGAGTGCGAAGGGACTGGTGACTATGGGAATGATCCGAGAAGGGAGCGTGGTCAGGTGAAGAAAGACGGTAGCGTCTGCCGGTGGTGCGAGCGTCCAGAGTCAGCGAGAATGATCGAGAAGGGGGGCGTGGCCTCGGCCAGTATAAAAGGGGGAGATGCACGGGAGACTCGGGACTGTTGCAGTGGGGGTCTCCGCCTGATGTCAAGTGAACGTGTCTTCAATAAAGTGCCATCTCAAGAGAAGTGTGTGAAGTCGTCATTACACATACATCGTTCATGCAATACTGCATCCAACAACGCTGTACAAGACAGAAAAACGATACAATATTCAAAGAACAACGCAACTCGCAAGACAGAGCTACGGTCTATCCACGGCTGGATGAAGGCCACCATCATTAGTGTGGTCGCACCTCCGATAAGCATGGTTTAGCTACGGATGAAAGAAGTTCAACGTGCATACATCAATGCTATGGAGATGCTTGTCGGGAGAGGCCTCAGTGACAGTGTTGAATTGCGTTGCCCGTGGCGTTCAGTTGAACGAGGTCCCATTTCTTCACGGAGAAGGGGTCCCTTCACTGTAAATAGTCGGGCAGTTCACTAGCATTGGTTCAAGCCAACCTGACTCTGCTGCTGATGAGACACCGAATGGTGAAACCGGTCCTTGCTTAGAAACATGGGGAAGTTTAGCATTGTACAAGCAAGTCCGACTGCTGATGAGAGGCAGAATGTCGAAACCGGTCCTTGCTTAGAAACATGGGGCAGTCTGCCAGCATTGGTTCAAGCCAACCCTGACTGTGCTGCTGATGAGAACCTGAATGTCGAAACCGGTTCAGAGTTTTTGCCTGCACCGAACCAACGCCGCTAATGGGATGCACTCGCAGAAGAACGTTGCGTGTGGCTGATGCGTTGTGTAAAACAATCCGCGTAAGGAAATAGACAAATATGGGCACGAGACTAATTGATATTTACATGCTCCACGGTTACGGTGAAGAATGGTCAAACAACCACCATGGTATTCTTTGGGTCTTTCGGTAAAGGCACGTAGCTAGAAAAAAATAGCAAAAAATCTAAATCACGACTTTTTTTCTCACCTGAAGACGATTGCTCGTGTTGCGATCGAAACGTCGTGATTTTGATTTGTGTAATTTTTTCTATCTACGTGGCTTTACCGAAAGACCCAAAGATTATGAATTCCTGCAGTCACGAAAGTCAAGATTTAACCACCATGGTGTATGGGTCTCTGTGTGAGTCTGTGGGGGTCTCTGTGTGAGTCTGGGTATCTCTGTGAGTCTGCAGGTCTCTGTGTGAGTCTGTAGGTCTCTGTGTGAGTCTGTGGGTCTCTGTGCGAGTCTGTGGGGGTCTATCTTAGTCTGGGTATCTCTGTGAGTCTGCAGGTCTCTGTGTGAGTCTGCAGGTCTCTGTGTGAGTCTGTGGGGGTCTATGTTAGTCTGGGTATCTCTGCGAGTCTGCAGGTCTCTGTGTGAGTCTGCAGGTCTCTGTGTGAGTCTGTGGGTCTCTCTGTATGAGTCTATGGGTCTCTCTGCATGAGTCTATGGGTCTCTGTGTTAGTCTGGGTATCTCTGTGAGTCTGCAGGTCTCTGTGCGAGTCTGTGGGTCTCTCTGTGCGAGTCTGTGGGGCTCTATGTTAGTCTGGGTATCTCTGTGAGTCTGCAGGTCTCTGTGTGAGTCTGTGGAGGTCTATGTTAGTCTGGGTATCTCTGTGAGTCTGCAGGTCTCTGTGTGGGTCTATGGGTCTCTCTGTGTGAGTCATTGGTGACTGGGCTGAGACCATCAGTCTCGACACGGCAATTGTTAACCCCTGAGCCTCTGTTATCTTTCTCTCATATCTCTCTCGTATTTCTCTCTCTTGGGGGAAGAGGTGGAGGGTTGGGTCATGTGACCACTCAGATAAATCACCTGGGCACGCGCCACGTGACGTTAACACTGGCGGGCAAAGGTGAGCTCAGTAAACAAGGCGAGTGCGAGATGGACAGCGTGAGAGGGTGAGAGGGTGTGTGAGAGAGAGAGGGGGTGTGAGAGAGGGTGAGAGAGAGAGAGAGGGGGTGTGAGAGAGGGTGAGAGAGAGAGAGAGGGGGTGTGAGAGAGAGGATGAGAGAGAGGAGATTACAGCGTTTCATAGAGAGTGTGAGAGAATTTGAGAGAGAGGATGAGAGCGTGTCAGAGAGTGTGTGAGAGAGGATGAGAGCGTGTCAGAGAGGGTGTGAGAGAATGTGAGAGAGAGGATGAGAGCGTTTCATAGAGAGTGTGAGAGAGTGAGAGAGAGGGGAAGAGAGCGTGTCAGAGAGTGTGTGAGAGAGTGTGTGAGAGAGAGTGTGAGAGAGAGGATAAGAGAGTGTGAGAGAGAGGATGAGAGCGTGTCAGAGAGAGTGTGAGAGAGTGTGTGAGAGAGAGTGTGAGAGAGTGGATAAGAGAGTGTGAGAGAGAGGATGAGAGCGTGTCAGAGAGAGTGTGAGAGAGTGTGTGAGAGAGAGTGTGAGAGAGAGTGTGTGAGAGAGTGTGAGAGAGAGGATAAGAGAGTGTGAGAGAGAGGATGAGAGCGTGTCAGAGAGAGTGTGAGAGAGAGAGTGAGAGAGAGGGGATGAGAGTGTGTCAGAGAGAGTGTGAGAGAGTGTGACAGAGAGTGTGAGAGAGTGTGAGAGAGTGTGAGAGAGAGAGGAAGAGAGCGTGTCAGAGAGAGTGTGAGAGAGTGTGTGAGAGAGAGTGTGAGAGAGTGTGTGAGAGAGAGTGTGAGAGAGTGTGAGAGAGTGTGAGAGAGTGTGAGAGTGTGAGAGAGTGTGTGAGAGAGTGTGAGAGAGTGTGAGAGAGTGAGAGAGTGGGGAAGAGAGCGTGTCGGAGAGTGTGTGAGAGAGTGTGAGAGAGTGTGATAGAGTGTGAGAGAGCGTGTGAGATAGAGTGTGAGATAGAGTGTGAGAGAGAGTGCGAGAGAGAGTGTGTCAGAGAGAGTGTGAGCGAGAGTGTGAGATAGAGTGTGAGAGAGTGTGTGAGAGTGAGAGAGAGTGTGAGAGAGAGGATGAGAGCGTGTCAGAGAGAGTGAGAGAGAGTGAGAGAGAGTGAGAGAGAGTGTGAGAGAGTGTGAGAGGGCGTGTGAGATAGAGTGTGAGAGTGTGAGAGAGTGTGTGAGAGTGAGAGAGAGAGTGTGAGAGAGAGGATGAGAGCGTGTCAGAGAGAGTGAGAGAGAGTGTGAGAGAGTGTGAGAGAGCGTGTGAGATAGAGTGTGAGAGTGTGAGAGAGTGTGTGAAAGTGAGAGAGAGAGAGGATGAGAGCGTGTCAGAGAGAGTGAGATAGAGAGTGTGAGAGAGTGAGAGAGAGAGTGTGAGAGAGAGGATGAGAGCGTGTCAGAGAGAGTGAGATAGAGAGTGTGTGAGAGTGAGAGAGAGAGTGTGAGAGAGAGGATGAGAGCGTGTCAGAGAGAGTGAGAGGGAGTGAGAGAGAGTGTGAGAGAGCGTGTGAGATAGAGTGTGAGAGTGTGAGAGAGTGTGTGAAAGTGAGAGAGAGAGAGGATGAGAGCGTGTCAGAGAGAGTGAGAGTGTGAGAGAGTGTGAGAGAGTGAGAGAAAGTGTGAGAGAGTGTGAGAGAGAGCGTGTGAGAGTGTGAGAGAGAGTGTGAGAGAGTGTGTGAGAGAGAGTGTGAGAGAGAGTCTGAGAGTGTGAGAGAGTGTGAGAGTGTGAGAGAGTGTGAGAGAGCGTGTGAGAGAGAGTGTGAGGGTGTGAGAGAGTGTGAGAGAGTGTGAGAGAGAGTGTGAGAGTGTGAGAGAGTGTGAGAGAGAGTGTGAGAGAGCATGAGAGAGTGTGAGAGAGAGTGTGAGAGAGTGTGAGAGAGCGTGTGAGAGAGCGTGTGAGAGGGTGTGAGAGAGTGTGTGAGAGAGTGTGTGAGAGAGTGTGTGAGAGAGTGTGCGAGAGCGTGAGAGAGTGTGAGAGAGAGTGTGAGAGAGAGTGTGAGAGAGCGTGTGAGAGAGAGTGTGAGAGAGCGTGAGAGAGCGTGAGAGAGCGCGAGACAGCGTTAGAGAGCGCCGTCCAGTCTTCACACCCGTCAACATCTGCCCCGACCCCAGCAACCCGTGGCTCCCCAGACCGGCAACTCCACACTCTTTACCCAGGAGCATCGGCAGCGCGAGGTTGCAAACCAGACAACTCTGGACCGGTTTTGAACGTCTGGGGGGGGGGAGCTCTCATCGACAAAATATCGTGGATCCAAGGTTTTGCTCGAGTACACACAGATGCCGCGTGAAACAGTCTGTTCGAAGAAGCATGCATAGGTGCACGATTTCTCTTTAATTCTATTTTTATTTGACCAGGTAAGGGCCCCGCTGAGCTATATTTATCTCTTTGTCAGAAGCGGCCTGGCCACAAATGTCAGCTCAACGAAGTGGCTCATCGCGTTTTAATTTAGAGCAGTCAAACGCTCCGAACGCGCGACGTTGATTCTAAACGTGGCGGGGAAAACCCGGAGGACCCGGAGAAAAATCCACGCGAAACACGAGGAGAGAGACACGCAAACTCCAAATATACAGCAGCAGCAGGCGTCATGGTCGGGATCGAACCCACGACCTCCTGTACACCAGGCGAGGTAGTTAACATCTCACGACGGAGAGAGACGCAAACTCCAAACATACAGCAGCAGGCGTCAGGGTCGCGATGAAAACCCACGACCTCCTGCATACCGGGCGAGGTAGTTAACATCTCACCACGGAGAGAGACGCAAACTCCAAATATACAGCAGCAGGCGTCAGGGTCGGGATCGAACCCACGACCTCCTGTATACCAGGCGAGGTAGTCAACATCTCACCACCGCGAGGGAGAAGAGGGGGCGAGCTTGGGCAGGATGCGTCACGGCCACATGGGGGAGAACGGTCGATGTGCGGTGGTCGAGACTGGTGGGGGAATGACAGCCACAAGGGGAGGGAGGGGAACGCGCAATAGGGGAGCGCCGCCTGCCGGAGATGGAGCGGTGAAATCGGCTCCCGCGGCAGGAGTGAGATGGGCGAGATCAGCACTGGGCCCTGGGGAGTGGAGACGGCGTGGGGAGGCCTTCATCGAGCAGTGGATAGACCGTGGCTGATGTTGCAGAACACACAGGAACCTGGTCGTAGCGACTGCCGTGGTGACTGTCCCAGTGAACTTCGCTCGTTGATTCCTCCTGGCATGCTGAGTATTCAGTCTCTACCAGATTGACTGTCCTAGCCACCACCACCACCACACTGTGTTCAACCACCACAACCACCACCACAATGTGTTCAACCACCACCACCACCACACTGTGTTCAACCACCACAACCACCACCACAATGTGTTCAACCACCACCACCACCACACTGTGTTCAACCACCACAACCACCACACTGTGTTCAACAACCACCACCACCACGCTGTGTTCAACCACCACCACAACCACCACCACAACCACCACCACGCTGTGTTCAACCACCACAACCACCACCACAACCACCACCACAACCACCACCACCACAACCACCACCACACTGTGTTCAACCACCACCACCACCACACTGTGTTCAACCACCACAACCACTACCACACTGTTCAACCACCACCACAACCACCACCACAACCACCACCACGCTGTGTTCAACCACCACAACCACCACCACAACCACCACCACAACCACCACCACGCTGTGTTCAACCACCACCGCTGACAGTTTTGGGCCTGTGGTAAACAAACAAATTCTGCGGTTGCCACCTCCGAGGTACACAAACCGTCTGGACAACAACAATGATCTCACGCTAGCAGGCGAGATCATTGTTGTTGTCCACCACCACACTGTGTCCAACCACGTTAGCCACCCACCCTCCGCGCTGTCTGCTCACCTGCGCTCCTACTCACCTGCTCACCTACTCACCTGCTCACCAGCTCACCTGCTCACCAGCTCACCTGCTCACCTGCTCTCCTACTCACTTGCTCACCTGCTCACCTGCTCTCCTACTCACTTGCTCACCTGCTCACCAGCTCACCTGCTCTCCTACTCACCAGCTCACCTGCTCACCTACTCACTTGCTCACCTGCTCACTTGCTCACTTTGGTCGTGACGAGGTGTCGCTCGCTCGCTCTCTTCCCGGTGGTGGAGAGGTCGAAGGGGGCGATCGAGGGAGACGGGAGTCGTGGTCTGCGTGCGAGTTGTGAGTGTGGGAGTGTGAGTCTGTGTGTGAGTCTGTGTGGGAGTCTGTGTGTGAGTCTGAGTCTGTGCGGGAGTCTGTGCGGGAGTCTGTGTGGGAGTGAGTGAGTCTGTGTGTGAGTCTGAGTGTGAGTCTGAGTCTGTGTGTGAGTCTGAGTCTGTGTGGGAGTGTGAGTCTGTGTGTGAGTCTGAGTCTGTGTGTGAGTCTGAGTCTGTGTGTGAGTCTGAGTCTGTGCGCTTGTGAGTCTGTGCGCTTGTGAGTCTGAGTCTGTGTGGGAGTGTGAGTCTGTGTGGGAGTGTGAGTCTGTGTGCCAGTGAGTGAGTCTGTGTGTGAGTCTGAGTCTGTGTGTGAGTCTGAGTCTGTGTGTGAGTCTGAGTCTGTGTGTGAGTCTGAGTCTGTGTGTGAGTCTGAGTCTGTGCGCTTGTGAGCTTGCGGTGTGCGAGTGAAAGCGAGCCACGAGCCAGCCAAGCCGTCTCGTGAGTCACCCCGTGGATCTGTTGTGAGCTGTGCGAGTCGAGAGGGACTCACCTGGGGGTTCACCCCCCCCCCGCCCCTCTAGCCCCGCCCCCCCGCCCCTCTAGCCCCGCCCCCCCGCCCCTCTAGCCCCGCCCCCCCGCCCCTCTAGCCCCGCCCCTTTCCCCCTTCAGCCCCGCCCCTTTCCCCCTTCAGCCCCGCCCCTTTCCCCCTCTCCGCCCCCCTCCCCCGCGCCGGTCACGCGCTCCGGCAGTCGGACCCGTCACGGTCACGAGATTCACCCCCTCCCTCCCTCCCCTCAGTGAGCCCCCCCCACTCCGCAACACTCACACCACGTGGGTTGTTGTCTCATCACACAGTGCGCGACGAGCGATTCCACAGAATCGGAGATTTCATGAATCGATTTGTGTGGTGGTGGTGGCGTGGGTGGACCTACTATGGGGCCGTCCATAAATGACGTCACGCGATTTTGAACGATTTTTGACCCCCCCCCCTCGTCACACGGCGTCACAAAAAGTCAGACCCCCCCCTCAAATATGACGTCACAAAGCACTGCCCCCCCCCCCCCCCCAAATATATAAAACATGCTTCAAATCGCTTTAAACTATTGTCATTGTAGTGCGTATTTAATGTGGCGCTACACTCTGATGTTGTAGGAGAAAACATTTATTAAAAAGTATATTCAATTAAGTAGAACGTGTTGTCTATATTTATTTAAAGTTGCGCATTTTGATGTGACGTCACATTTCTCAAAACCCCCCCCTCGTCACACATCTTCACAAATGTCTGACCCCACCACACCCCCCAGGTGCGTGACGTCATTTATGGACGGCCCCTAAAACAGCCTGGACGAAATTGAAGAGTGGTAGAACCGAGTCCTGAACGTGTGTGGAGGAAGCTAGGAGTGAAGATCATAGCAACAATAGCCACGGTAGTGGCGAAAGACGAGTGATCAGAAGGGGACCCGACTTCTCTACATCACGGTATATTTAAAAATAGGCCATCAGCTGAGTGTCACCCCTTCGGCTACAGCGCCATTGGTTTCCCAAGATAGCAGCAAGCCTCCTGAAAACGATTCTTGAGACTCAATGAGGCCTTCCTGAATAAAGGCATGGTGCACATGGCCTGGCACAAGTGTCGTGGTGACGTCACCGCCACTGAGTGGCGAATGGCGGTTGTTGTTGTTGAGGCATTGGGGCACAGCGATTCACGCACTGCGCCGATAGTCCGTTGCCCTGGATTCGATCCGTGATCTCGGTCAACATCAGTTGCAAGTTATACTTGTAGGAGCGAAGTTGTAAACTGAGTGTACCAGCCTGCAATAGATTAATGTGTCCGTCCGTCCGTCCCCTTTCAATACTTTAACGAAGTGAAATCTCCCAACATTTGGAAGTAACAATGCCATAAAATTGCGCAAAATTCCAATGTTCCTACCAGCCCACCCTGCAGGGACCTGTTATCTGAACGTGCTCCGGGCCTCCGCTAGATTGACTCAACCATAACTGTGCAAACAGCACCGGGGGATAAAGAGGTGGTTTATGAACGTTAGTGGACCCTCGGTCACTGTGTGCGCGCACGAGAGAGAGAGAATCCACACAGCAAAACAAGAGTGTGGTGATGAGTGATTTAATCAAGTGCACGAGTTACGGCGGACATGACCTCCCCCCCCCCCCCTGCCAACTTAACAATTGGTACAGTCCTGTCTCTCACTGAGATCTCACTAAGCTTGGACCCCCCACCCTCCCCCGTAGGGGCTGTACCAAGTCTAACAGATTGGGGCTGGGGGCGGACGGAGGTCCACTCTGTCCACGTACCACCACGGATTTCGTACCAAAAATAAGTCGGTTTTGCGTTGGGTGTCGCGGGGCCTCACTGGGCAGCATTGACATCAGCGCCTTAAACCACGAGGACGAGCGTGGGGCGCAGCACATTTACAAAGTGTACCCAAATCACGGGTGTGGCCCCGCCCATCACGAGGGCAGGCCCCGCCCATTACGAGGGCCGGCCCCGCCCAACACGAGGGTTCGGCCACTCTCACCAGTATCTTTACCAAGTGTAACCCACAGCATGAGTGGCCACGCCCATTAGCATTTTTACAAAGTGTACCCATTGAAGGGCTGTAACCACCAGCATCTTTACAAAGTGTACCCATGTCCGTGGCAGCCAGCATCTGTACAAAGTGTACCAATTACAGGGCAAGTCATGCCCACCAGCATCTTACAAAGTGTACCCATCTCTGGGCCAGCCATCATCTTTACACAGTGTACCCATCTCCAAACCGGCCAGCATCTTTACAGTGTACCCATTACAGAGCTGGCCATGCCCACCAGCATATTTACAAAGTGTACCCATCTCCGGGCCGGCCAGCATCTTTACAAAGTGTACCCATCTCCGGGCCGTCCAGCATCTTTACAAAGTGTACCCATCTCCGGGCCGGCCAGCATCTTTACAAAGTGTACGCATCTCCAGGCCGGCCAGCATCAGCTCAGCATCTTTACAAAGTGCACCCATCTCCGGGCTGCTCAGCATCTTTACAAAGTGTACCCATCTCCGGGCTGCTCAGCATCTTTACAAAGTGTATCCATCTCCGGGCCGGCCAGCATCTTTACAAAGTGTACCCATCTCCGGGCTGCCCAGCATTTTTACAAAGTGTACCCATCTCCGGGCCGGCCAGCATCTTTACAAAGTGTACCCATCTCCGGGCCGTCCAGCATCTTTACAAAGTGTACCCATGTCCGGGCCGGCCAGAATCTTTACAAAGTGTACACCCATCTCCGGGCCGGCCAGAATCTTTACAAAGTGTACCCATCTCCGGGCTGCTCAGCATCTTTACAAAGTGTACCCATCTCCGGGCCGGCCAGCATCTTTACAAAGTGTACACATCTCCAGGCCGGCCAGCATCTTTACAAAGTGTACCCATCTCCGGGCTGCTCAGCATCTTTACAAAGTGTACCCATCTCCGGGCCGGCCAGCATTTTTACAAAGTGTACCCATCTCCGGGCCGGCCAGCATTTTTACAAAGTGTACCCATCTCTGGGCTGCTCAGCATCTTTACAAAGTGTACCCATCTCCGGGCCGGCCAGAATCTTTACAAAGTGTACCCATCTCCGGGCTGCTCAGCATCTTTACAAAGTGTACCCATCTCCGGGCTGCTCAGCATCTTAACAAAGTGTACCCATCTCCGGGCCGGCCAGCATCTTTACAAAGTGTACCCATCTCCGGGCTGCCCAGCATCTTTACAAAGTGTACCCATCTCCGGGCCGTCCAGCATCTTTACAAAGTGTACCCATCTCCGGGCCGGCCAGAATCTTTACAAAGTGTACCCATCCCCGGGCCGGCCATACAAAGTGTACCCATCTCCGGGCTGCCCAGCATCTTTAGAAAGTGTACCCATCTCCGGGCTGCTCAGCATCTTTACAAAGTGTACCCATCTCCGGGCCGGCCAGCATCTTTACAAAGTGTACACCCATCTCCGGGCCGGCCAGAATCTTTACAAAGTGTACCCATCTCCGGGCTGCTCAGCATCTTTACAAAGTGTACCCATCTCCGGGCCGGCCAGCATCTTTACAAAGTGTACGCATCTCCAGGCCGGCCAGCATCTTTACAAAGTGTACCCATCTCCGGGCTGCTCAGCATCTTTACAAAGTGTACCCATCTCCGGGCCGGCCAGCATTTTTACAAAGTGTACCCATCTCCGGGCCGTCCAGAATTTTTACAAAGTGTACCCATCTCCGGGCCGGCCAGCATTTTTACAAAGTGTACCCATCTCCGGGCCGGCCAGCATTTTTACAAAGTGTACCCATCTCTGGGCTGCTCAGCATCTTTACAAAGTGTACCCATCTCCGGGCCGGCCAGAATCTTTACAAAGTGTACCCATCTCCGGGCTGCTCAGCATCTTTACAAAGTGTACCCATCTCCGGGCTGCTCAGCATTTTTACAAAGTGTACCCATCTCCGGGCCGGCCAGCATCTTTACAAAGTGTACCCATCTCCGGGCTGCCCAGCATCTTTACAAAGTGTACCCATTACAGAGCTAGCCATGCCCACCAGCATATTTACAAAGTGTACCCATCTCCGGGCCGGCCAGCATCTTTACAAAGTGTACCCATCTCCGGGCCGGCCAGCATCTTTACAAAGTGTACCCATCTCCGGACCGGCCAGCATCTTTACAAAGTGTACCCATCTCCGGGCCGGCCAGCATCTTTACAAAGTGTACCCATCTCCGGGCCGGCCAGCATCTTTACAAAGTGTACCCATCTCCGGGCCGGCCAGCATTTTTACAAAGTGTACCCATCTCCGGGCTGCTCAGCATCTTTACAAAGTGTACCCATCTCCGGGCCGGCCAGCATTTTTACAAAGTGTACCCATCTCCGGGCCGGCCAGAATTTTTACAAAGTGTACCCATCTCCGGGCCGGCCAGAATCTTTACAAAGTGTACCCATCTCCGGGCTGCCCAGCATCTTTACAAAGTTTACCCACAATGAGCGAGCGGTGGGAGGCGTTTTCCCTCTTGGCCGCGTACACACACACACACACCCGAACCGTTTACATTCACACTTAAAAACGCGCGCGTCTCGTTTAAACACAAGCACAACGCTAGAATCTCCATCGCTAATAAAATCAATGACGATATAGAACTAGTAACGATCATAACAACAATAATAATTATTATACACACACACACACAGCAGTGAACACTTGGTTTCGTTTGTACAGCGACCGATAAAATCTCACACATGGGCACAACGGAACCGGCCCCGCAGAACGAGTTTCATCAGCCAAAGGGCAGCCCTGCCATGCCAACGCGTCCTGACCCCTAACCCTACCCCCCCCCCCCCACCAGAGATCTCCCAGCAGGTGATGGCAGGTGCTGGCAGGTGCTGGCAGGTCAGGGGGGGATGCATTGACCGCGCGCTATGTGCGACTGTGCTTCAACGGGGCTCGGTGTCACTCCCCAAGGGGCTCTGGGGGGGGGGGGGGGGGGCAGCATGTCAGAGCGGGGGGCAATGGGCAGGATCAGTGTGAGGGTCGCGTTTGGGGTTAGCGTTAAGGCCAGGTTTGGGTAAAAGCAAGCAAGGGTTGAGATGAGGGTCACTTGCAGCCAGGGTTAGGGGGTTAACGCAAGTGTTCTGGTTTGGGTCGGGGTGAGCCGCAATGTTGGGGGTCACAGTTATGGGTCAGGACCAGGATTAGGGCCCGGGTTGGATAAGGGTTTAACGTTAGGGCCGGATTCAGGTTCAGGTGGGGGGGGTTCGGGTCTGGGAACACACGCGTGTGTGTGCGGGAACACACACGCGTGTGTGCGGGAACACACACGTGTGTGCGGGAACACACACGCGTGTGTGTGTGCGGGAACACACACGCGTGTGTGTGTGCGGGAACACACACACACACGCGTGTGTGTGTGTGTGTGCGCGGGGGCGGACGACCGCCGCCCCAATCCCACCGCCGTCCTCCTCCTCCTCCTCGTCGTCACGGCCGTCGTTGTAGCTCCGCGCTTGACAAGACGCTGGGTGGGGGGGGGGGGGGGTGGGGGGGGGGGTGGGGGCCGACGTCACCGCTCACTGTGACGTCACGGCCAGACTTGGCCCCGCCACGCCGTCGCGTCGTTTCCACCGCCGGCTCGGGAGCACGGGCGCATTTTGATGAAGTACGAAGTGAAGGGTTAACGGTGCAGCCCTGCAAATGGCTGCTCACGCCGCCGCGGGATGGCGGAGGACTCCACGAGAAGGGGATTTGCGGTACTCCTCTGCATTGTCCAAACGTCTTTGTGGAGAGGTTACCCACACTTTACCCCACCACGCACGCGGCCTGCCCATCGGCTGTGATGAACCCATTTGTACTTCTGGGTGGACAGAGGAGGTGGAGGGGGGGAGTTAAGCATTTTGATAAAGCGTAGAGATATATATTTATATACACTGTACACACACGTACAGTGTAAGAAATCCTGTGACCTGTAGTGATTAGCTAGCGGGTTAGACCGCATGTGCACGGGCGCATGGCGCTCAACCAACAAAATCATCATCAGCAGCAGCATCAACACCAGCAGCATTCTTTCCACTTGTATGTATGTTGAAATTCTCTCGTATGTAGGCCAACAAACTTGCTCTGTACCCGCACTGTTGGCTACGCACGGTGCGAAAGAAATTCAATATACATGTAGTGTCTCCGTGCAGTCGCACGCGTGTGCGTGTCTGCAACGTATGTGTGTCCGCGCGTGTGAGCGTGTGTCCGAGTGTGTGTGACAAAGGGTGGTTTGGCGTGGTGCTGGGCACCCACCCCCCTCGCGTACTGCGCCAGGCTTCATAGGTGCTCGCTGACGGCACTTGCCCCAACAGTCGATGAAGGCTACAGGGGGGATCTTTGTCTCTGTGTGTGCCCACGTGCGAGCGTGTGTGTGCGTGCGTGAGCGAGTGCGAGCATGCTCCGGGGGGCTAACTTCTCCCTCCCTCAACATTTCCCAGGGTCGCTGGTAGACTGCCGGAGAGGGTGGCCCCGTGACTCGTAATAAGCCACGGCCCATATCAGAGAGGTATACTGGATGTGGTGTGCCGGGGGGCGGAAATACGCCGCCGCTCGTTGAAGCTCCGAGCGATGGCGCTCACCGCGCCGGCCGTGAGTCGGCCACATGGGAGCCGGCGGGGGGGGGGGGGGAGGGCGGCCACAACCGCCACCTCAGCTCCCATCGCCCTCCTCGCTACTTCCTGCACTCACACACACCACACACAAGACAAACAACCTTAACAGACTTCTGGGTCAGGTGCCGAGTTGCACCTATGACGGACGGCATGACACACAAAGATGTGGGTTGACAGGCGCCACGCCCGGCCGCCTTTGTCTCCCCAGCGGCGATGTTTACACACCGCACCGGGTGTTCATGTCAGGCTGAGCCGACGTAGGGGAGGCCCAGGACCGGTTCAGATAATCGTCACTGGTGTCGGCCGTGAGCGGGAATCGAATTCGGGTCGCCGGGTTCGCAGTGCAATGCGCTGACCGCTACCACTACACGTGCACAAGCGAACGCACACGCAGTGAGTGTACAAATGAGTAGGAGTGGTTTCGTGAGCGGGTGGGCAAATTTCATGAGCGAGTGGGTGACCGAGCGAGTGGGTGACCAAAAGCGGGTGGGTGAACAGATGACCGAGTGGGTCAGTGAAGTGGGTGGGTCAGCGAAGTGGGTGATCGAGCAACAGCGGATGAGTAGATGAGTGAGCTTACGAGTAAGCTTACGAGTGAAAAGCAGAGCCAGCAGGTGAGTGAGCGGGTGAGCAAATAGATAAGTCGGTAAGTGGGTAGGTGAATGAGCCTGAAGAGAGCTTGGAAGCGAGCAGATGATTGAGCGGGTGATTGAAAAGGGGAGTAGTACAGCGGGTCAGTAGGTGGGTGAGCGAGTAGGTGAGGGAGCCATGAGCGAGCAGGAGAGAGAGTAGGTGGGCGAGTGGGTAATGGGTGAGTGAACGGGGCTTGTGAGTGTGCGGGTGAATGTGCGGGTGAGCGAGTGTATGAGCAAGCAGATGGGCGAGTAGGTGAGCACATGAGAGAGTGGGTGAGAGGGGCAGTGGCTGATCTTGTGAACAGGTGAGTGGGTGAGCAAAGTAGGTGCACGGGTAAGCGGGCGAGCGAGCAGGTGAGCGGGTGAACGAGGTTGCGAGCCGGCAGGTGAGCGGGCTATCCTCCCGGCCGCTCACCCGGAGGAGACTCCACGTCGGACTCGCTGACGTGGGTGAAGGAGAGCCCCGGGGAGCCGCTGAGTCGAGACTGGATCAGGGCCGCGGGGTCCGACAGCTTGAGCCGCGGGGGGGAGCTGGAGAGGATGCTGACCGCGGGGGGCATGAGGGGCACGGGGGGCGCCCGGCGGAGGGGCAGGGTGACCGCCGCGGGGGGGTCAGGGGGCCGGTGGCGGGGGGGAGGTGGGGGGGGCCGCGAGGGCCGCGGGATTCGCAGCACAGGGGGCGGCCGTATCCCCCCCGGCATCAGCTCGTCATCCCACTCGAAGCCGCTTCCTGTGACGAGCGGGGTGGACGCGGGGGGGGGGACGCGGGGGACACGGAGTCAGGGGGGACGAGGGGGCAGGAGGACACGGGATCAGGGGGACAAGGGGATAGAGACGCAGAGATGCGGAGACGCACGTACAGAGCCGTGGAGACGCGGGGACACCGGAGGCCCAGAGACACACATGGGGACAACAGAGCCTCGGACAAAGGGGACACTGAGGCGTTGCGACACAGACACGGGGATGCAGAGAAATGGGGACACAGACACGGGCACGCACAGACACGGGACCACAGAGACACGGGGGCCACAGATATACAGAGACACACGGACAGGAGACGAGAGAGACATGGAGACACAGACACGGGCACGCACAGGCACGGCGCCACAGAGACACGGGGCCGCGGAGACGCACAGCGGCGCTGTCATACAATTAAATCGTACACCAGACAAAATCCCCCATCGGAGATTCGTCCATATATGGAAGAAAATGGGCGTAGCTTTGGGTTTTGTTGATCGTTAATCGAGATTAATCATATCGATACCGCTCAGTCGATCCATAATGGACAAACGTCAGAAGCACCAGGTTCATCATAACGTATGGGCTAACTGGCAAATATCAGCGAGGTCGGCGATTCCGTCGCAGCCCGCTTTTCATTGTCACCAACAGCGACGCGGCCTCACCGTCTTCGGAGGAGTCGTCCGAGCTGCAGCGGTCCGCGCCGAGCGGGCGGGCGGTGCGGGAGCCGGTGTGGACTCCCCCTGTGGTCACGTGCAGGCGGCCGCCGCCACCACCGACGCTGTTAGCGTCGCCGCTTTCGCCGTGGTCGCACGTGTCGCTGCCGCCCAGGCTGCTGGTGGGAAAGGCCTGGGAACCGGCGCGCGGACACACACACACACACACACCTCGGTGAGGGCGCCGTGAGCCGTGTGTGCGCGTGCCTCTCTCTGTGTGTGTGTGTGTGTGCCTGCGCGCGTGTGTGTGTGTGTGTCTTTTGGGGAGCGATAGTGTAGCGGTTAGCGCTACGCTGCGCTATGAACCTGGCGACCCGGGTTCGATTCCCGCTCACGGCCAACACCAGTGACGATTATCTAAACCGGTCCCGGGCCTCCCCTAGGTCGACTCAGCCTCAAATGAGTACCTGGTGCGGTGTGTAAAACATTGCCACTAGGGAGACAAAGGCGGTCGGGCGTGGTGCTGGCCACCCACCCCCTCGTGTACCGTTACCGGCCTTCATAGGTGCTCGCTAACAGCACTTGCCCCTACAGTCTGTTAAGGCTATACGGGGGATCTTTGTCTTTATTTTTGTGTGTCTTTAAAACGTTCCTCTGTGGGCATGTCTGCGCGTCCGCGGTAGTGCGGCGGTCAGCCTGCTGCGCTCCGAACCCCGGGCGGCTCGAGTTCGACAACCGGCTCACGGCTAACACCAGTGGTGATCATCTGACACAGCCTCTCAAACGGGTCCCTGTGTGCGATGCGTAAACGTCGCCAACGGGGGAGACAAAGGCGGTCGGGCGTGGTGCTGGCCACGCAGCCCTCGTGTGCCCCTTGCTGCCCATCACAGGTGCTACTCGTGAACAGCACTCGCCCCAATGGTCTGCTACAAGGCTACACGATGGATCTTTGTCCCTCTCCGTGCCTCTTGTGTTGTAAGGGAGCGGTGAGCGCGCGCTGCGCTGTCGAGGCCATAGTGCGGTGAGAACGCGTCGAGAGCACGGTGAGCGCGCGGGGGCCCCGCACCTTGTTGAAGAGGTGCACCGTGACGTCGTCGAAGAAGCTCACGCGCTTGCCGTGCGTGCGCGCCGACCCCCGCGGCCGCTTGAGCAGCCCCTTGAGCGAGCGCGCAACCTCCTCCTCCTCCATCACCACCTCCGGTACGGGGCCCCAGTCCTCGTCGCTGTCCCAGCTCTCATCCTCCTCCTCCTCCTCCTCGTCGTCGTCGTCGTCGTCCTCCTCCTCCTCATCCTCGTCGTCCTCGTCGTCCTCGTCGTCCAGGCCCGGGCGCAGGCCGTACCCGCCGCCGACGGCCTCCTCATCCGACACGCTGTCTTCCGCGTCGATGAAGGGGATGTCGAAGGGGTTGGTGGGGGCCTCCGTCGCGGCGGCGGCGGCGGCGGCGGCGGCGCCGTCGTCCGCGACTCCGTTCCCCGGCGCGTCCCCTCCGTCGTCCGCGTGCTGCGTCGCGTCTTCCGCGCCGCCCGTCGCGTCCGCCTCGGAACGCTCGGCCCGCGGCGTCTCCCCGCCCGTCCCGTCGTTCCCCGTCGCCGCGTCGGCCGTCTCCCCGAGCGCTTGCCCCGCGTCCCTCTCGCTCATCCCGGCCGGAGCCACGAATCCCCCCTCGAAGGGATTCGAGCTCAGGAACTCGTCACGGTCCCCCGCACCGCCGCCTAAGCCGCCCACGTCAAAGTCGTCGTCGTCGTCGTCGTCGTCGTCGTGAGACTCCGTGCCGCCCGTGAGAACCTCCTCCAGTGACGAGGCGCTCGACACGTCGTCGTCGTCGTCGTCGTCGTCGTCGTCGTCGCCGCCTCCGTGCCGCCGCTCCGGGCCGGCGCCGTTCCTCTTCATCTCGTTGTCGGCGTCGCCGTCGCTGCCGTTGGCTGGCAGGGGCGTGTCCGCGCCCCCTCCGCCCCCGCCGTGCTTGTCCAGCTCCAGGTCGGAGAAGTACGCCGAGTCGCGGTACAACGACTTGCGCACGCCGGCCTCGTCCGCCTGCAGCAGCGCCCGGCCCACGACGAGGTGCTGCTGGAAGGCCGCGCCCGCCGGCACCATCGCCAACTCGCCCTCCCCCTTGCCGACCGCGTCGGGCTCGTCGCTCGGATCGCCGATGCTTGGCGACGCGAGCGGCGACGGTGGCGCCAGGTCCGGCAACCGGCTCCAGTCGTTGTTGGGCGACGGTGCGGGCAGGCCGCCGACGCCGCCGCCGCCGCTCCACTGGTTGTTGTTGTTGGTGTTGAGCTCCTCCCGGGTCACGTGGTGGGGCGCGGCCGTGGCGGGCGGAGGCGGTGGCGGGCGACTCGGCAAGAGGACCTCGCTCCCCACCCGCACCCCGTTGGATGGCGGGGTCGGGTCAATCAGCGGGGTGGAGGAGGGTGGAGGAGGGGTCGAGTTGATCGGTGGGGTGGTCGACTCTGCGGGGGTGCTTGATGCGGAGGGAAAGGAGGAGGCAGGTGGAGGGGTGGACTCGGGTGGAACGGTTGAGTTGTTCCGTGCGGTCGACTCTGCGAGAGTGATTGATGCGGAGGGAAAGGATGAGGCTGGTCGGAGAGTAGATTCAGGCGGAGAGGTTGAGTTGGTCTGGGGGGTTGACTCTGTGAGAGTGGTTGGCACAGCGGTGGACTTGGGTAGATGGGTCGAGATGGGTGGACAGGTTATATCGGCCGGAGTGACTGACTCTGAGGGAAGGGTTGGGTCAAGCAGAGCGCTTGAGTCGGGTGGACGGGTGGGAGCGGTAGGAGGGGTGGAGTGCGATGGACTGGCTGAGTGACTAAGAAGGTTCCAGTCGGGCGGACTGGTCGATTCCGTGGGAAGGGATGACTTCGGAAGGTGGGAGGATTCCAGTGGATGGGTTGAGCGAGGGACAACGGTTGAGTCGGGCGAGTCAGCAGTGGTGGTTGAGTGAGGTGGACTGGTTGAGTTAAGTGGGTGTGTTGAGTCAAGCAAAAGTGAGTCAGCCGTGGAGGTTGAGTCAGGATGACTGGTTGAGCTAGGTGAGTGTGTTGAGTCAAGCAAGAGCGAGTCATTGATGGTGGTTGAGTGAGGTGGACTGGTTGAGTTAAGTGAGTGTGTTGAGTCAAGCAAAAGTGAGTCAGCCGTGGAGGTTGAGTCAGGATGACTGGTTGAGTTAGGTGAGTGTGTTGAGTCAAGCAAAAGTGAGCCATTGATGGTGGTTGAGTGAGGTGGACTGGTTGAGTTAAGTGAGTGTGTTGAGTCAAGCAAAAGTGAGTCATTGATGGTGGTTGAGTGAGGTGGACTGGTCGAGTTAAGTGAGTGTGTTGAGTCAAGTAAAAGTGAGTCAGCCGTGGTGGTTGAGTCAGGATGACTGGTTGAGTTAGGTGAGTGTGTTGAGTCAAGCAAAAGTGAGTCATTGATGGTGGTTGAGTGAGGTGGACTGGTCGAGTTAAGTGAGTGTGTTGAGTCAAGCAAAAGTGAGTCATTGATGGTGGTTGAGTGAGGTGGACTGGTTGAGTTAAGTGAGTGTGTTGAGTCAAGCAAAAGTGAGTCAGCCGTGGAGGTTGAGTCAGGATGACTGGTTGAGTTAGGTGAGTGTGTTGAGTCAAGCAAGAGCGAGTCATTGATGGTGGTTGAGTGAGGTGGACTGGTTGAGCTAGGTGGGTGTGTTGAGTCAAGTAAAAGTGAGTCAGCCGTGGTGGTTGAGTCAGGCGGACTGGTTGAGTTAAGTGAGTGTGTCGAGTCAAGCAAGAGCGAGTCAGCCGTGGTGGTTGAGTCAGGCGGACTGGTTGAGCTGGCCTGTGTCGAGTCTGGCAGAGGGGATATGTCAGCCGCGGTGGTTGAGCCAAGTCGGCTGGCCGAGTGAGGCGAGGTCGAGGGTGGACGCGCCGAGTCAGGTATAAGCGAGTCGGCCAGGTGGCTCGGGTCAGGTGGGCTAGCTACGCTGCGCGGCTGCATCGAGCCGGTACGAGGATATAAGTCGGCGACCGTGGTCGAATCCGGTGGACAGGCCGAGCCGGTCGTAGCGGCCGATCCTGCCGGAGCGTTCTCCCCTCCCCCCCACAGGGAGGCCTCCGCCGCCCCTCCAGCTTGCGCCGCCCGCGCGTGTGCCCCCCCCGATCGTGCCGACTCCTTGATGAGCGCCGTGTTCTTAAGGTAGAAGTAGTTGTCCTGCAGCCGATCGGTGGTGAGCAGCCCCAGCAGTGGGTCCCGCGCCGCACCACTGGTCCCACCGCCGCCGCCGCCGCCGCCGCCGCCGCCGCCTGCCGCGTTATCCCACAAGGCGCCGGCGCCGTTCAAGCCGGGGTCGGTACTGGACTCGCCGAGGTGCGAACCGCCCAGGGTCACCGCTCTCGTGCCGCCGGCGACGGCCGGCACGGGGTCCGGCGGGGCCCGCCGCTCCGCGCCCGGCTCCAGCTCCGGCCGCTCCAGGAACGGGTTTCCTCGAGCGGCGCCGGCGGCGACGACGGGACCTACGGGCGGCGGCTCCCACCAGCCCGCCTCCAGGGCGCCGGGCCGCTCGCACGCGGCGCCCTGCGGCAACGCCCTCCCCCCGATCGGCTGCAGCAGAGGGAAGGCGGAACCCAACCCGGCGATGCCGCCGGCGCCGGTGGCGGGTGACGGCGGGAAATACGCGGTGAGGCCGGCCAGGTCGGGTTGCTGCTCGAGGCCCGGCAGTTGCGGCGGCGGCGGCGGCGGCGCCAGCGCGTTCCACCGCTCCTCGAAGCTGCTCGGCTGCTGGGGCTGCTGGGGCTGCGCTTCAAGCAGTGCCGCTTGCTGCAACAGCTCCCGGTGCTCCTCCTCCTCCTCCTCTTGCTGCTGCTGCTGCTGCTGCTGCTTGTCCCCTTGAAGGTGCGCGAGCAGCTGGTGCACCTCGCTAGCAGACGGGCGCCGCTCCTTGTCTAGCCAGCAGAAGAGCAGCACCTCGTACCTGCCAGGGGTGGCATCGGCGTCAGCCAGCACCACTCGCTCGCATGGGGCTCTGATGTGTTTCCCTCGCTGGACCGTACCGCCATCGGACTGTACTGCCATAGGACCGTGCCGCTGTACAACCGTATCGCGATAGGACCATACTGCTATAGGAACGTACCTATATTAGGACAGTTCCACGATAGGACCATGCCACTATAGGACTGCGCCTCTATAGGATAAAAAAAAACTCAAGGACTGTACTGTTCTAGGACCATACCACTATAGGACTGCACCTCTATATGATCGTACAGCTATAGGGGAGCAGACTGTACGATTGCAGGTATACTACTATCCTTCCGCAGGCAGCCAAAGCTGATCACTGAAAGTGGATCATACCAAAAAAAAAACGCCACTTTTTTCTAATTTTCTTGCTGTGGTTTTCACACCTGATGATGATTGCTTGTGTTGCAATCGAAACGTCGTGAGAATTTTATTGTTTTATTTTATTATTTCTCTTCTACGTGACTTTACCGAAAGAACCAAGAATATGGATCGTACCACTTGACGTCATATTGTACGACTGCAAATGGGCCATACCACCACAAGCAGAGAGGCAGTGCCACTGCAAGCAGACTTTAGGAATGCAGCTGGACCGTACCACTACAAAATGGACCGTACCAACGCAATCGGACCGTAACCAACGCAACAGAACCATACCACTGGAATCAGTCCATTCCGCTGCTATCGGGCCATACCAATACAATCGGACCATACCACCGCAACTGGACTGCGCCTACGAACATCACAACCCACTGCCGCAAATTGGACCGTACCACTGCTCCGTGTTGGGGGAGCGCAGCGCGGGTCGCGGGAGGCGCGGCAGGGAGTCGCGAGCGAGAGCCGAGAGGACGTCCGCGTCGGAGACGGAGCCGTAGGGACGAGCGCCGGACTCCAGCAGCTCCCACAGCGTCACCCCCATCGCCCTGCACGGCGCGCGGCATGCAGGGCAGTACAGCAATCAGGAACACCGCACGCAGCCATCGCCGACGTGAAAAGGTGATACTGGATGTTGCGTGCCGGGTAGTTTCTGGGCGACTGACCCGGGAAGACCAGTCCAGCTCTCAGGTGGAGCGTTGGCGGCAAGTGCCGGTGGTGAGCGCCAGTGCCGAGCACGGGTGGTGAGCGTCAGTGGCGAGCACAGGAGGTGGTGAGCGATGCCGGTGTGTGATAAAATGGTTTACAGACCGGAATCGGTGGGGGTTGGGGAGTGAACAGTGGCGAGCACGGGTGGTGAGCGGTGCGGTGAGAGAAGCGAGACACTCACCACACGTTCCCCGGGGCGGTCTGCGGGGCGGCGCGGGGTTGAGCGTTGAGGTTGAGAAGCAGCTCCGGGGCGAGCCACCGCAAGGCCACGGGGTCGCCCACTCCCAGATCCACATAGTCGTCCTACGGGTCGCGGGGAGGACACGAGGTCAAGGGGTCGCGGGGAGGACACGAGGTCAAGAGGTCGCGGGGTAGACACGGGGTATGGGGTCGTAGGGAGGACATGAGGCATGAAATGGTGAGATTACGATTTGCTCAACCTCTGACCCACCCAATCACTCAAAAACACACATGACCACTCAACTACTCTCTCACCTACTCAGTCACGAACCCAATCACACACGTTCTGAACTCCTCACTCACCCATTCACTCACTCAACCTCTCACTCGCTTACACACTCACTTATTCACTGACTCGAAGACTTTCACTCCCTCAACCTCTCTCGCTTACACACTAAACTTGTCACTGAACCACTCCACATCTTGCTCTCACTCACTCAATCAATCACTCCCTGTCAGAACCTCTCACACCCTCTCTCTAAGGCACCCACTCACTCACTCACCCTCTCTCTCACTCACTCACCCTCTCTCTCACTCACCCACCCTCTCTCTCACTCACTCACTCACCCTCTCTCTTACTCACCCTCTCCCACCCTCTCTCTAAGGCACCCACTCACTCACCCTCTCGCTCACTCACTCACCCTCACTCACCCTCTCTCTCACTCACTCACTCACCCTCTCTCACTCACCCTCTCTCTCACTCACTCACCATCTCACTCACCCTCTCTCTCACTCACTCACCCTCTCACTCACCGTCTCTCTCACCCTCTCACTCACCCTCTCTCTCACGCACTCACCCTCTCTCTCACTCACCCTCTCTCTCACTCACTCACCCTCACTCACCCTCTCTCTCACTCACTCACTCAATCACTCACTCACTCTCTCACTCACCCTCTCTCTCACTCACTCACCCTCAATCACCCTCTCTCTCACTCACTCACCCTCTCTCTCACTCACTCACCCTCTCTCTCACTCACTCACCCTCTCTCTAAGGCACCCACTCACTCACCCTCTCACTCACTCACCCTCTCACTCACTCACCCTCTCACTCACCCTCGCCCTCACTCACTCACCCTCTCTCTCAATCACTCACCCTCTCTCTCAATCACTCACCCTCTCTCTCACTCACTCACCCTCTCACTCACCCTCTCTCTCAATCACTCACTCTCTCATTCGCTCGCTCACTCTCTCAATCGCTCAGCCACCCACCCACTCACTCGTTCGTGGCGGGGGTCGTGTGTGGACGTACCGGGTGTTTGTCAGGGCCGATGCCGTAGTCGCCGATCTTCACGGTGAGGTCGGTGCTCAGCAGGCAGTTCCTGAGGGCGAGGTCCCTGCACGCGGATTCATTGCAACGCGGTGATACAGCATCGCACCGTGCAGCACAACACAGTCATACAGCATCACACGGTGCAGCACAACACAGTGATACAGCATCACACCGTGCAGCACAACACAACACAGTGATACAGCATCACACCGTGCAGCACAACACAACGTGGTGATACAGCATCACACCGTGCAGCACAATGCGGTGATACAGCATCACACCGTGCAGCACAACACAACACAGTGATACAGCATCACACGGTGCAGCACAACACAACACAGTGATACAGCATCACACCGTGCAGCACAACACAACGTGGAGATACAGCATCACACCGTGCAGCACAATGCGGTGATACAGCATCACACCGTGCAGCACAACACAACGTGGTGATACAGCATCACACCGTGCAGCATGACACGACACAACAGCACAACAACAGGCCCATGGTTGTTCCCATGGGAAGCAAACCGCACGGCCGTGACGTTTTGCGGTGTGGAGGAGGTGGGGGGGGGGGGGGGGGATTGACAGCGCGGCCACCGTACCGGTGCACGAAGCCCTGCTGGTGCAGGTGAGCCAGCCCAGCCGCCACCTGCCGCGCCATGCGGCACCGCTCGGCCTCGCCGGGCCCACCGGCCCCACCGGCGCCGGCCCGCGCCGACAGGTACGCCTTCACGTCGCCCTGCGCGCACACGCAACGCAAGAATAGGTCCCCCGCGTGGCTTTCAACGGACCGTTTGGGGCAAGAGCTGTTGGCGAGCAGCGCCTATCAAGGCCGGCACGGCACACGAGGCGGTGGGTGGCCATCACCACGCCCGGCCTCCTTTGTCTCCCCAGTGGCAATGTTGACACACTGCCCCAGGTACTCATTTGAGGACGATTCGATTTAGGGGAGGCCCAGGACCGGTTTAGATAATAGCCACTGCTCTTCGCCGTGAGCGGGAATTTAACTGGGAGTGGCGTGTGACTGTGAGGGCTGTGTGTGTGTAGGTGTTACTGGGAGAGGCGTGTGACTGTGAGGGCTGTGTGTGTGTGTAGGTGTTGCTGGGAGTGGCGTGTGACTGTGAGGGCTGTGTGTGTGTGTAGGTGTTACTGGGAGAGGCGTGTGACTGTGAGGTCTGTGTGTGTGTGTGTGTAGGTGTTGCTGGGAGAGGCATGTGACTGTGAGGTCTCTGTGTGTGTGTAGGTGTTTCTGGGAGAGGCGTGTGACTGTGAGGGCTGTGTGTGTGTGTCGGTGTTTCTAGGAGAGGCGTGTGACTGTGAGGGCTGTGTGTGTGTAGGTGTTACTGGGAGAGGCTTGTGACTGTGAGGGCTGTGTGTATGTAGGTGTTGCTGGGAGTGGCGTGTGACTGTGAGGGCTGTGTGTGTGTGTAGGTGTTACTGGGAGAGGCGTGTGACTGTGAGGGCTGTGTGTATGTAGGTGTTGCTGGGAGAGGCGTGTGACTGTGAGGGCTGTGTGTGTGTGTGTAGGTGTTACTGGGAGAGGCGTGTGACTGTGAGGGCTGTGTGTGTGTAGGTGTTGCTGAGAGAGGCGTGTGACTGTGAGGGCTGTGTGTGTAGGTGTTTCTGGGAGAGGCGTGTGACTGTGAGGTCTGTGTGTATGTAGGTGTTGCTGGGAGAGGCGTGTGACTGTGAGGGCTGTGTGTGTGTGTGTGTAGGTGTTGCTGGGAGAGGCTTGTGACTGTAGGGCAGTGTGTGTAGGTGTTACTGGGAGAGGCGTGTGACTGTGAGGGCTGTTTGTGTCTGTGTGTAGGTGTTGTTGGGAGAGGCGTGTGACTGTGAGGGCTGTGTGTGTAGGTGTTACTGGGAGTGGCGTGTGACTGTGAGGGCTGTGTGTGTGTGTAGGTGTTGCTGGGAGAGGCGTGTGACTGTGAGGGCTGTGCGTGTGTGTAGGTGTTACTGGGAGTGGCGTGGGTCGGCACAGCACACGAAGGGATCGGTGGCGAGCACCACGCCCGGCCTCCTTTGTCTCCCCATCGCCGATGTTTACTCAACGCACCAAGTGCTCACTGAAGGCGGCCGAGCCCACGCACACGCAGCGGTACACTCACCGACAATCTCACCCTCACCGCCCTCTCAACTACCCCACAGCACTGTCACAATCGCCGTCACCGCACTCTCACCCTCACCATCAACCTCACCCTCTCCCGGCACCCTCACGCTCACCGTCCACTTCCCTAACACCGCACCCTAACCGCTCACTCACTCACTCACCCTCTCACTCACCCTCTCTCTCACTCACTCACTCACCCTCTCACTCACCCTTTCTCTCACTCACTCACCCTCTCACTCACCCTCTCTCTCACTCACTCACCCTCTCACTCACCCTCTCTCTCACTCACTCACTCACCCTCTCTCTCACTCACTCACCTCACTCACTCACCCTCTCACTCACCCTCTCTCTCACTCACTCACCCTCTCTCTCACTCACTCACTCACCCTCTCACTCAACCTCTCTCTCACTCACTCACCCTCTCTCTCACTCACTCACCCTCTCTCTCACTCACTCACCCTCTCTCTCACTCACCCTCTCTCTCACTCACCCTCTCTCTCACTCACTCACCCTCTCACTCACCCTCTCTCTCACTCACTCACCCTCTCTCTCACTCACTCACTCACCCTCTCACTCAACCTCTCTCTCACTCACTCACCCTCTCTCTCACTCACTCACCCTCTCTCTCACTCACTCACCCTCTCTCTCACTCACCCTCTCTCTCACTCACCCTCTCTCTCACTCACTCACCCTCTCACTCACCCTCTCTCTCACTCACTCACCCTCTCTCTCACTCACTCACCCTCTCTCTCACTCTCTCACTCACTTACCCTCTCTCTCTCACTCACCCTCTCTCTCTCTCTCACTCACCCTCTCTCTCACTCACTCACCCTCTCTCTCACTCACTCACTCACCCTCTCTCTCACTCACTCACCCTCTCTCTCACTCACTCACTCACCCTCTCTCTCTCACTCACTCACCCTCTCTCTCACTCACTCACCCTCTCTCACTCACTCACTCACTCACCCTCTCACTCACCCTCTCTCTCACTCACTCACCCTCTCTCTCACTCACTCACCCTCTCTCTCACTCACTCACCCTCTCTCTCACTCACTCACCCTCTCTCTCACTCACTCACCCTCTCTCTCACTCACTCACCCTCTCTCTCACTCACTCACCCTCTCTCTCACTCACTCACCCTCTCTCTCACTCACTCACTCACCCTCCCTCTCACTCACTCACCCTCTCACTCACTCACTCACCCTCTCTCTCACTCACTCACCCTCTCTCTCTCTCACTCACTCACCCTCTCTCTCTCACTCACTCACCCTCTCTCTCACTCACTCACCCTCCCTCTCACTCACTCACCCTCTCTCCCGGCACCCTCACGCTCACCGTCCACTTCCCTAACACCGCACCCTAACCGCTCACTCACTCACTCACCCTCTCACTCACCCTCTCTCTCACTCACTCACCCTCTCACTCACCCTCTCTCTCACTCACTCACCCTCTCACTCACCCTCTCTCCCTCTCACTCACTCACCCTCTCACTCACCCTCTCTCTCACTCACTCACTCACCCTCTCACTCAACCTCTCTCTCACTCACTCAACCTCTCTCTCACTCACTCACCCTCTCTCTCACTCACTCACCCTCTCTCTCACTCACTCACCCTCTCTCTCACTCACTCACCCTCTCACTCACCCTCTCTCTCACTCACTCACCCTCTCTCTCACTCACTCACCCTCTCTCTCTCACTCACTCACCCTCTCTCTCACTCACTCACACTCTCTCTCTCACTCACTCACCCTCTCTCTCACTCACTCACCCTCTCTCTCACTCACTCACTCACCCTCTCTCTCCCACTCACTCACCCTCTCTCTCACTCACTCACCCTCTCTCACTCACTCACTCACCCTCTCACTCAACCTCTCTCTCACTCACTCACCCTCTCTCTCACTCACTCACCCTCTCTCACTCACTCACTCACTCTCTCACTCACCCTCTCTCTCACTCTCTCACTCACTCACCCTCTCTCTCTCTCACTCAACCTCTCTCTCACTCACTCACCCTCTCACTCACTCACTCACCCTCTCTCTCTCTCACTCACCCACCCTCTCTCCCGGCACCCTCACGCTCACCGTCCACTTCCCTAACACCGCACCCTAACCGCACCACCGGCGGCGTCCACGGCGGTGGTGCGGTGGTGATGGTGCGGTGGTGATGGTGCGGTGGTGATGGTGCGGTGGTGATGGTGCGGTGGTGATGGTGCGGTGGTGATGGTGCGGTGGTGATGGTGCGGTGGTGATGGTGCGGTGGTGATGGTGCGGTGCGGTGCGGTGCCGTCTCTCACCATGGGGCAGAACTCCATGAGTGCGAGCAGCGGCACGGCCTCAGTGCACGTGCTGACGCAGCGCTGCACGTGCTCATGCCTCGCCGCCCTGGGCACAGGGGGGCGTGGGGGGCACGGGGGAGGAGCACGGGGGGGGGGGGGCGGGGGGCGGCAGCACACAGGGGTCATTTCTCGAAGTGAAATGGAGCGTGGGGCCGTGCAATTTTCTCGGAAGCGTCACGCTCGCTCGCAGCGAGCGTGCGGGGTAAGCGAGGTGGTGGGGGGGGGTGAGGATCGAGTGAGGTGGGTGAGCAGGGGCGAGCGGAGCTTGAACGGGAACGAGCGGGGGGGGGGGTCGATGAGGGTGAGTGAGGGTGAGCGGGGATGAGCAGGGGGTGAGTTTGAGGGGTGAGTGAGGGTGAGAGGGCGCCACCTGTAAGGCTGCACTTCATGTAGGAAGCGGGTCTGCTCGGAGAGACGGGCGGAAGGCTCCAGCTGCCGCACGGCAACAGGGCCGATCCCCGGCTGTGAGTACACCTCTCCCAGCAACACCTACACACACACAGCCCTTACAGTCACAAGCCTCTCCCAGCAACACCTACACACAGACACAAACAGCCCTCACAGTCACACGCCACTCCCAGTAACACCTACACACAGACACAAACAGCCCTCACAGTCACACGCCACTCCCAGCAACACCTACACACACACACAGCCCTCACAGTCACACGCCACTCCCAGTAACACCTACACACGCACAGCCCTCACAGTCACACGCCTCTCCCAGCAACACCTACACACAGACACAAACAGCCCTCACAGTCACACGCCTCTTCCAGCAACACCTACACACAGACACAAACAGCCCTCACAGTCACACGCCTCTTCCAGCAACATCTACACACACACACAGCCTTCACAGTCACACACCTCTCCCAGCAACACCTAGACACACACACAGCCCTCACAGTCACACGCCTCTCCCAGTAACACCTACACACACACAGCCCTCACAGTCACACGCCACTCCCAGCAACACCTACACACACACAGCCCTCACAGTCACACACCACTCCCAGCAACACCTACACACACACAGCCCTCACAGTCACACGCCTCTCCCAGTAACACCTACACACACACACAGCCCTCACAGTCACACGCCTCTCCCAGTAACACCTACACACAGCCCTCACAGTCACACGCCTCTCCCAGCAACACCTACACACACAGCCCTCACAGTCACACGCCTCTCCCAGCAACACCTACACACACACACACAGTCCTCACAGTCACACGCCTCTCCCAGCAACACCTACACACACACACAGCTCTCACAGTCACACGCCTCTCTCAGCAATACCTACACACACACAGCCCTCACAGTCACACGCCTCTCACAGCAACACCTACACACACACAGTCCTCACAGTCACACGCCTCTCCCAGCAACACCTACACACACACAGCTCTCACAGTCACACGCCTCTCTCAGCAATACCTACACACACACAGCCCTCACAGTCACACGCCTCTCACAGCAACACCTACACACACAGCACACTCCTCATAAGGAAACACCACTTGGTGACACAACCCTAAGAGTGACACGCCCTTAAAAGTGACACGCCCCTCATAGTGAAACACCACTCAGTGACACACCCCTAAGAGTGACACGCCCCTAAGAATGACACGCCCCTCATAGTGAAACACCACTCATAGTGACACACCCCTAAGAGTGACACACGCCTAAGAGTGACACGCCCCTAAAAGTGACACGCCCCTCAAAGTGACACACCCCTCACCTCTCGGAGTCACACCGACACACACACAAAAACTCCCTCCATTCTAAATTTCACTGTGTAGACCTTGTTCATTTAAGTCAAACGGCATTCATACATTGCATACAACACATGCACAGCGTGCAACCAACACATAGCACGCAAAACACAGCACATACCAGCACAAGCGCAGCACACATGCCACACACAGCACCCGCACCTCCGATTAGCATGGTCGGCTACGTACGGTGCGAAAGAAGTTCAGCATACATGCATCCACAGCACACATATAGCACACAGGTCACACACAGCACATACACAGCACACAGCACACATAGAGCACACAGACCACCACGTGGTCTGTGTGCTCTATGTGTGCTGGGAGGCCTCACCTGGCCAAACCACCCCCTCCCGAGCTCCTGCAGGTAGCTGATGTTCTGCCGGTTGACGGTAGCCGCTGTGTGACCACCTGCAGGACACAAAGACAAAGATCCCCCATGTAGTCCTCACTGGCTGTTGTGGCAAGTGCTGTACGCGAGAGCCTACAAAGGCCGGGGCGGCATATTGAAGGGTGGTGTGGTCAGAACCATGCCTGGCCACCTTTGTCTCCCTAGTGGCGATGTTTACACACCAAACCAGGTACTCATTTGAGGCTCAGTTGATCTCGGGGAGGCCCAGGACCCATTCAGATAATCGTCACTGTTGTTGGCCGTGAACGGGAATTGAACTGGGGTCGCCGATTTCGCAGCGCAGCGCGCTAACTGCTGCGCCACCGCTCCCTACACAAGAGGCACGGAGAAAGACAAAGATCCATCGTATAGCCTTGTAACAGACCATTGGGGCAAGTGCCGCTTGCGAGTAGCACCTATGGAGGCTGGCACAGCACACAACGGGGTGGGTGGCCAGCAACACCACGCCCGTACACACGCACATGTATACACACACACACGCACATGTATACACACGCACGCACGCACGCAGACACCCACATGCACAGACAAGCGGAGGTCTGGCTCGCTCGGGGGCCGCACGGCTCACACGGTGCCGTGGCTACCGTCGCGGTGCTGCTGGTCGTGGTGCCGGGGCAGCGTGTACACGTCGGCCACCGTCGTCGCCTCCAGCAGGAGACCCGGGGGTGGCGAGGGGGCCGCGTGGTGCGAGGGGGTGTCCTCTCCGGGTGGAATGAAATCATCAGCGCCAAACTCGTCCGCCAGTGGGTCCTCAAACTCCTGCGAACGCACGCACACACACACACACACGTGTGTGTGTGTGTGTATAGATACGTTGAACTTCTTTTGCAGCGTACGTAGCCAACCGTGCTAATCGGAGGTGCAGGGGAAGGACGACTAAACTAAACTAAACACAAACAAAAAGACGGAGGTAACCCCCATGTAGCCTTGAATAGGCTGTTGGGGCGAGTGCAGTTAGTGAACGCCTAATAAGGCTGGCAAGGCACACGAGGAGGTGGGTGGCCGGAACCACCCTCAGCCGCTTTCGTCTCCTCAATGCTGACGTTTACTCACCGCACCGGGTACTCATTTAAGGCTGAGCGGAGCTAAGAAAGCTCCGGCATCGGTTAAAATATCCGCCGCTGTTCATGGTCGTGAGCGAGAAAACTGAACTCGGGTCCCACACACTCCACGGTCACACATTCACTCGCTCACACTCGCACTGCTTTTTGTGTTTAGTTTGTTGTCCTTCCACGGCACCTCTGATTGGCTACATACGGTGCGAAAGCAGTTCAACATACATATGTAATGGCAGGGTGACACCTGCCGGCCTGCAAGGGTCATTACGGTTATAGCTGCGTTACATAATGCCTTATTGTTGAAGGGGTGTGTCTGGGGTAAAGGTTAAGGGCGGCGTCAGTCGAGAAGCTCCGGGAACCAACCCGAAGGTTCTAGAAAGGGGGCGTGGCCAGAGGCGGAGCTTGGCCACGCCAGGCAGATATAAGGAGCACCGAACCCGAGCTTCGGGGCTGTTAGTGTGGGGTCTGGGTCCTGGTTGCGTCGCTGCCATCGTGATCTCGTCGTCTTCGACCACGCGGCTGTTCGTCTGCAAGGCCAGCTCCGTCGCCGCCGCCACGCTCGTCGATCAGCCAGCGTGGCGCAGGACGGAGATGGGCTGCGCGTTTGGACAGCCTAGGGGTGTAGCCGCGTTACGAAGTGTAATCGCCCTGTGTGCTCTTAATAAATGAGAAGCCTTCTGCTAGACGTGTGTCGGAAGTCGCTCACTACAGATACACTCACACTCCGCAGAACACGGCGGGAATCTACAAACTCCACGCAGAAAGGCATCCGAGTCAGGGATCAAACCCAGGCGCTTCTTGCCGCGAGCTACAATTGTTCCCATTTCATCGCCGTGCCACTCATTACACCGTAGGACGCACATCGAAAGTGTCGCCACACTGCGGTAGTCCACGCACGTCTCGGCAGCCTCGGGGCTGGGAGCCGATACCAACGCCCCAAACCAGGCCAAGCTGTACTCTTTGGTTCTTTCGGTAAAGTCACGTAGCTATAAAATGAAATAAATTAATCACGACGTTTCGGGTGCAACACAAGTGCCCATCATCAGGCGGGACAACCACAGCAAGAAACAATTTTGCTGAAGTGGGCAAATTGTTTCTTGCTGTGGTTGTTTCCACCTGATGATGGACGCTTGTGTTGCACCCGAAACGTCGTGATTTAATTCATTTGATTTTATATCTATGTGACTTTACCGAAAGAACCAAAGAGCATGGATCCCAGCAGTCACGAAAACTTCAAATCTAGATTGAGGCCAAGCTGTGTTTGGTCAGAGCCGTTTGGTGCAGGCGGGGAGCACAGCCATGAGTGGTAATTCGTCGCGTGGCGATGGAATCCGTCGCTGCGAAACCGCTGAGCAGCAGATATCTATCTGCCGGACACGAGAGTGTTTTTCTCCAGTGTTAACAGCTGGGTGTGCAGCTCCTTGCAACCGGTTGCGGAGAGGTCCGCACAGAAGCGATTAGGCTGCGTGCGACCGAGTTGGGCAACTGGTTGCTTTCAGGTGTCGACCCGGCTTAAGTATCCACAGATGTGTTCATCGGTACGGGGATAAAGTGTTGCACCCTCGCGCAAGGCGCGGGTTTTCTCCGGGTATTCCGGTTTCCTGCCACATGTATAATAATAATGAACAACTCATCATTAATTGGATGAAAACATCTGAAAATAAACACCCAATGTGGCAGGACCCTCCTGTTTCTCCAAATGTTACCCTGATGGCGCGATCGGCGCCACGGGACCAACAAACAATTCGGAAACCTCTGGGGGAGAAGTGCAACCTCCTCCAGGAAGCGGCCCACAGAAGGGGATATCACAGAGCTACCTCTGAGATCACTTCAAGTGCCTTTTGGTCAACACACAGTGGGGAGCAGCCCTTCCCCACCCGCTCTGCATTTGAGAGTGTGGTTCATCGCATGACGGTCAAACCGATATTTTAATTCTCAGAGATGGAATTTCGCCAAATCAAGTGCACAACCAAATTTAAGTGATTTTTTTTTGGTGTGGGTCACTGATCATCATCATCTTCATCATCAAGTCGATGAAGACCGTCCAACCAGACGGGTGAAGTCAGGAGATGGCGGAGCTGTAGAGGCCACGTAGAGTTCCAAGCTGGTGGCTGAGAGAATTTTGCGACCATGTGTCATTGGTGAATTAGGCTGAGACCACCAACTAATTTCAAGAATCCATTTAAAAATGGTGAATCGACGCATCAGTACACACCAAGCCACCACATCTGCTCCTCACCACGACGAGACGCCTTCTGGCAAATACCAACCTTAAACGGGATGGGTCTTGGCAGACACCAGGAGCAGGCGACGAGCAGGACGCACAGGAAGGCCAGGCCACACACGGACAGCACCAGCGCCGGTTCAGCCCAGGTCGCCCAGCCCACTGCCCGCACCACGCCTAACACACGGCGAGACACGGGGAAACGTGGGAGACACGGGGAGACGCACGAGGGGTTACGACCGCATGTCCTGGTTTTCCCAGGATTGTCCTCTTGTTGAGGAGACAGCTGCCTTCCTGGGAAAGCTCAAAGTCTTTGCGGGGACATTACAAGTCCCGATGTTTGCCAGCTGCGTGATCAACAACAAGAACAACGGTGCCCAACTCAAGATGATGCATTCACACATAGCTCTCCTCTCTTCTGCTATCGTGAGATATTCTTCTGCCCACGATTAGTCCAAGTTTGTTTGGTACCTTAAAGGTGGCAACCCTGGGACCCTGGGACACAGGGAAACACGAGGGGACACAGTCGGAGACCAGGATGCACAGAGAGGCAAAGGGACGCCCGGAAAACAGACACACAGGACACGAGGACATACGCAGAAACGCACACAGGTACGCATGGAGGCACACAGGAATGCACAGAAACACACAGGGAAGTACATGGGTATGTACGGGAACACACAGGGAAGCACAGGGACGAAAGGGGACTCACGTGGACCCATGGCAATGCAACTGTTATATACTGGGACCCCGAGGTGGGACCCAGTGGAGGTAGAGGGACCTCGAGAGGAGGTAGGAGAGCAAGAGGGGAAGCTAACACAGCCTAGCACATAGCACGTGGGTACTAATCCTAAAGGCAGTGCCGGCCTATGGCCATCGGATTAACCGCATTACAGCGGCAGCAATATCATCATCATCGCTCTGAACAGTGGCCATCTGTTATGCAGGGACATCTTTATCTCTATAAAAGCGCTTATTGGGCACAAAATCCAGGTAAACACCAGAGCCAACAGTGCCTGGCACATTCACACAACACACAAACATAACATAGACCCAGCACATGCACGCACAGCTAATATACACAAATCATTCTTGATCTGAAGCTTTCGTGACTGCAGGAATCCATACTCTTTGGTTCTTTCGGTAAAGTCACGTAGGTAGAAAATACACAAATCATACACAGCACACATACACAGCCCACAGAGCCTAGAGCACAAAGACAAACACACACAACACACATGCAGTGCACATAAACACATACACAGTGCACACACACACACAGAGCACATACATACACAGAGCACACAAACCAACACACCGTACACACACACACACAGAGCTCACGAGACCAACCCAGCTCCTGCTTCACCCACTCGCACGGTGCGCATTCTGGATTAACTCTGCTTAATTACTTAAAACTATTTCTAATAAATAGACGGAGGGGGTTCACGCAGCACCCGCTGTAGCACAAACAAGGGCCAGCACGTGCCAAGTCACACCCCTCCTTCATGCGAGCCTCTGTGCCACACTTCACTGCCACCAAGTGCCGCCCCCCCCCCCCCGCCAGTGTCACAATGGTGCCACCCTTCTGTGTCAACTACGTCACTCCCATACTATCCATGAGTGCCACCTTGTCACCTTGCCTTGTTGCCCCGTGCCACCATTCAATGTCACCCACAACAGTGCCGTCCTTCCGTGTCACCCACTGTGCTACCCTTCAGTGTGATGCGAAGGCATCCTTCAGCGCCACAACTGCGCCACCCTTGAGTGTCACGTCACAACCGTGCCACCCTTCATAGACACCCTATGCCACTATTCAGTGTCACAACCCTGTGTGTGTCACCTCCCAAATGCTCCTGCCCCCCCCACTCCCAACATATGCATCACAGTGCAGTAATGCCGTACAGCCAGTTTGACCACACGCGACACCACAGCTATGCGGAGGGGCCCCTCCCGTCCACAGGCAGCACTGAGGAGGGCCGTGCGGCACGGAGAGGAATTCACGTCCTCGCTGGCGCCGTGCTCCCACTCGCCCGTCGCCTACAGGCGCAAGGCCCTGCAGCACCAGCAGCAGGAGCAGAGGTCGGCAGCAGAAGCAGCAGTAGTTAGAAGTAGCAATAGCTCCCACAAGGGCAGTAGTAGCAACAGCAGTAATAGCAGCAAGAGCCCCACGCTCCCCCTCCCCATGTGTGCGGGATAAAGGCAAAGATCTGCCCATAAAACCTACGCAGGTCGTGTGTATCTTTGTGCCTCAATGTCCGTGTGTCTCCGTGCCCGAGCGAGTGTAAGCTTCTCCGTGTGCGTGTGACGGGCTCCGGCTGTCTGCCGGGGGGACAACCATTGAGAAGGCACCCTTTGGTTTGTAAGTGGAGGCAGGACAGGGCGGTCGTCATTGTCGTGGGGCCGTGGGATTTCACTCCAAGGGGAAGAGGGAGGGCCAGCAGGGTGGCCACTCTGGAGCCCGTCGACATGTGGCTCGGCGCTCCGTAAATTTAGCACCTTGGCACGTAAGGGAACACGAGCAAGTGCGTGCGTGCTTGCTTGCTTGTGTGTGTGTGTAACATGCGTGTGTGGCAGCCGCCAAGGGAGGCACTGTAACCCAAACACCCAGCTAAGAAGGAATAAAAATAACTGGGAGAGAGGCGCCCTCATGACGGAGACGGACGAGCAGAGCCTTGAGCCGCCTCCAGTGCAGCGCACAGTCGAGCAACCGCCACCAGCAGCACCACCACCAGCAGCACAACCACCACCAGCAGCACCACCAGCACCACCACCAGCAGCGCCACCAGCAGCAGCAGCGCCACCAGCAGCACCACCACCAGCAGCACCACCAGCAGCAGCACCGCCACCAGCAGCGCCACCACCAGCAGCAGCGCCACCAGCAGCACCACCACCAGCAGCACCACCAGCAGCAGCACCGCCACCAGCAGCACCACCACCAGCAGCAGCGCTACCACCAGCAGCACCACCACCAGCAGCGCCACCACCAGCAGCACCACCACCAGCAGCACCACCACCAGCAGCGCAACCACCAGCAGCACCAGCAGCGCCACCACCAGGAGCGCCACCAGCAGCAGCACCACCACCAGCGCCACCAGCAGCAGCGCCACCAGCAGCAGCACCAGCTGCACCACCACCAGCAGCGCTACCACCAGCAGCAGCACCAGCTGCACCACTACCAGCAGCAGCACCACCACCAGCGCCACCAGCAGCGCCATCACCAGCGCCACCAGCAGCAGCGCCACCAGCAGCGCCACTAGCAGCAGCGCCACTAGCAGCAGCGCCACCACCAGCAGCAGCACCACCAGCAGCAGCACCACCAGCAGCGCCACCACCAGTGCCACTAGCAGCAGCGCCACCACCAGCAGCAGCACCACCAGCTGCACCACCACCAGCAGCGCCAGCAGCGCAACCACCAGCAGCGCTACCACCAGCAGCAGCACCACCACCAGCAGCGCCACCACCAGCAGCGCCACCACCAGCAGCGCCACCACCAGCAGCACCACCACCAGCAGCTGCGCCACCACTAGCAGCACCAGCAGCGCCACCACCAGCAGCGCCACCACCACCACCAGCAGCACCACCACCAGCAGCAGCAACACCACCAGCACCACCAAGAGCACCACCAAGAGCAGCAACAACCGCCATTCGCCACTAAGTGGCAGCGATGTAACCACGGCGCTTGTGCCAGGCTAGGTGCACTTTGAGGCCACGTGAAGTATCGAAGGCTCGCTGACAGGAGGGCAAGGGCAACGGCTCAGGTGCCATGGGTCGTCCGACTGAGATGACCACGGACAGACGCACCGACTGTGCTCCCTGTACAAACGCGATCATCGACACCGCCACAATCAACCGATACCATCACCAGCACCACCCCATAAGGAAAAAGCCAGCCCGACCGGAAAGCGGCAGTGACCGTGCTGCACACCCACCCCCCCGTTAATGAGTCCCCTCTCACGTGAGGCAGAGCGGGAGTGGAGGGGGACGCGCACGTGAGCTGCAGGTGTAGGAAGCAGGTAGCGCCAGTGACGCATTGGCAGCCAATCTGCCTACACGTCCACCTGCTTATATTTATATATCAGCATAACTATACCTATCTACCGGCTTGTCCCCCTGCCTGATGCCATATATCTACTACCTACCTACCAGCCGACACACGTGGCTTCCCGCTAAACTGTATATTTGCCTGCATGTCCAATTGCCTGTATTACCTGGAAACCTACCGGACTGTATAGCTATCTGGATGCCCACCTAGATATTTACCTATCAGTCTACTATGCCACTCGCCGCACCAGTTACCATTCCGCACTACTTAATGCGCCACCCTTATCTCATGCACGCTTATACAAAAAGCGCCTTCTTCCAAGGCGCTTTACAGCAATTAGAAGGTAACCCCCCCCCACCCCACCAAATGTACGCAAGATAATGAGTGGCGGAGGATAAAGAGTGGGAACTATTTACCGCACCACTCACCAAACCCACTCGCCCGCAACACGAAACAAGCCACTCGCCAACTCACTTTGCTTTTTTACAGCCCCCTCCGTTCACGCCACATTTGATTGTTGGAGCCGGGGGATCTCGCCTCTTTGACTTTCCGGCGCGAGTGCTTGAGGGGAGCGGTAGAGTAGCGGTTAGCGCGCTGCAACACGAACCTGGCGGCACGAGTTCCATCGGTGACCATTATCCGAACCGGTGCCGGGCCTCCCCTGGGTCGACCCCAGCCTCAAATGGGTACCTGGTGCGGTGTGTAGTAAACATCGCCACTTGGGAGAGACAAAGGCGGCCGGGCGGGGAGCTGGCCAACCACCACCCCCCCCCCCCTTCGCGTCCCGTTCCGGCTTTCAGAGGCGCTCGCTACTCGCTGACAGCAACTTGCCCCAACATTCTGTTAAGGCTATACGGGATGGGTTGGGGTGGGTCTTTGTCTTTGTGTGTGCGCGTGAGTTTGCCGAGCAGCACATGACATCCTCATGACATCTCCGCGCATAAAACCGCACCAACTATTGTGCTTTCACCGCTCGGCCTTTCACGACCATCGCGTATAGCGAATCATACATATTGATTTTTTACGGCTCGGATGGTCCCAACATGTGTTGTTGTCGCACGCCTTTCCTTCCGCCCCGGCACAGCCAATTAATATGGTGAAGTTGTCACGTAACTTACCAGCGACGCGTCCGTACACAATTGTTTATAAACGCCTGTGTGTGCGTGTATCGCTCTAGAACAACAACAACAACAATGGGGTTGTGCTGGGAGCAGTAATCAATTGTCACGTTTGTCACGTGACAACTTTATGAACTGGGGCTGTGTCGGGTGGCGTTGGCTGTACGACACACATCTTGCTTTGGCGATCTGACCCGGAATTCGATGACATAATCCACACCTGCCGTGACAACGACCACCTCCTCTTCCTCCTCGCTGCAGCCTGACCACAACGATCCCATACCGTGTCAAGCCACACGGTTTACCCCGTATTCTTGTACAGGGAAATTGAGTTGTTCAGATCCATCCATACGTCGGCGTACAGCCGTTTCAATACGGGCAACAACACAAATAATGTGTCTATTTATATTCTTAGTTTTTTAGGTAAAGTCACGTTGAAGAGAAACAACAAAATAATATAATATATATAAAACAATAATTTTTATTGTTTTATATATACCGAAAAAAACTAAGAATATGAATTACTGCAGTCACGAAAGCTTTAAATCAAAAAATGTGTCTATTTGTTTGTGTTTCTCCCTTGTGATGGGACTTTGTTGGATGAACGTTGAGATTTTTAAGGACACAGGGTGGCCACTAAAGTCTGAATCGGTCTGTAATAAGGTAGGGCACTGATAAGAGGATTGACAGGCGTGGTATACACTACACTACTAAACACTACACTACCAAACTACCATACACTACACTAATATACCATACCGTGTCAAGCCACACGGTTTACCCCGTATTCTTTTACGGGGAAATTGAGTTTTCAGATCCATACGTCGGCGTACATGGCCAAAAATAATAATTGTCAATGTATTTGTCTTTCGCCCTTGTGATGGGACTTTGTAAGATGAACGTTGACATTTATAAGGGGCACACGGGTTGACCAATAAGGTCTGAATTGGTGTGGAATCATGGTAAACAACCTACTCACGTGCTAATGAACCCGTGCCTTCTCGCCCATGACCTCTTAACCCCCGACCCCATCATCCCTCACCTCTTCAATCTTCGCCTCAACCATCACTCCACCACCCCCCTCGCTACCTCGTCTCCACCCACACCACCAATATCCCCCACCTCATCACAGCCCGTTTATAACTTCACCAAAAGGCCTCCTCCTTTACAGTTCAGCTTCTTCACCTTTATAGCCCCTGAACGACGTCCTCACTCACAAACCTACCTCACCGCCACCTCATTCATCTTCATTCGATTCCTCTTCGCGAGATCTTCCTCACATCTTCACAGTGACACCTCCACCCTCACCAATGCACCCTGTATCACCTCACCACCTCACCCCCTCAACTGCATTCTGCTCACCTCTCACCTGCTCAGTCTCCCCGATACCTCGGTTCTCACCTCGACACCGCATGACCCACTCACCTCCTCATCCCCTCACCTCCTCATCCCCTCACCTCCTCACGTCTCGCATCGCCCCCTCATCTCAACCCCAAGGCCTCACCCCCCTCCTCCTTCTCACCTCCCCACTCATTCTCACCCTCTCCTCATCTCCCCACCTCGTCTCCCTCTCACCTCCTCACCCACAACCTCTTCTCCTCAACCGCTCCGCTCCGCTCTCCGTCCTGTCACCCACAAACACTTTCTCATTTACTTCTCACCTCGTCTCGCCACAGCCCCCCCCCCCACCTCACCTCGTCTCGTTTCATCGCTCCTCACCTCGTAACCCCTCTCTCACCTCGTCATGTCACATCAACCCTCGTCTCGCCACTCACCCCCTCACCTCGTCTCGTCAACCCACAGGCCGCGGCTGACCACCCCCACCCACCCCACCCCCGTCTCTTACCCGGGGCAGACAGCGGCGCCGCGGACGCGCCGCAGGCGATGAGCAGCGCGGTCCGCCACATCCTTCCACTTCCTCCTCCTCTCCTCCACCACCTCTTCTTCTTCCTCCTCCTCGTCCTCGTCGCCCAATCCCCGCCGGCAGGGGACGCGTCTAACCGGCCGAGGTCGCCATGGCCCGGCGAGGCCTCCCTCCTCTCGACCTCCTCCTCGCGCCCACAGCAACAGCCCCGCCTCTCTACATTAGACCCCGCCCCTCTCTATTAGACCCCGCCCCTCAACATCATACCCCGCCCCTCTACGTTAGATCCCGTCCCTCCACACTATGCCCCGCCCCTCGACACCATACCCCGCCCCTCTACGTTAGACCCTGCCCCTTCCACACTATGCCCCGCCCCTCGACACCATACCCCGCCCCTCTACGTTAGACCCTGCCCCTTCCACACTATGCCCCGCCCCTCTACATTATACCCCGCCCCTCCACACTATGCCCCGCCCCTCGACACCATACCCCGCCCCTCTACGTTAGACTCTGCCCTTTCCACACTATGCCCCGCCCCTATACATTAGACCCCGCCCCTCGACACTAGAGACCCGCCCCTCCACACTAAACCTCGCCCCTCCATGCTAGACCCCGCCCCTCTACATTAAACCCCGCCCCTCCACACTAGACCCCACCCCTCCACACTGAACCCCGCCCCTCTACATGAGATCTCGACTCTCTTCATTCGACCCCTCCCCTCACATGACCCTGCCCCTCCCATCATCAAAAGCCACGGTCTATCCACTGCTGGATGAAGGCCTGCCAACGCCTGTTGGTTACCGTCTCCCCTGTGATGTTGGGACCCCCCTGCACACGGGAGCTCGTCTCAGCTCATCTCAGCTCGTTTGGCTGCCATTCCGTCACCAGTCTCAACGAGGTTTTTTTTACGGTAACCGGTAACCATTTTGAGAACCGGTTAACGGTTCAGAAATGGTAATGCCGACTCTTTTTTTAATCATCTAAACTTGTCCCCCTTACTGCTGGAGACATTTTCTATATGTGCGGCAAACCGGTTTATTTCATTCGGTTTACCGGTTACGCAAAACCAAAGTGTATTTATCATATTCTTGATTTGAAGCTTTCGTGACTGCAGGAATCCATACTCTTTGGTTCTTTCGGTAAAGTCACGTAGATAGAAAATAAAAAGAATAAAATGACAATTAAAAATGAAAAATGTAATTACAAACTTATAATTAAAAAAAATTACAAATATGTATCACCCAAGTTTCGATCGTCGACCATCAGCGATGATCAGGTCCAGCTGTAGACCATCCGGACCTTGGACTCGCCGTGATGCTGGACATTGGTTGGAGTCGACCCCCCACTTCGTCCCCAAAATCGATTCCTTATCACCAACACCACGTTCCTTCGCTATGAGACCTCCTTTGCCAGTAGCAAGATATAGTAATAGGTGTTTACCCTTTTATCTGGCACCAAAACTGACACCTTTATACAAGGGATCATGTTTGCAATAACCACAACACAAGCAGTCAAAATGCAAACAAAAAGAGACAACTGTGATAATGATATGCACTGCCCTTGAAATTGATTGGTCCACACCCGAGACGGCTTTCCTTAGAGCCTCGTCTCCACTGGTGTTGGACCAGATGACACCAAAAGGCGTACAACTCAAAAACAGCGCACTATCAGAGTATTGAGAGCTCGGGGTACGAGTGCATATCATTATCAGAGTTGTCTCTTTTTGTTTGCATTTTGACTGCTTGTGTTGTGGTTATTGCAAACATGATCCCTTGTATAAAGGTGTCAGTTTTGGTGCCAGATAAAAGGGTAAAAAACTATTACTATTACCACGTTCCTTGGTCTCATTCTACCTAACAACTGTCCCCACACTCCCTCCCTGTCATCCGTGACATTTTTGGTGTTTGCACATCTTAACACCGCCTGTATTTATGCCAGAAATGATCAACGCCTAATTTTTAGTTTTGTTTAAATCTGCCAAAAAAATACAAAGAATCCCAAGAATACGGCTGTGGACTGCATGTTCACACCACAACAGTTACTCGTTTGAGGCTGAGTCGACCTAGGGGAGGCCCAGGACCGGTTCAAATAATCGTCACCGGTGATGGCCGTGAGCGGGAATCGAACTCGGGTCGCCGGGTTGGTAGCGCAGCGCGCTAATCACTCCACTGCAATGCGTTACGCTTCCACGTGCGAGGGTCATGTGACAGATTTGACGTCACAGCTCACTTGCCGTGCAAAAAAATAAATGCATTATTGAGCTCCCCCCGCCTAAAAGAAAACCAAAAGTGTATTTTTATAATTTTTGCATGGTGTATAGTCTGGAAAGTACCCACATGGAAAATTTGCAGTTTGTTGCATGTCGGGAAGTACGCTAAACATTTTTGAACAGACACACATTCACAACTTTGCCTTTTATATATATGTGGAGATAACCCTGTGAGCCATGCGTCTCTTGACTCGGCTGCAACCGAAACAAAACAAAAACATGAACAAGAAACATCTTAAAGTGACTACACGCAACAGAAAAATCCTGGAAAAAAAACAGCAAAAGTCTTCCAGACAAAACACCGTCGTGTGCCATAAAATCCCAGTGGGTTCCAGAACCGCCGTTCCGTCATTAAGCGGGGATCTCGATCGTCTTGAGCTGATGGCATTAACGCGGTTTCATCGGCACTTAATTTCAGCTCTGAAACCAATCAAACAAGTTGGACCGTCATGAGACGGAACATTTGTCCCTGTAGGGACAATTCCACCCTCTGATTTGCGTGACTAGAGGTCACGTTAAGGGAATTCAGAGGTAGCTCTATGATATCTTCTTCCACGGGCCGCTCTCCAACACAGGGTGATTCCGCCGTTTTGTGAGATTTCCGAATGGATTCTTCGTGTCGTGGCACGACACCGATGGCGCACCCGGGGTGAAACCACGATGGGGAGGTGGAAAAAAAAGACCGAGACACCAACACATCTCCGAAGGGTTTCTGAAGAAGCTCCCAGTGCGTGGAGCGAAACGGCGTCGGCTCAGACTGCAAAACACCCCGCGCGTTCGACGTGGCGATCTAACTCTACGCGCTGTGAAGACGCCCCAGTCAATGAGAGGCACTCTGGGGTGATTCTGAACAAGGTGGGCTGTGTCACAATCAAGGGGATATACAGCGTCGCGATGGAAAGCCGCCTTTCCGGAAGAAGTTTGACGAACGTGTGGCTTTACGAAGGGGAAGAGCCCTCTTCGGCAAGGTGGTTTGCGAACAACTACCCGGACCTTACTTGGCAAAATAAAATATAGTTTTGAGTTGTAACTATATTACACGACTAGATGGGTCAGTCGGTCGGTGGTGGTTGTGGCTACGCTGCTGTTGCTGCTGCTGCTGCACGTGGCCGCCTGCAATCCAGCATCATGGAGGCGACAATGGGGGTTGGTGGACCACCACACAGATGGTGTGACACCGTCTTCTTCCTATGGACGTCGAGTAGGGGCCTGGCTCCTGCCAGGATACGGTGGTACGGCAACAAATGTGGACAGTTTGGGATAGAGCGTTTCCTCCTCGCACGCGTGGGTTCTCTCGGGGTGCTCCAGTTTGCTCCCACATGGAAAACTACTCATCATTAATTGACCGATAACACCTTAATATAGAAAGGATCGCAGAGCGTTGGCAATTGCTGGTAGCGCCCGCTCACCGCGTGGCTGCTGCTGCTACATTCCACTGCTCGTCTGGCGCAGCGTTCCAAGTTAACATTGCTGATTGCTGTAATTATTGGAAGACAATGTCTTTTCCATACAAAACAAACAAAACAGCCAAACCCCTTTTGGCTTTAAATGACAGCCCTTACGATCCGGGGAATGTGGAGAATGTGGTTACAAATGTGGTTATAAATGTGGAGAATGTGGTTACACATCTCAACTCGAGGACACCACGGGGTCCCCACGTCCGTGGGCCACCTAACCCAGGGCCGCTGGAGCCCCTGGTCCCCTCGGGCCCCCATGGCGAAAGGGCCACCCAGAGCCCCTGTGGGCCCCCAGCCCGGGGCGGTTGTTGTGAGACGCTGCCATGAGGCTAAGCCCGTGAGTCAACAGCGGGATGGAGCGATGTTTGCCAACGGATCTGGGATTCTCATCGGAGACCCCGCATCCTGGATTAGCTCCCCGTGAGGGGGGCCCGGCGTGAGGTGGCATCATGGGCACAGGGTCCCAATTTTTCCGCGCCCAATGATCGATCAATTTATTAATTACCGGGTAAAGTAATCGAAGGGCCGCGTGTTGTCTTGGTGTGGTCTAGGACTGTTGTTGTTGTTTTTATGCAGGAATGTATGTACTTGTGTCCAATGTGTCCCTGCTTTTTATTCATTTCTTTAGTGACTTGCTTACATTTCCTCTATCTTAGGCTTGTCCACTTTATTGCGTTGTTTGTTAATCTAACATTCTGACCCACCCCTACTGGACATCTGTGAAAGAAGAGCTTCATAGCTCATCGGATTCCTCCTCCTCCGGTCTTAAAAAAAAAAAAATATCATTACGTGTTATGCCGATTTATGCAGAGGATTGCGGTGAGAGTCCAACGGCGGCCCAGGTTAATACTGCGGGTGAATTAACCGTTCATGTCGGGTCGTCTCCTCCACAGTGACGTTAAAGATCCGCGATTGTACACAGCTGTGCCACGGTGGCTGTACACATGGCCTATGATCCAGCACTGTGTGGAGACCGAGAGGGTTGATGGATCACGCACACACAAATGTTGTGAGATTCCCTTCCTGTGGGCGTCGAGGAGGAGCCCGTACCCTTGACGAGAAAGTGGCACAGCAAAGTGTGCGCTAATCTCCATCTGTCCCCTCTGCATGGGATAGAGTGTTAACCCCCTCGCACACGGGGGTTTATTACGGGCGCTCCGTTTACCCTGCTTTTGTTCATTTCCTGTTTTAAATACGCGGGGCGCATTGGTGGGATCAACGGATGAAATTCGTCTTGCGAATGTGCATTATTTATTGTTATTTACGATAATTTAATGGGCCACTGAATGTCACACCCCCACCCCACTCACAGACCCCCTCACCACCTCCCCCCTGACTCACAGAAGCCATGGGTGCCCCCCACACCACTTAGCAGTGCCTTGGGACTCTGGGCACAGGGCGGAGATCGGCCCGATAATGCCGTCCGGTATTCCACGGAGTGGCAATGCAGGCCAAACCCACAGGGCCTCCCGGTGCGCTGGGTGGTTGGAG